AGTCATGTAAGAGGGATGATGATGTCACTATATCCATGTATGAAGTGACAGTAGAAGTTGGCAAAGCCAAGGAAGGATTGGATGTCTTTGACTTTTCACAGCACTGGCCAGTCAACAATGGCTTTGACTTTTTCTTCAGATATGCAAAGTCCTTCAGGTGATAGGATGTAGCCTAGGTACTCTATGGAGTCCCAGTTGAATTCGCATTTGGAACCCTTGCAGTAGAGTCCATTAGCTCTAAGCCCACATAAGATCTCTCAAACATGTTTCTGGTGATCTTCTAGATTGTCAGAATATATGAGGATGTTGTCAAGGTAGACTACTACTGATATGTTGAGCATGTCAGAGAATATATTATTCACAAATTGTTGGAATGCCACTGGAGTATTTGTGAGGCCAAAAGGCATGATATGCTATTTGAAGAAACTGTAACAGGTCTGGAAGGCTGTTTTCCATTCATTCCCCTTAGCTATGCAAATGAGATGGTAGGCATGCCAAAGGTTGAGCTTGGAGTAGATGTGTGCAGAGCAGGCAGAGTCAAGAAGATCAGAAATGAGAGGGAGAGGGTAGTGATCTTGGAGATTTTGTTTAGGTCACAGTAGTTGACACAAAGTCAGAGTTCACTGGTTTTTTTCTTGACAAATAGAACTAGAGCCCCATGTGGAGAGCAGAATGGAGTAATGAACCTATTGTACAGATTATCATCAATAAACTCTTATAGAGCCTTGAGTTCAGATTCTGAGAGAGAATAAATAAGTCCAAGTAGTAGAGATGTTCCTTCCTCAAGATTGATTTTGAGATCATATGGCCTGTGTTTGGGTAGCTTTTTGGAGGGTATTGCTGAAGACATCTGCAAAATCATGGTATTCTACTGGCACTGATAAAAGATCTGCTAGTTCTGCAGATGCAGCTTTGGCTCCAATATTAGGCAAGGAAGGCTGCAGTGTGAACTGCTGAGTGCCTTCTTCTGCACTGGCTCAGACAAATGTGGCAGCAGATATGATGGAGATCTTTGAATGTGCTTTCATAGTAAAAGACTCTGAGAGAGGATAGGAGTAGATGGGTTCATATGAGAATGGAGTCTGCCACCTACTCAGAGTCGATTTGGAATGGAGTGAAGCCCTGAAAGTTGGACTGATGGAGTCTGGTGGGCATGGAAGTCCTGGATTTGAGCTGGAAGGCTCAGAGAGGGGTGGACTGTTGCCCTATAGGCATGGAAGTCCCTGGGATGTGGTGGAGGCTGCAGAATTAGTTAGAGTGAGATCTTGGTAGCTTGAGTGGAAAATGATACTGTTCTCAGCTCAGTCAATCAGTGGATTGTAGCAGGAGAGCCAGTTGTATCCTAGGACAAGATTGCAAGATGAATCCAGAGAAGTGACATAGAAGTCAATGGAAAAGGTGTCTCCAGACAGAAAACAGATGGAGATGGTTGCAATTTGAGATATATGACTCTCAATGGAGCTATCAAATAATCAAAGTTGCACACTAGGGATGGTTTTAATGGGAATTTCATTGGCAGCTATATACTTAGTGTCAACAAAGCAGTGGCTAGAGCTAAAATCAATAAGGGCAAAAAAATGCAGAATAATACAAGTTAGTGAACCATCAGATTTTATAGCAGTTGGTAATTCTGCTGAGAGAGAGATGTGGAAGGAGTGATTGGAAAGGGATATTGCATTGAGAGTGATGACCTCTGGTGTGTGAATAGAGTCAATACAACTCTGAACTCACACAGAGAGAACAGGGTTGCTTCCTAGTTTTCCAACTCTGTCAGAGCCAGTTCCATGGGAGCAGTGTCAACTTCAGCTGCATAACCCTTGGCAGAGGCTGCTGCCTTCTGCTTGTTGCAGTCCTTGGTCTTGTGTTTGGCTCCACAGAACATGCAAAGGTTGTTCTGGTGCTGGCAGTCTTTTTCTTTCTAAGTAAGATAGCCATCTTTGCATAACTTGTTGGCATAGGGCTTAGAGATAGTAGATTTCAGTGTGGAGCTAGAGTCTAAGGAAGAAGAGTTGGACCCCTTGGATTTGGGGTTGGAAGATTAGTTGGAGGCTTTATTATCCTGGTTTTCACAGGCAATTTCCATCTTTTGGATCTAATAGTGAGCATCAAGTTTTTGGGCAAGGAAGCACATATTACAAAGATTGTTCAGCTTCCCATGATGTGCCATATCATCCTTGATATGGGTGCAGAGGCTATGGTAAAAGATGTGGTAGAGGGAGTTATCTCTGTACTCAATTTATGAGGTGTACTGATTGAATTAGACTATATACTTTATGATCTGATCTCTATCATGCATCTAAAGGTGCTCTAATGCATCTTTGGTATCTCTGATGGCATCAAAAAGGCCAAAGTTGCTATGAAGCTCATTTAAGAAAGCCATGTAAAAGAATTGCCAGACTGGTAGATTCTGCAGATTGAGGTTAAGAATGTCTGATTCAAACCAGTTAAGCATGGTGCCAGCCAGAAAGAAAATGGCATAATTGACCTTGCTAGCATCTGTTGCAAATGCAGTAGGTCTGTCATTGAAGTTCAACTGAAGAGAGATGATGAAGGCCTTCAGTTTGTGAGAGTCAGAGCTGTCAAATAGTTCTGGTTTCTTGACTTTGGTACAAATAGTGGCTGGTTTAAGGTTATTGAGAGAAGCAGAGACTCCTCATAGCAGGTTTATGAATTCTAGAAATATGTCCTGCTGGTTTGGATTGTTGCTTCCTGCAGAGCCATTGGAGCTGTCTGAGCCATTGGGACCACCTGGACCTCCTGGACTATCTGGCCCTTCTGGCCCTCTTAGAAAAGAGTTTGGTGGATTACCACCTGGTTTCCATCAGATGGGAGTATGAGTGAGGGTTTCTTCACCTCTGCCTTCCAAGTCTGAGCTGTCTAAATTCCCATGCATGTTGCCCAGAGATAAAGAGTCTATTGAGGGGTCAATTCAGATGCTGTACATCAGGCTGGCCCATTGGGCTTCATTGGTTGGGATGCTGGTGGCATCAAAAGAGTTAGAGGAATCATTGTAATTAAGTTGACAGGCAGTGAAGCTAGAGTGATTGTAGGTTTTCCTACAGGAAGATTATTCTCCACTGGAGGCCAATCTGAAAAGGCCTGGTTGTTCCTTTGAGGCAGAGGCCAGGATGTCTTCCATGGAAAACATGTTGCAATAAGTAGACTGGGTTTGTTCAGGATCAGTTTCTGTGGGTTGAGTAAATGTGGTGGATATGATAAAAATTTTTGACTCAAGAGTTTGAGTTCAAATATACTGTTAGGAACATGCCAATTGAGTGGGTTTGAGTGCATGCATGGAGACCAGCAGAGTGTGTGGGCATCAATGAAGCTATTGGCAATGTCACTCTTGAGTTGAAGCCCAAGGATTTGGATGGACAGAACAGAGTTCCATCAGAGAAGCAAAGAGGAGTATCCTTCAGAGCAGAATCTGACAGATGAGGTAGAGAGGAGTTAAAGTGAGCATGAAGTATAGATGGCTATCCAAGTTGATATTTGAACTGAGTAGTTATAATGATTCTATATAGCTTTATATACCAATAGTAGCTAATTTCAAGTTGGATTCCATTGGGTTCTGATGTCAATATTCACTACTGAATTCAGGGTCTAGATATTACAATGTGAAATATGGATGTGAAATGATAATAGTGAAAATAAAATTAATAGGTAATAGGAAGTGGACAGAGTCTGATGGATTTTAGCAATTGAATCCATGGTTGGTTGAAGTGACATGAAGGTCAGCAGCATGCATGTAACAGATTCAGTGCATGTGTTGAAATTCTTAGTAGTGCCTGACTGTCTAAGTGGTGATTGATTGGCATCTTTGACAAAGTTAGATGATCACCAATAAGCCTAATAATGTTCCAATGATGAAAGCAAAGAGTTCAAAGAACTCATGGTCAAAGTTTAGAGATGATGGGTTGATAAATGACATTCAGTTTCCTTCACACTATTGTATATGAGGAAAGAAAAGTTCCAGCTTTGAGCTAATTGTTAGACTCAAGCCACATGTGATCAGAAGCACATGATAAACTAGCATGGTTTTGTGTTCAAACCTTTGTGCTAGAGTTCACTTATTGTGTTCTGTTGACCAAGTGCTTCAAGGCCTTTAGAGATAGCTTGAGAGTAGAATGAGATGGAATAAACTTTAGCTTGAAGCTGGGGTTTTACCAGCAAGAGCTGTCCTACTTATATACTACAGAGGTTTTAATTATAAATATGACTATCTATTGTGTCATTGTCCATTGTAATGTCCTTTGTTCTTGGACATTGTTACTGTCTATGAAAAGTTCATTGTGCATTGTCAAGCATTACTGTTGCATTGAAAGACAATGACCAACTAGGCTTGTTGTGCTGACTAAGCCTATCCCACAGTCTTAAGCACTGGTTTAGGTGCTCTGACTAAGCATAAATAGGGGTTAATATAAGAAAAAGATGGAAAAATCATAACAAGGATAAGCACAGTTAAGAGAGTAAGAAGTAAAGCAAGATACAGTCAATGTTCTGTCAAAAATATGTGAGGGTGGTGCCAAGATCACCACTCACATGAGGAACTCAGCACAATCATAGACAGGTTTATAGACTGTTGATTGTGAAAGTCCTGACCTGATACAAAGGAGGTAGCTACATTATATATGGGCTCAGTGGTAAATCAAATACTAACTAAGCTTGTAGGTAAATAAGGGTAAGTAATGTCTAGGGGCATTGACTCATTACAAATGTGCTACAACATTTGTTGTCAGTCTCCATAGTTGAGAGTCAAAAAAAATGTTTCAAAATATCAATTGATCATATGAGTAGATAAGATAAAGTAGATTATCATTCAACTCAGATGCTGTGAAGCAGCTTGACCCCCCACAATGGAGAATGGAAAGGAGAATGGTACTACTGACTACTGATGAGATTGAAAAACTCGAAAAAAAAACCCAAAAAGGGCAAGTGGTTCCTAGCATTCACGTGAAGATTTGCGCCCAAAATCGGATATATGATGTAAGCGACTTGCAGTCGAATTTCTTGGTGCATCCTGCCCTCTTAATTGTCCCACTCATCGCAAGAACATGATTGCGATACAAACTGCAACAGCAGTTCCCAATCCTATCTCACTACCCTCAAATGCTCCGGAGCATTGTCCCGTACGCGCTGACCATCTTATTCCTAATTATCATGTTTCGAAATTATTCTTACTCATACAGGGAACCGAATCTGAACTCGCAGGGAAAGTAGATGCCTGTGCAGGCTGTGCCAACCAAGACATATGCGCATCAAGTGAACCTAAAGGTCCAGATCCTGCTTTGCCGCTGATAAAGCAGCGAATGGCGAACGTTAAACGGAAAATCCTCGTCTTGTCTGGAAAAGGGGGCGTAGGGAAATCTACTTTTACTGCCCAGCTTGCGTGGGCATTCGCTTCGGATGACGATACACAGGTACGCTAATTTTCTCTGTAGCAACCTCCCCTCCTACTCTGATCACTCTGAAAGACAGGCATTATGGACGTAGACATCTGTGGTCCTTCCATCCCTACTATTCTCGGTATTGCTTCAGAGCAAGTACACGCTTCTTCCTCTGGCTGGTCCCCGGTATATGTTCAAGATAACTTGGGCGTTATGTCTGTTGGTTTTATGCTCCCATCATCCAAAGATGCCGTAATGTGGCGAGGTCCAAAAAAGAACGGACTTATATCCCAATTCCTTAAAGACGTTGACTGGGGAGATCTTGACTACCTTGTGGTGGACACGCCACCAGGAACATCTGACGAGCACCTCAGTGTCGTCCAGTACCTAAAGGAAAGCGGTATAGACGGCGCTGTGCTAGTTACGACACCGCAAGAAGTTGCTCTGCAGGACGTCCGACGGGAAATCGACTTTTGCCGCAAAGTCGGAGTTAGGATGCTGGGTATCGTGGAGAACATGGCAGGATTTGTGTGTCCAAAGTGTAATGGAGAGTCGCAAATCTTTAAACCAACTACGGGTGGTGCAAAGAGGCTGGCGGAGGAAACGGGGTTGGAGCTTTTGGGTTCCGTTCCACTGGATCCGCGGATAGGAAAGAGCGCAGACCATGGGTTAAGCTTCATCGACGAATACCCAGATAGTCCTGCGACGACGGCCTACCTCGATATTATAGATCGTATGTTCCCAAAATAATTTTTTCCGTTGCTGTCAGTAATGCTTGTTCAGGCATCAAGGATATTTTGGGAGATGCATAGGTGAAATGGCGTTCGCGTGGCTCGCGGCCTTCCTCAGTCCTCGACTTTTAGAATATGGATGTCCGAGGTGAGAGAACCATTGAGCAGTACATCTGGTCGAACACAGAATGACACTTCTTTGTTCAGAACAGTATGAGGGCCGTCTCGAATAAAGAGCAAGACATGTAATGATTATTTGAATCGATCTCTCTACGCGGTGAAGGAAACCATTGAGAAGATACTGATTTCAGGTAGACCTGTGACTAGTCCCCTTCGTGAAAAATTTGCGCTTCGAGTTTTCATTTCCCAAGCAGGCTAACGGTTCGGTCTCCCGGCAAAGGACGGTGATTACCCTGCTTCACCGATCATTTCAGGGACCGCGGTACAACATCGAGTCTGCGTCAGACTCAGAGATGCCCAGGTGGGCTGGAGCTTGCAACCCAGATCTGTCCAAGTCAAGCAGAAAGAGAACCATCCATCCAGGGAGTCCAGCAAGAGTATGCGTTCTTGAAACTCGACTGGGTGAATGATACAATGATAGTGTAAGTGGCGATTCGGTTGTTAATCACCACAAGTACATTGGATGCATCCGCAAAATTGAAATCCATGAATGAATGAATGTAGACCAAAGAAAGTCTTGAATAATTGACGACTATACATAAATGGATTCGGTGGTAATACAGGGTTGCGAAGACTACTGGAAAATTATAGATGATTATGCAAAATTAAAGCAAGGAGTCGGTATGGTGCTTCGGGTTGACAACAGTCTAAACAAAACGCGGAGGGTGTTTCTTGTGGTGGTCAATCTCTTGCTCAAGCAATTTCTCTTGCTGCTCTCGCTGGGCACGATGTTGGGCAAGTTTCTGGATATGGTGAGTATCTGGTAGGGGTACATAACAACTACGCACCTGTTTGAGAGCAGTCACCGTGGTGAGTAGGGAGTCTAGCGTAGCTTCCGACATCTCCGTCATCTAACCCCTTGTTAGCCAACAGTGGAATGATACAAAAAAAACGTACAGCATCTTGGGCCTGTTTCCCAAAAGCTTTCACCCTTTCCTTCTCTGCATCCCACTCCTGCTCGCGCCACCCGTTCACACTGTTGCCCTCGTATACCGAGCCAACTGCCGGGGCAACCGGGGTTGCACTTGGCTTCCAATTCTCTGTTTCTTCTCTCCACTGGGCGATCCGGCTTTGTGGCGGTACGGGTCCATGGTTTACCGGATGTCGCATGCAATGACCCCAGTAGAACTTCCCATTCATGCGGGCGGCCTCTCGATGCTTCATGAAGAGCGTCGCTGCGCCTGCGCCGAGTGCGAACCAGAGGAGACGCGATGGACGGCGATGCCAGCGATAGAAGTAATGGTATGAAGGGTAAGGGTACATGTTTGGTTAGTGGCGGGCCATATGGACCGGGGGAGCCAGTTATATGCGTCAGGTCGAGCATATGCGTATTATGTCGGCGAGCAAGGGGACAGCCGGCTTCCGATTCGGCATGCCATGCTGACGTCACCTCTATTATTGCCACTCGGGTACTAGAGGTCGGCCGAGATGAACTAGACAATTTCCTCAATTCCTATTGGCCAATTAGCCGGGTCACAAGTAGCCGGCGCTACTCGTACGTACAAGTCGACTTACTTTGCACGACGCGTGTCATCGGCCCGGGGCATGTTCATCACTGATTGCAAATGTGCAATCATTATCATGTAGGAATCTCGTCATTTCATTCTGTTCGTTGCGGCCTCTTTAGAAATCCATGCATGTTTACACTGGTGAACCCCTAATGTTTTACCTTTAAATAGTTAGATCATATAATCTACACCGTCACTGTCTCTTCTCCTCCTTCACGTTGCTGCCTCTTCTTGGCATACGCTGGTGTCTGAGGGTCGAGTTCGGCCTGATCCTCCGCTTTGATACAACGTCAGTAACACCCCCCCCCCAAAGGAGTGAAAGTTCATTATACTCACGAGCTGAATCCCAGAAATATGTAACCAGGCCAAGAATGACAACAGCGAACGCGACAAAGTATAACCAATACGGATGGTAGTGGTAAAGGCCTAACCCGAAGAGCAGACCCCAAAAATCGCTCGAAAGCAGCGATAGGTTATAATATGCCGATGAGGCCATGCGATATAGAATGGGCGCGAGCGTGTACAGGATAAACATCGCACAAGTATATGCGAGAATCAATCCAACGACAGGCCCATTCCAAGATGCTGTATGCATATCCGCATGCTCGAGTCCAGCGGCTTGGATGGAACAGAAAATGAATCCAAACATGCCGAGCTGGCCGACAACTTCATACAACGGCCTCTTGCGAACGAGGAACTCTTCGGTAGCGTTGGTAAAGCCGTATAATGTCGCGCCTGCAACCATGAATGCATCTCCCTTCCCGCGAGCACTGGCTTGCCAATCCTTCTTGGTGATCTCGTCCGAGGCTACCAACAGGCCTAGACCACTGACGCAAATGAGGACGCCAAGAATTTGAGTCCAGTGATAGCGGGTACGCATGTACACCCAAGAGAAGAAGAGGCACACGGGGATGGCCCAGGCGTCGAGAAGCATGCACGAGAGAAGATCGGTATACTGATAGGCCTTCACTACCATAAAGTTTCCTTCAACGTCACAGGCTGCCAGGAAGAGGTCTAATATTTCTTCAGATAAAAAAAATATGCGCAGAAGAGATGACATACACTTCCAGCCATCGCGAAATACCATCTCCGCCCAGCCCTTGATGCCGTACTTGTACATCGTATACGGAGTATACACCATGAACAACGAAAAATATAGAAAAACGTTCTGAGTTGTCGGTAAAGCCCAGTTGCGATTATTCTGCAATTCCGTTGTGGTGACATTCGTACAGGTGATACAGAGCGAAATGATCTGCCCTGCCAACAAAGATAGAGCGAATCGCTTTGTCCAGACTGCCCTATTCCGTGCAACAAATGAACTCAGGAAGGCAGAAGGAGAGGAATACGATATTGGGGGTCTGGATGGACGTTCGTTCAAGTTGCTGAGCACTGGAAGCTGGGGGGAGTCAAGGAAGGAATCTTTTTTATCCATGTCAGCGACGGGAGATGCCATGATTCTCTCTTTAGCAATTGACCACGTCCCACAAAGAGAGGGAAGTTGGGTGTGGTGATGGGCGGACTTGAGCTTGAGGGCGGGAGATATTTCAGGGGCTATTTATCACTTTTTTTTATCGGAGTTCGAATTACTAGGCCTGGGTCGGGAGCATTTTTATGTCGTAGGTTGAAGTAGCCCAAAGTTCGAAGATTTGATTCCATTACAGGTACCGAAAGTCACTGATATGCTCTGATACGGCTATCGGTATTTTTACGATTCATATTTGCTAGGAATAGGCCACCTATTACAACTTTTTTGGACCTAGTAAGGCACCATCAGCAACTGAAACGCCAAGTGCTTGGCCCTCTTTTATTTCCTTGTCTACGTTTTTTCCTTACTAGTTAAATAAGTAAAGGTACGACCATACACAATAGAATCGGGATGTGGTCCTCACTCTAATTCAGTTGCGTTCAACAGCACAAACGTGATGGACATGGTAACCTTCATATGTATGTGCGAAGGCTGCAGCAGGCTCATATATGTGCTCCTCTTGGGAACGGATTGATGCTGTTGGAGATTAATGTCGTCTAATAAGAAACCCAAGTTTGAATATGTTGCATCGTAGTGTACAGAGATCTAACCTCCCCGCGCAGTCCATAATTCCTGCTTGAGTTAAATCTGCAGTCACACTGTACAGCGATGATTCGTTACCTTTGAGCAATATTGTATGATGTACTCAGCCCGTATGATTTTCGTCCAACAAGCCCAAACCGGAAACCGGTCCGAAAAGGTCTTGTCCCAACCATCATGAGCGTCATACAGAAAGCCGCGCTGTCCTACGTCGACCTGGGTACGCCATGAAATTTCCCTACGTGTTTCTTCTGAATGGCATGTCTCTATCGCAGCACAATCTCATCCCATTCTTGTGTCGACGCTTCTGGGTATCGGCTCCCTAACCCTGTTGAAATTCGTTCTGCAGACTTTGTTCGTGTTTCTGCAAATATTTGTCTTGCCCGGGCAGAACGTAAGCCTTTGCTTTGTATCAATGGGCGGACAATGAACTTCATCTATTTAGATCAAGCGGTTCGGAGCCAAGAAAGGTGCATGGGCAGTGGTCACTGGTGCATCGGACGGCATTGGGAAAGAGTTCGCGTTCCAGTTGGCCAAGGTTGGTTATAACGTGCTTTTGGTAGCAAGAAACAAGGATCTCCTTGTTACAATCGCTTCAGAAATCAGTGCGTATATGGATTTTTGTAGTTCTGTCCTGTCGTTCATTGTTGTGCAGGCACCAAGTTTGCTGTCAGGACCCAAATTTTCACTATCGACTTCTCCAAGAATGACGCAAGTTCCTACGACAGTCTCACTAAAACCGTCGAGGGTTTGGATATCGGTGTACTTGGTACTCATAATACGTTACATCTTGTCCTTCCACTCATAGCTGTACTAGTCAACAATGTTGGCAAATCACACTCCATGCCTGTGTATTTCGTGGACACACCCAAAGATGAAATGGATGACATCGTGGCAATCAATATCAGCGGAACTCTGCGCGTCACCTACTCGGTTCTTCCTGGCATGATTCAGCGGTACGTGTCACCCTCAACAGTGTCGGACTGTTATAGACTCATCCCTCAATTAGTAAGCGTGGTCTTATCCTGAACATTGGTTCCTTTGCCGGGGCAATTCCTTCCCCAATGCTCGCCACATACTCTGGTACGAAGGCGTTCCTCACGACATTCACGAGCGCCCTTGCCGAGGAAGTCAAAGCCAGCAATATTGTCGTTGAACATGTTAATACATATTTTGTGGTACGCGCATGGACATAACATTGCGTAATTCCTTTCTCTGATGCGTTACTGAAGGTCAGCAAGCTTTCCAAGATTCGCAAGCCCTCGGCATTTATACCCTTACCATCTTCCTATGTGAAGACAGTCCTCTCAAAAGTAGGCCTCGCTTGCGGAGCTATTGGAAGCGGACGTCCTAATACGTCGACGCCATACTGGACTCATGCCATTATGGATTATGCTCGAACAGTCATTGGAATCCCCAGTTTGTTCATCAGCTACACACATGGTCTGCACAAGGATATCCGAAGACGTGCTTTGAGAAAGATGGAGCGGGATGCTAAAAAGCAGTAGATGATAGCTCCCCAATTCTTTACTATGGTGAAGAGGGGATGTGCACTGTTTTATACATTCCGGTGGGCATGTGGACTAGCGCTATCTTATGTTCGATGAAAATGACCCAACTCTTACACCAGCGCTAGTTAGCTAATGTTTTTATTCTTGAATTTCGTGATGGGTTCCTCTCCTACTCTGCTTCTCATCTTGGGCCAATGACTAGCACATATAGGAAGCATGCGCTGACCGTGGTCATCGGACGAGTAAAATATTATGAACTCTTGAAACTTGGTGTGTGATCCTACGATGAGGAATTCACTTTTCAGCTTCGGCAATTACGTGCCTTCGAGCATCGATGGTTGAAGGACCTCAACTTCAGCACATTCATTTTTTTTTGAGAGTATAGTGCCAGCTTTCTCCACGCAGAATGATTTTCTGCTGAATATCTTGCGGTGGGTAATTCAACCGGCACGATCAGTTCAAACATTCACCCAACTGAAACGCTGACAAACGGATATAATCAGAATTTAAGAACGACTTTCGATGGACAGTAGCAGACAAGAAGTCATAGTAATGGAATATATATCCTGCGATAAATGCAAGCTTGACCCGAACCTACAGCTCTCCCTTACACACAGCCTGGTTCACTATGTCCAGCACCAACATCTGTCCTGGCTCATGTCCCATGACAATGCCGTCAATCTTACTGTCCATTACTGCTACTTGCGGAGTTACGTTGCAACCCCAGTATACAGCGACCTCCCCTTCGCGTATTTCCGAGGGATCCCCAAAGTCCGGGTTCGAACCGTCGAAATCAGTCAATCCGAGCGCCTTGGCGCCATCTTGACCGTACGCGACGGGTTCACCATGTGCGAGGAAAGGCGAGTACTGTTGTGAACCTTCGAGATTTGAGAGATGGGATACGGTCGTGTAGAAACGACCATAAGTCCGCTAAAAGCTGGAATGATATGCACCAGGAAGGAAAACGCGGCTAGGGAATGCACGAACCTCCTGTAGCCATCAGTGGTACGTTGGTTCTGTACATAGGCACATTTCTCCCCAATCCCGTGTGCCGTGAAGTAAGCCCGCTCTTTGTGAGAGCAGCTTCAAATGAGCAGGAACATCCAAGAAGAAGGCGATAGAATCCGGCTGCCAGTAATCTTCAAGACTCCTCTTGCTCTCAACAAACACGCCGTCTCGGTAGATGTTATACAGTGGGCAGTCAGTGCAAATATTACTGTTAGATGCAAGATGTTCCGGTACACGTGCATCTCCTGGTTTTGTCTCCCTGAAGAGAGGACACCTTGAAAGAATACAACATCATCGATTAGTTTTCTACTGTATCAAACTAGAAAACGCGTACGAGACCGGATTCCTTAGACAGAGCCATCGAAAATCATCGGCATACTTTTGTGGAAGGATGATCACCTTAGCTTGAACGTGCCCGGCACAGAGACCGGCAGTCGATGCTTCCTTAAAAGCATCTGCGCGACGAAGCGACCTGATTTCGCTGGGAGTTAGAGGCAATGAGGACGACCGTGGCAGACATAGTCAAATAAGCGATAGATGGCAGGGAAAGACAACGACGAATCTGCCGTCCATACTTACACTATGGCAAATCCGATCCCAGGTCGAGTGGAAAATGGACGGGAGAAAGATCCACTTTGTAATCCCTCGGAATTCAACCGTTCATTTACTACTAGAACGTACATAAACAAAAGCGATTGTCATTGCTATTTTCTTCACCTTTGAATTTGTTTGAACAAGTCTTCAAGAATCAAGAATCAACTTGATCGTGGTTGTACTTTTTGTATTTTAGTAGTAAAATAGTTGTGGTTGGTGGACTCGAAATTGATAAGACTAATGACGTAATATTTCAACCCTTCTTATACTACGACCATGGCGGACATTGCAGCAACATCTGCCACGACCTCCAACAAGCGCACGTCATCTCCGTCTCCTTCAATGCGTCCTGCCAAAGTTCGAAAGCGCAAGAGTCACGTCAGTCGAGCGTGTAATGCTTGTCGAAGGAGGTATCACTTGGAAAGGCTCTTAGCAATTTGCTAGACTAATGTTGTATGAACAGGAAGTCAAGATGTGATGCGATGCAGCCCAAGTGCGGTATGTCCTGCTCAAACAATATTCACATACGCAGCTTCATCGACGTCAGGCACATGCTCACTTTATAACGACGACTGCCAATACACCACAGAACAAGATGGTCGGAAACCGGTCACGAAACCCTATGTGGATGCTCTGAAGCAACGTATCAGAGTACTCGAGACTCTGCTAAGAGAACGGGGCATAGATGAACATATCTCTCTCACGGAATCTCAAACACTTATACATGAAGATAGGACGGCTGAGGGATCATCTAAAGATCTGGATGTAGAGCCGGAGGACGAGGACTCTGATGCTTTCTCCGTCAATGACTTTGGGATCAACAGGCTCAAGGTTACCTTTTCCCCAGCCCACGACATTCAATGATATGACGTTTTTCTCGCAGATTGACGATGACACGGGAGAGTTGAGACAGTACGGCCCAACTTCAGCGTTTATGCACTTGCCCGAGCCATCCGGTTCATCATCCTCTGCATCTAATACACTGAGTGCAACCTCGCTTGGTACTTCTTCGCCATATAGTATATCTTCCCCAGAATATTCTACAAGTGCAGATTTTGATTGGTCGCGAAACCTACCAGTAATTGACGGTTTCAATCGCGATGTTCACGATGAACTGGTTCATATGTTCTTTGCCTATTTCAACAGGTGCGTTCTCTTGAGTTTTTCCTTTGGGTAATAAATACAGATGTTAATGCTATCCAGCTGGTGCTATTGGGTCGAGCCGACTCTTTTCAAAAGAGACATGTCAGCATGCTTGTCGTTTTCTGCTATATCTTCTCTGGCCCGGACGTCCCAGTATAGCGGCCTGCTTCATAATGCTATCCTTTCCTTAGCCGCCAACTATTCAGATCATTCGTGCCTTGGCCCAAACGACAGAGGTGCCGTGTTTGCCTCTGAAGCAAAGCGGGCTATCGATTCTGAGGCTGAAAGCCCAATGTTAAGCACTGTCGTGGGACTGATGTTACTTGGCAGCTATCATTCCGGGACAGCACGCCACGGCTTGGGGTATATGTATGCCGGTAGGCTTGCATTTCCTGTCATTTAAACACCTGTCGTTGAATCTCGTAATAGGCATGGGTTTGCGAATGAGCCAAACTCGTCAGTTATCATCCATTCAGAGGTGTACTTATTAATCCGATGATGCTATCTAACCAGTTGGTCTTGGAATTGATTGTTCAAAATGGATTCAGAAACGCCTTATCACGGAGTCCTTCAAAGACGACCGTGACCATACCTACTACATGTGTTATATACAGGACAAGTGTGTCTCTTCTCTATCCTCTGTACTGCTTACCGATAACGATGCAGATTGTGGGGTTTCTATGTAGGCCGAAGCCCTACATTGAAGATGTCGGAAATCGAGACTCCCCTTCCCCGTATCAACAAGGAAAGAGACGCTGCACTCTGGATGCCCATGCAGCTGGCATCACAGTCGTGTTTGGGTACAGAAGATGGTTTAGAAGAGGCCTCGGATACCATGGATGTAGAACCGGAGCTTCAACCCATCTGTATGATCAGTTGGGCGAGCACCAACTTTCTTTGGACTTGTAAACTGGCATACATAGCTGAACGCGTGGCAGATGTAGTGTGCGTAGCGTCATACATTTCATTTAGTCCTCGTACTCACCTTAAGCTTTTTGAACATAGATATCACCTGCGTGCTAATATATCTTCTCCTCGAACTCAGAATCTTGTCTCTGATCTAGAGTATGCTAATTTTCACAGCCATCCCTCGCTTTTACTGATATCCTTTAGTATCCGATTGGAGAAATGGTACGCCGATCTACCCGAAAGTCTTGTTCTTTCCAGTAAGAATCCGAGCCCACCACATGTCATTATGCTCCATGCCATGTATTACTTCGTCGTCATGCTCTTGCATCGGCCATTCTATCTCCGAGGCAGTTCTTATGGAAACGAATTCGCTGCTTCTCGCTGTTATAAAGCTTCGTAAGTGATTCGTCATTATGTCTGCTGAGATCTCATGTCCCTCCCTAGATCACGAACCGTTCAGCTTCTAGATGTATGGAACTCTCTACCTTCCTTTCTTTCCTTTTAGCTTATCTCTCGCACTATCAGTTGTATCGCGAATGTCCAGGACTTCGCTATGCACCTATAACTCTCACTCAGATAACATTTACGGCGGGAACGTCGCATCTCCTTGGTGCTGTGATGCAGGGGAATAGCCGCACTGAGAAACAAACGGCCGCGTCTCTGGAAGGTGCGAAAGCTTGCTTGCGGGCCCTACAACAAATGGGTCGTTCGTGGCAATGTGCCACACAGAGCGGCGAAATTCTTAGCCGGTTGCTAATGGACTGGTGTCCAGAATCTAAAAGTAATCCTTCCGACTCGGGAGGTAACTTTACTGGAGCCGAAGAACGTGGGCGACAACAAGCCTCAACGAATGTCTTAGAAAGGGCTAATGATCCCTCTTCTGACCTCGCGAAAGCGTTGGTAAGTCTGGGATGGACGCCGCCTACGATGGCCCACGGTGGGGATCCGACTGCTTCTGCTACAAGTGTCTCCTTCCCTTTGACACCCATGAATCTATCTGAAGTATTATCTTTATCTTATGTTGGTCAAAATGAGTCCTCATAGAATGTTTCAGTTCTCTACGTCGACACTGCTACAGAATACCCCCAGCTTCGTTGACCAACTGCATGCGAATCCGACACTCTCAGGCTCTCAAAATGTGGGACTTGATTCCTTTTCACATATGTTCAATACTGCGACCTCGGGCCCGGAGACGATGGATTCAAGTACTAGCATGTGGCCTCTGCTAGGACCGGGATATACATGGAACTGGACCTCAAATTTTGACAACGTTTTTATGAAACATCCACACTTCAGAGACTGCGACTCTGAAAGTCACTCAGCTTGAATTATGCGGACTAGCGTGCCCGAGAAGTCCATCGGAAGTTCTGTACAACATTGACGACTTTGTATCATAGTGCTCGAAATTTCCAACGAAATGAGGGTGTCGGACCAAATTCTCATTCTCGATTCTTGAAAGTCGGCGCGTTTTTGTACTGATAGCGAGGAGGATAAAGAACTTGCTGACAGTAAGTGTCAGAAGCTGCAGTGAGCAATTAGCATGTTATTCCATTACCGAACTGATACTTACCTGTTCAACAGCCTTTCAGGGAAACCTTGCCATGATAAAAACGTGCACTAGTACACTGTTACATACAGCGTCCTACCGCTTGGGCACTCCCTTTTCGATAGCATCGAGAAAGTGTGCTGGAGCTGGGTCGTCAAGGGCTTATTCCTTGTCCCGACTCGGCCTGGGTCGGCTGGAACGTGAGACGTATTACTAAGGTATCATTACATTATTTGCGAGGTGAAAATCCTACAATTGTCATATGGGCAGCCCCTTCTGGCGATGTGAGTATCAGCTGTTCCGAACGAACATGTTGCTTGTAGCAACGGTATTTACTTACTCTCGTTGCGCGATTTCCATTCCACCTCCACTTGTCGGACTAATCGAGGGTGGTTGGCTAGACAGCGCTTCCGTGCGCTGCTCCTATGACTTGCTAGGGGTAACCGGTAAAGCAATACGCTGAACGCTTCTTCGGTGGCTTTGGCGTCGGGGAAGTTGACTGTTGACGCGGCCCCCGGCTAATAAAACTTCCTTCCTAATGTGAGTCCCGTTCCTAAAACTTTTGCTGAATGTTTTTTCAATCAGAGAAAGAACATGTACGTATCCATGGAAAACATACCAGTTCTTTAAATCTCTTCTGTGGCGTCGACTCTGGACCCGTCAGCTGTGAAAATCTGCAAAACTTTAAAATGTGAGGCACGCCGTACCTCAAGATCGATGATAAGTCTCGAAACTGAAGTCCGTACCTTCCGGACGATCGTGCCTGTCCGACCGACTTAGGGGGGGGGCGCTCAGCTCTGCGACAGACCGCGTTCTGTCGGCCTCAAGCCGGATATATAAACATATGTGCTCGGACGGATTATCTGTGGCGATATCGTTTGGTATCCCGCAGCTTTCCTTACCGCCACCATGAGTGCTGAAGTTTCGTGAGTACCATTCTCTTTTTTGTGGTCGAGTACTGATAGCACAACGGCCAGCCATGGTCCTATGCTCATTGGACATTTCTTCAACATTCTTCTCATGGGCGTCGTACTGGCTCAGTCGTATATATACTTGGTCACATACCAGAAGTGCGTGCCATTTTTCTTTTCGATCATGAGTTGCTAATATGCTCTTCACGCAGACGTGACAAGCTTTGGATGAAGCTTTTCGTGAGTACTGAAAATTGGTTACCACCTGTCAATGCTCACTACGCTTTCATATGAAGGTGGTCTTTCTCCTTCTCATCAACGTCATAAACACGGCCCTAGTTGAGTGTCCTATCAGTCTGCATCAGCCCGGACACTTTTCTGATTTTGCCTACAGCAATTCGCCTACATGTATACCTCTCTTATACTACACTTCAGTGCGTGTGCCCTAAAACAAGTCCACCGCTGCTACTGACTGTGTCCCTCATCAAGGCGACGTGGATTATCTCCTCAATATAACTATACGTAAGTGCTTCTTCCAAAATACTATTCTGATCGCAGCGGTTCACTTTATCTTTAGTCTTCGCTGTGTGTACGTCTCGTTTCTTCATGACAAATTGAAAATATTTTGACATTTCTATAGCCGCTGCATTGACGGTAAAATTTTTGATCTTTGCTTGTGGCGTTCAGTTCTCATGGTCACTTTCAGGGCATCGTGTCTGGCTCTGTACAACTATTTTTCGCATGGAGAGTAAAGATTTTAACGTCGAATATTTGGTTGGTGGCTTTGGTCGTTGTAACCGCAGTAGCGGGTACCGGTGAGCCATCGCATGTCCCAAAATCTTGCCCTTATTGACTAACAGTTGTTTCTAGTGGGAGCCATAGGTAGTACCGCTGAGGCCATGAGAGCTGGGACGTTCCTTAAATTTCAAGAAATCAAGGTACTTCATATCCGTCCAGTTGGTCCCATTTTCAATCTCTGATCGACGTGATTTCGTAGTCTTGGGTTATCCTTTGGCTTGTGAGTGCCTGCGTCGCCGACATGCTCATTACCGTTATTCTGGTCTGGCATCTGGTATGCGTTGTTGTTTTGGAAACAGGCCATCACAGCTGACTCTGTTTTTCAGAGAAGGCACAAGACGGGATTCCAAGCGTCTGATGAATTGGTCGACAAGATCATTCGATGTACGCTATTTGATGCTACCTATCCCATGACTTGGACTGCTCACCTATTACATTCTAGCTACTGTGCAAACCGGTTTGATAACTTCGGTATGTGCTATCGTGGATTTGATCACGTATCTCTTGGTTGTAAGTCGACCTGTGTTACGATCCACTGACAACTGACAATGATATCTCCGTTGACAGTCAAATTCGCTTCACCTGCTGTTCAACTTCCCCCTTTCGAAGCTATACACGAACACGCTTATGAGTAGTCTCAATTCGCGAGGTGGATGGGCCTACGATAGCAGTGCCAATAACCATTCGCACTCACACACCACGGGCGGTATTGTGTCTACGTCAGGAGGTACTGCTTCGCGGACAAAGAAAGTTCGTAGTCATTCACTCCAATCTGCTTTCCTGCGAGGCTAACGAGAGTACCAGAGCGATACTGCTGTTCTCCGCTTTGGCGCTAATACCCGTCCAGAAGTCTTCGTGTCCGTTGAGCAACACGAGATGGGCGACATCCAGCGAATAGAATCTGAGGATATAAAAGTGGCTAACGACAACGTTTCCACGACTAGCAGGGAACCATGGGAAAGTGAAACGAAAAACGCTGGTAGTAATGTGTGATCAAAATGCAGACGATGCGCCACGGTATTAATACATATTCTTAATTCATCTATGCTCTTAGAGTTTAGACTACGACGCGGGTTTTGCAAAGGCTAATTGGTAATTGTATCATTACACAGTAGATGAAATATGTGACACCTTTCTTAGCATTTGCCAAAAAAAAGGCCTGGGATCGGACAGAGAGCGGTACGGCAATTTATTATGTTGTTTTGCCCTGACAACTGGGCGTCATTTCATCAGTAAGTCTGTTAGTAGACAGGAAGAAAGGAAGATTTCTTGGCCACCAGGTCGGAACCTAGCGTTATGAACGCAAGGATCTGATATACTTGCCTTGCGGGCGAACGTGGTACGGAATTTCTATATAGAGTCAAAATACGCGATCCCGCCCCGACTGCGGACATAATTTTGGTGCCTTGAATTTCATTTTCAAAGTGGCAGCTCCTTACACATGGATTATTGCAGTGTCATCGTATAACCTCGTGTATTCTTGTCTCCGCAGTTAAAGACGGCGTATGACTAAAAGGTAATAGTACTATCCTCGCTAGTTGCTTGTTGACCGTCCTCTATCTTCAAGGTAAGTAGATGACACGGAGTGTACATACCCAATTCTTCCCACAGCCTTCAAGTCAGAAAAGAGGTCAGACTTGAACAAGACGCGTAGCCTCTCTTGGATCTATGAGAATGGCGATAATCAAAGTGGTCGTCCAGATGCAACCAGACAAATGGAAAAAAAAGTGTGCGAGCCCGAGTCGGGCATTGAGAAGACCTGTCATCGAGGTCGATATACAGTGAAGGCCCGTCAATTGTTGAAAGTGCTTCCAGATCTGCCAGTGAAGTCTCGACTGCGGTCCACGGGGTCGAGGACGCTGGCTTTGATGTAAATCTGGGCACAGTTAAAGGTTCCGATGAGGGTATCCACTGCCAGTCTTGGCTGTTACACTTACTATTTGTTCGAAAACATCGGTATGGTTACACGGTAAGTGTACAAAGACGGGACATCGTGACTTGATGACAGCCGGATTGTTACGCGAAGAAGCAACATTAATCCTTGTGTTGTACGGCCGTTTGTGAATACCAGCTTAGAGTGCGGTAGTGTTGAATTGTTACTCTGCCTCCATGCCAAGGCGGCCGTTGCTCGAAGGCTGGAAATTATGACGCACTCACCACGTGGTTCAACTCTGGAGCCCCGCAACGGAACGATTTGCTGAATAAAAACAAAAACAAAAATCTTACAAATTTTTACGTTCATGTATCTATTTTCTATTTTCTATTTTCCATTTTCCAGTAGAGAGAGATTCCGATTGGTAGCGGGGACATCCGGATCTAATCTAATCACGTGCTTGACGTCAGCGATCGTTTTGTTTAATAGACCACTCTCACCTAGCAACCTATTGCTCTGCTTCATATTCTGACCTTTTCCTTTACCATGTCACCGTTCAGCTCTGTGTGCCATTCTTCTGACCAGGCTGACCTTCAGATTGACCAGCGTCTCATCCATGCTCTACCACCGCCGGATCGTCCAAGCCCGCTCACAGCCGTTTGTCCACGGCCAATACCCAATTCTTACTGGGCTACACCCTTGCTCTTAGCTTGCGAGTACCCATGGTCACCAAAGAACCCAGGCAGGTCCAAGCTCGATTCATTGCTCAAGGCTGGCGTCCGGACCTTTATAAACCTTACAGAGAATGGCGAGTTGTCTCCGTATGCCAATGTCCTGTGCGGACGAGCAGATATATTGGGTATTGACACTGCCACCATCGAATACCACCATTTCCCCATACGAGACAGGTCCCTCCCGGAGAGCGTGGACTACATGTATCGTGTGCTGGATGTCATCAGGGACAACGAGGACCGTGGTCGAATCAGTGCAGTCCATTGTCGTGGCGGTATAGGAAGGACCGGTATGGTGATTGGGTGCTGGCTCGTTCAAAGCGGACTTGCCGGGGATGGTGACGAGGCCCTGCAGATTATTGCCAAGGAATGGTGCACCGTCGAAAAATGCACCAGGTTTCCCCACAGTCCCGAAACGGGAGCCCAGTTCGAGTTTGTGAAGAACTTTAGGGCAATGGCGGTCCACGCGACGGCATAGAGAGATAATCGTGCTTGGCCTTATTTCCTTGGGTTGGATACCATCTACTTTGGTGTGTTTCCTTACTTTGTCTGTACTGACAACTGCTTACATTCGGTTTTACGGAGGTTCTATTTGGACATATACTCTATCCATTTCACTGTACATATACACATCGTCGCTAATTCCGCCATCATGTATTGCACTGAGCGTAGAAGTAGACAAAGCACCTATTTTAATTTATGGAAACGAGATATTGGTGAAATATCTTTGCAGTGGGATCGTGACCGTTACAAACATTTATGACGTAAATGTTCGCACGTCAGCGGTAAATACCTCTTGGTCACTCGAGCCGTCGTCTATTAGTACGCTTGCCATGGACACACCTTCAACGCCTCCATCTGCCGATTTTTCTTCTACACCTCCAAAGCGTACTAAGATTGTACTGCTTGGCGACCAAAGCGTTGGAAAGACCAGCTTGATTACCCGGTGACGACCTTGCGAAATTATTACACCAATAATGTGCCAATACCATACCACCGTAGGTTTATGTACGACACCTTCGACAATACATACCAAGCGACTATTGGTATCGACTTTCTCAGCAAGACAATGTATCTTGAAGACCGAACAGTTAGATTACAGCTCTGGGATACTGCAGGACAGGTGCGCGCCACGACACCTCCTCGGTACCATTTTGCCAACTTTTTCTCTGCTCAAAGGAGCGATTTCGGTCACTAATACCATCCTACATTCGTGATTCTTCGGTCGCTATTGTCGTATTCGATATCACAAGTCAGTGCGCAGCGCTACTACTGACATGATTTCTTCATGCTCATACCTTCCCTCGCAGATCGACAGTCATTCTTATCGACAACCAAGTGGATAGACGATGTTCGCTCGGAGAGAGGCAACGATGTCATAATAGTGCTGGTTGGGAACAAGGCTGACTTGTCGGATAAGCGGTATGTGCTTTACATACGTTGTAGACCTCCTGATATCTCACACATGTACAGGCAAGTAACGTTAGAAGAGGCGACTGCTAAGGCCACGCAACTCGATATATTGTTCATGGAGACGTCTGCAAAGGCGGGACACAACGTCAAGAGCTTATTCAAGAAGATTGCGATGTCGCTGCCGGGGATGGAGAAGGAGGGTCAGACGGATGCGAATACAAGTACGTACCCTTCGCAAGTTGCTATCATTCAGTGTACATGCTAAGGCGCATACAGAAATCGACGTTACGGCACCATCTTCAGGCGAGGTTCCAGAAGCATCACAGTGCAGTTGCTGAGCGATCTATCTGTACTTTGGCTACCTACCTTCACCCTCCTTTTCGGAATCAATGTAACGCGTCATGTTGCCTTCCTTCCGCTGGCTTCAGAGTATGGCCTGAAAACAGGTCGCTTTGAACGAATCGCTTTGCTTACTAGAAAGGTCTGGACTCAGCAATGGTATTCTGTTTAACAAAAAGACACGATGTTTATACAAAGTCTGTCATCACGGATACACAGCTTTTCAAGAAAAGGTGACAAACTTTTCTTTTCTTTTGCGAAATGCCTGCGTAATTGAAGTTCTTAGTTGCAATGCAACACAGATGTCTTGCTTCGGTTCGCCTTAGCGGGAAGACAAAATCGGAGCAGAATCTGGTTGAGAATTCGTTCTTTGCACCTTGACTTCCTTTGTGTAATATCTCTGCCTCATCCTTCTTTTGCCCCTTTTATTACACGTAGCTCATCTGCAGAGGGGGGTTCGAAAAACTCCACCAGCTCTACATAACTGGCTTCCAATAAGAGGTTCCGACTGCCGACAAGAGCAATCACCTTCAGGTGATCCTAGCCATCTGGGATACTATGCTTTGACCAGGAGCTCTTCAGTGGGCACATTGAGGAAGACTCTCCCGTCCCTAACACAAGTAGTAACGTGAGAAGACGTCGCTAGACCCAATCGAAGGTCGCGAAAAGTTTGAGCGTGTCCCTTTGCGGTACCGGTTATGTTACCACGGACGATCCTTCTTGATATGCAGTGGGAACATCATGCGGCCGTTGTCGCATATAAACTGTTTTCACAACACACCACAGAGGTGCAATATGCATATTCACCCCAAGTAGACATTTTTCGATCTCACTGCGTTGTTCCACAGATAATAAAGAGAATCCTGGCGCTATTTGGGTCCCTTATATCCAACACCGTGGAAGAGACCCTTCCTCCTTGTGATGTATCCTCTGGAGGGGCTGTTGAAGTACAGCCTCGTATCTACGAAGGTATAGTGCCCTCCCTTGTTGGGTTCAAGCTCAAGAGTACTTTCGTTCGGCTCCTAGTAGAGCTGCTCTGTGACTATATCACCATTTCTTAGCCACGAAATATCGTCTGAACAAGTATTTCTGTACAGCTGTTGCGGTCTTGAATCAGCGATTAGGCTATTCCTTCAAGGGCATTGCGCGGTTACAGACATCAAAGAAACAGCTTTCTGTACTTATGATCGTGCGCCGTCTGCATCTCTCGGCTCGAAACGGAAATTTCTATTCTCCCAGTAAATACTTGATGAAATTGGATTGAATGTACCTATCTGTTATATACACCGAGGGATTGTTTGTATTCAAGTTCAACATTCAATCCTTACCGGCCGTGAGTCTAGTTGCCGACTGACCTGTTTTGGGACTCGGCAAAGCCCTAACGGATGTCACCTATGAGCTCCAACTGACCGGTAACCCAGAGCAGTCTTCTCCCCTCCACTGACTGTGAGTATCATTTATCATGTTATCATCTTCATCTCCATTCGTTCTGACGAGTGTTGTCACCAAGGACCGTAAGGAACACGACCACTCTTGTAAAGCGCCACAATGTCTGAGGAAAAAAGAGCAACTGACCAGGACGCCGAGGAGGATTTCGATGAGTTTGACGGTACTTTTCCATATTATTCCTCTGAATCTCACTCAAACGTCATCTGTAGATGTACTATCCCAGTTCAACACAGCAAACAAAACATCGCCGACAGTCTCACCACTAACGTCGCCCCCACCTCCACCGCCTACAGCAACGACATCATTTTCCGGAAGGCCACGCACAAACACGCTCGTGGATCTCCCACCAAAGTCCATCCCAGGGTCAACAAAGACCGCACTCAGTTCGATGGCGGAAGACGTCGATGAGGACGAGCTCACGGCGGAATTTACGCGCGAACTCGCAAAGGGGATGGAGAATCTAATGAAGGAACTCCAAGCGGAAGCAGGCCATTCCGAGTCTCAGGGAGACACGGAAGAAGAGCGGACCCGATTGTTGAAGGCCGCATGGGAAGCTATGCTGGTCGAAGGCATGAATGGCGAGGGGGGTGAAGATATTAAGCAGATGATGGGCCCGGACTATAAACCCAAGGACGCAGGCAGTGGTAGTGACTTTCAGTCCAAGATCAAGCAGACGATGAACAAGCTGAAGCAGAGCGAGTCGGATTTGAAGGTGCGTTGCCGGTCGTCTTGTTTATTGTCGGCTCTAATTCTTCCAGGCTGATGGTTCCACATCGACTTCAGATCCGGACCTGGCCAGCATAGAGGCTTTACTGAAGGATTTGGGAATGGGAGAGAACGGCGGGCTCGACGCGAGCGAGGAGTCTATTGATGGGTTTCTTGAAAAGATGATGGGCCAGCTGATGAGCAAAGAGGTGCTCTATGAGCCTTTAAAGGAGCTGAACGATAAAGTAATCATTCATCTTTTCTTATTCATGTCCATGACTCATACCTACCAAGTTCCCCGGTTTCCTTGAAAACTCCCCTGCAGATCTGACATCCGAAGACAAGCAGCGATACCAGACTCAGATGGCTTGTGTGCAGAAAATCGTAGCGGCGTTCGAGGCTCCCGAGTATGACGATAAGAATGCAGCTGATATGAAGAAGATTGTGGATCTCATGAGCGAGGTAGACTTTTCTGGCGTCTTGATTGCTTTTTCGCTGATAGTGTCTTAGATGCAATCGTATGGCGCTCCGCCAGAGAGCATCATGGGCCCGCTTCCTCCAGGACTTGGATTCGGCCCTGATGGTTTGCCGCAGATGGGAGAAGGGTGTGTGGTAATGTAAACGAAAACAAATGTATTGTGTATCATGTATGTTTGTGTGCATCAGTGAATAAACTAGGGATTTGGATTTTGTACACGGAAGAGGTATCTACCGTTGTGTGCCGTGCTGCGACCATTAGGTCCTAGGAAAAGAGTTTCTTAACGAACTTTCGATAATCTCATAAAATACTTGAACACGTACTACAGAAATATGGTTTCGTAGCAATCATCAATGCTTCTAGATGAAGCAGCTTCGTTTCGCGTTGATCCTTCCATTCTTGAGAAGCTGGTCAGAAGGAAATTCAATGTCTTTTTCTGCAATAAGCCCCGAAAATACGGTAGATATAGGAACATATTGTGTACAGTATCGAATAGAAGTAAAGTATGGAATAAAAGTACATTAGATGGTCGATTATATTACTGCAAGTAGCCAATGCCGCTTAATAACAGATCAAACCAAGTCAAACTTCCTGCGTCTTGGGTATCTTAGGTTTCCTCGTCTGAAGCTGTGGAAGGATGTGCGGTATGACACCTCCTTCGGCGATGATAACATTACCGAGGAGTCGGCAGAATCTGAAATCGATGAGAAAATCAACAACACACAGAATAGAAAGATGAAGGCAAAGTGCGCACTCGTCGTCATTCCGGACGGCGAGTTGCAGGTGTTGAGGGAGAATACGACGCTTCTTGTTGTCCTTGGCTGCATTGCCGGCGAGTTCAACAATTTCCGCCACGAGATATTCAATGACAGCGGCAAGGTATACTAAGAAACATCATAATTGAGCAAGCATACGGCAGAGAAAGATGAGATGTACCTGGAGCGCTAACAGCAACCTTCTTCCTACCGTCGTTGTGCCGCAATTTGCGGTGGAACCTCGAAACTGGAAACTGGAGCCCAGCACGTTGAGATCGCGTCACCCTCACTCTCTTGACATCTGGAGGGATAAGAACATTTCCAGTTTTTCCTCTTGACTTTCCACTAATAAAATGTCGTATTAGCAATTGCCAAAGCTGCTCGTAATATGAGAGCACCTTTTGCCTTCACCCGACTGAAACACGATGATTAGGACAGAGAATGCTTGTATTTCAAGCTGTTCTTACCATTTGTTGAGATAGGTTCCAGTTATTGAGTCTTTGGGGGCCGGAGGTGGGTGTTGGAAGGAAAGACGAAATCTGTAGACTTGGTCATTTAAATAGGTGTCCATGCACACGTGATCGACGCGTCGAGTGACATAAGTGTGACGGTCACATCGATCTCACTTATTCTGATTCTGAACGGAAGAACGCACGGACGACACGAGGCGGTTGGACTGCAGAGCTGTACTATCGTGGACTTCGCCGCCCTGATCCGGAGGTATATTCAAACATCACAGGGCTGTTTATATAAGTACCACGCTTCCGGGTGGGGTTTTCATATTGTTGTGAACATTTCCTCTACTGTTCTTCTTTTGACGACGACAACGACGACGACGACGAGAGGTTTCTGCTATGTCCACGACATCGATAACTCTGGCGACTCGACCGCTTGCGGCTCCGACGACCACTGCTTCAGCGACTGCGACGTCTGCAATCACACCGTCGAGTGACCCGGTGCGTGGCATGCTGCTGGCTCTGATTATCCTCTCATGGCCTTGCTGTCTTCTGACCCAGATTGTTGTGCTATACGTAGTCCGTGAACCGTATTCCTTATTCTTCAAATAGTCAAGCATCCTCACCCAATCACAGATGATCTCGATGGCCGTCGTTATTTTCGGATTCTGGAACGTCCCAGGGATACGAAACTGTATAAATCCCTTGAAGCTATTTACGATTGGATGGCATGAGCTGTGCCATATTATAATCGTGCGTCAACTTGCGTTTGGACCTCGTGTTCGTGTGCTCATCATTCCAGGCTATATTAACGGGCGGACGAATATTACGAATCACGATTGATCCACATGTCGGAGGTGCAACGATCGTGGAAGGAGGGCGCCCAGCGTTTATACTTTCCGCTGGGTATATTGGCTCGACAGTGTTTGGCGCTCTGTTCGTACTGGCTGGTTGGGACATCCTCGTTGCAAAGATCATGAGTTTTGTCCTGGGTATCGGCTTGATCATGCCTCTGAAACTTGTTCGGGATAAATTGTGTGTCATTCATGTCATTGTACAATGAAAATGCTTAGCGCCCTCCAGTACTATATTATTGACGATACTCTATGAAGCTTTGCTCATCGGATTTTGGTTTATTGACCATGCATCGGCCCTCCGTTGGTATTGCCTATTTGTTGGTATCATGAAGTGCGTGGTTTTGGATTTTGTCGGCCCTTCTGATGTTGGACTACTAGTATTTTTTATGCCGTGTGTACGTTCAATCGCCTCTCACATGCGCCGTGTTTCATTTATCCGACTACAGGGGATGTTTCGGATGACCGCTTCTTTCACAAAACTAACGACTCGGATGCGACCCAGTTTTCTATTCTATTCCCCCGTATATCGCCTCATAGTACGGGGTTTTTTTGATTTGTTTTTGGCTTCTCTTTACGTCTACTATGATAGTATGGGCGACGTTCTGGATATTTTTTGAGGCACTAGTCCTTGCCGGAGTTGCTGTATTGGGGATACTGGTTTTCAAGGTGTGACCTTTTTCATGCTGAGGGGCACACTGCAGTGTCATTGACGATGCATTGTTAGCGTACGTCAACCCAGATGTACGACGAAGCTGGTGAGTGATGAGTTCTTTCTCACCTTGCATGACTGATAGGCATCTTAACAGCAAAATTTCTGCCTACATAGCGTTCTTTGCTAAGCGCAGCATTCCTCTACTCATATATTTTGTCGCAGCAAGTAACATATACTGGATGATCTAAGATGGATATCACAGCATATACAATGGGACTTGACTGACTTTTTGCACGTTAACTGACATGTGTACACTGCTATCTTGTCGCGCACTAAATTATTTCAATTAACAGCTTTGGTCTGCAGTTTACATGAGATCAGATTTTATATGGATGCTAGAATACAAAGGATTGCAAAGATGACGACGACTAGCGGTGACTGTCTCCAGAAAAACCACATAACGCCAAAGTCGGACGCCATCGAAAGAGTGAGATGGGAGGATACATTGGTGGTGGCAGGACATTAGCATATAGAGAAAAAGAGGGCGGCATGCGTCAGCAACCAGAATATGAAGCAGAATTATTTGCGGGTTGCTCGCCGTATGAGACCTGCCAGGAGAATTGTTCCGACAGCTGCAGCACCACCAACGAGCGCCATTCCGATGTACCCCTCTGCGCAGATAATAAGGACCGGAAGAAATCGGGCAAAGAACAAGAAGCATACCCCGAGCAACGCCCTTCTCGATGAGCTGGGCAAGGCTGAGAGCCTGCATATTCGTAGGCTCCTTCTCCAACAGCAGACCTAAAGGCCAGATAAGACAGGTAGATGGATATTCCGAGGTTGAGCTCACCGTTGAATCTGCGAGCTTCTTCAAAGTTTCCCATCTTGTAGTGGCCAAGGGCGAGGTAATATAGACATTCCCTGCGTCGTGTAGGTTCGGCACGGTACAGGTCTGACTGGGGTCAGCATTGACATTGAGGGTAAGCTGGGCACAGCAACGCACCTTGCAGCAGTCGGACGCCTTCCACCTGGTGATCTCGCATTGGACTCTTCACCAACCCCCAAGCATAGTTGAACTTTGTCTGTACGGTGACATGAACCTGTGCTAGTTCCTTTTCATATTGCAGCTTGAGGACCTGTGCGGCAGGTCAGACGAGGGCAATTCAGAAAAATTGGGACATACATACCTCGAGCTCGTCGTAGGATAGAGATACTTCAGCGTCGGCAGCGTAGGGCAGATCCGTGGACATGATGATGATAGTATGGAGCGGATGAGATGTAAAGGCGTGGCTGTGCAGCTGAGTCCAAAAAAAGCCTCTCGATCTGCCACGACGAGCAAGCCGCAGCCAGCAATTCTGCGTTTACCATGGCACGAGCACACCGGGTCGCCGTTCTTTCTTTGCTTTCAATCGCGCTCTACGTTCTCGTCATGCTTCAACTCTTCTCCATTCCCTTTGTCGACGACGCAGTAGTGCAGGAGATCATTCCAGTGTTTCCATGGTGGCTGTTGGTGTCGTTTGGGTCGTATTCACTGTGGTCGTTGGGATGGGGGTTGTGGACGTTTAGGGATTGCCCAGAAGCGTATACTGAGCTCATGGCTGAGATATCGCAAGCCAAAAACGAGCTCAGAGTGAAGGGTGTTACTGTGGATTAGATCTGTACGCTGCAGGCACTTGTCTTTGGATTGCTTTTGACTGTTCTTCAGTAGCGCTGAAACTTGACATTTCCTTGCGAGCTTTGAGAAGAGGTTGAGCAGCAGCACTATTTTAATTCATAATTTACTTTGATAAAATATGCTCTCAGAGAGGCTTCGGCAAAAGCCGCACCTTCTTGTCTTGAAACCATTATGGCAAAGGAAGAAATTGCTGCACCGCAGGATAATGTAAAGCCTTTGAACTACAGGGAGCAATTCCAGGTAGGTTCTGTCCAGTTCCTCATACCTGTTTGCTCTAACTCTGCTAGGGACGACATGCGCCTTCAAAATTTATTGAGCGCGTACCCATGTCTTGCATGTACAACATGTGTCTAATATAGATGCTTATTAGTCCGTGTGAAGCTGCCTCGAAAGCCTCTTTGAGCTGTCTTAGTCGCAATGACTATGACCGAGATGCATGTCAAGCATATTTTCAAGCATATAGGGATTGCAAGGCCGCTTGGGTGCGAGGCATTTCTGTTCTATCTTCACTGTACGCTTAAACCAAATAGCTTCAGCAAAGAAGGGATGATAGGAAAGCCGGCCGGCCTTCATCATAGTACTTAGCATTATATGATCATCAAATTATCTCGCTTTGCCTGCGTCGGATCTCCCAAACTTCACTGCAGGCTTCTAGATCACTGTGAGAAACGACCGTCTGGTCTCAGATTCTGTGTGCTTGGACAGCAAATTGGCGATGACAGAAGACTGACTACAAGACCGTTATTTCGTCTCTAGCTTCTTGCGGGATTGATCGTGTTTCATCTGCCAATGTGCAGTATGGAGTAGCAGCATACCGGAATGCTTATGGGTGGATGAGACACGGAAAGGCAAAGGAATCGACTCTGGCCTTTGCGAAATATGCTCTACTTCTCACTGATCACATTCACAGGAAACGAGAATGGTGATAACCGAGAAAAATGATGAATGGGCTTCTGTTTTCCGGCTACCAACTGATCAGAAGGACTTAGCGGGAGTAATGCGGTACATGAATAACGACATCAGATTTTAGAAAACAGTTAAATAAAGCTGTCCTACTATGACCGTTGAGGTGGAATCAGGTAAGCGTAAGGAGAACTTCGACATCCAATTCACACTCTCACAGCCGATAGCTACTTGAGGGATAATATTGCAACAGAGCACGTTATGACGAAGGCAACGGAGGGGGTGCCTCGGGCTGAGGCGCGAAAATGATGTTGAGCGGAGGTGTCGTTTGACTGTCCTCACTCAACGTCGTCGCAATAATCGATCGTCCAGCAAACGATCGTCCAGCCAAACTCTTCATAGCCCGATTGGCGCTGTCCGCATCATTGTACTTGACATACACACGACCCACACCCGAAGCCTCATCGATGCGAGCTGCGTCCTGGGCAGCAATCTGCCCAGTGTCTCCAGATGCCCATTTCGACTTGTCCTTCTTCACCGGCCGAGGAATCCTGAGATCCTCCACCACCCCAAAGTTAGAACATTCGTCTTTGACGTCCTCGTACAGATCGCCGTATTCCTGATCATCGATGAGATCGTCAGGCGTTACCATGTTAAGCATGAGGAGGATGCGATTCGAGAAGCTACTTTCTCCAGCTGGCATGATTGGACGAGGAATTTCGGGGAATTGATCATACGGAAGGTTGGGAATGCCGGGAGCATCCGCTTTGGCACCGACCGAGGCACGTTGGACGACTAAGTAACGCTCTCCGAGTTCCATACCATTGAGACTCTGAATCGCGGTATCTGTGACATCGGGATCCACATATTCGAAGAAAGCGAAACCCTTGATATCAATGAGTAAATAGGAATTGGATGACAACAAGGAACCTTACCTTTGAGGCCCCATTACCATTCTCCCGAACGAGATTAAAGGCTTTCAATTCACCAAAGGTCTTGAGAAGTTCTTGTACCTGCTCCTCGTTGAGACTAGCAGGCAGACCACCAACAAACACCTTGTTAATAGAGTCGGGCACGTTCGTGGAAATGACGCCAGGCACATGGAAACCAGGACCGGTGACTACCGACATATCCACGCCCCCGTAGTCTTTGGGTCTGCGGATTTTGAGTGGTCCATTGATGAAGATGATTCCATCAAATGCCATTGCAGAGGTAGCATCTTCGGCGCTACGGAACTGGCCTGAATGTAAGCGACAGTGAGCAGATGGGAAGCATACATACATACCTCTACGAAGGCATAATTCTTTTCGTAATTACACTGTACAGCAAGGACAGGGTTTCCTGTTGTTCCCGTGCCGAGGTTCATCTCAGCCATTTTCGCATTGAAGAAGTCGGCCAGATTTTGTTCATTGACATCAGGCGTGATGCTTCCGATGTAAAGTCGACGAGATTGGCGAGACAAATTGGGGTTCCCACCAATGCCCATACCAAAGCTTTGCACGGGCATAGGCGTAGGAAGACCGGGGATGCCGAGGATGGCAGGAATCTGAGTACGATTGGCACCAGGAAGATTGAAGAGACCTGGTTAGAAGTTAGTCAGCGATTCCAGAAAAATGAAATAATACACACCAGTCTGCTTGGCCTGCATTGCGCTGTATTGTTCGTATCCGGGAGCATGAATGTCCCAGCCAGACGCTTTTCGCCTTCGCTGTGACAAAGGGACGGCACCTTCTGGGGTTGGCGACCTTCGTTCAGGGGTACCGAGACCGTCTCTACCCTTGCCTCGTCCTCCGCTCTCCCCTCCTCCCCTTCCTCGACCTCGACGGTCAGCTCGATCTTCTCGTTCGAATTTTACGGTGCCATCCTTATCTTCATCACGTCCACCTCTGTGTCCGCGCCGATCTTCGTCATATCGAGGGGGGCGACGTGGATGGTCATCATACTCTCTATAGCGATCTCGCTCCCGTCTGTCATCCCTCCTGCCTCCATAGCGCTCTCTTTCTCTGTCGCGGTCACCTCTGTGCTCCCTGTCTCGGTCACGGTGTTCCCTGTCGTCGTGTCTGGACGAGCGATGGCGCTCCTCACGGTACGCCCCACGTTCTGTAAAAAAGGAAGAAAAGCCGTAGCGCGTAAGTAACTGGGCTGGTGCGAGGAAGCCAGCAGGTCGGGCGGCGATATCGAGAGGCTAGCTAGCTATAAAACCATGGTGCACGGGAAGAGAAGAATGCACCATGAGTGGATCGTCTTTGACAAGTCGAGAAAAAAAACAAGCTAGAAAAAGACGGCTGGAGTGAAGCCACCTCAGCACCAATCGCTTTTCATGGCTGCTCGGAAATGTCACGAGTGACGAGAGGAAAGGAAAGGGTACTCACCGTGGTCATCAACCATCGCTGCAATGTGGCGGTTTTGGACAGAAAGCGGGACGCATAGCCACAGCCACGAATTCAGCAAGGCGGTGACGCTCGGCCCGGACGATCGTAGTTTGCGCTCGGACCAACAACATCTATCCCCCCCCCCGTCCCCCATCAGTTCGTGGGAGATATGTCAGTGACCCTAGCACCGACGCCGTCCGTCCAATTCGAATGGCTCAGTTGAACCATTCTCTCTCAAGTGCAAAGAAATGAGGCCAAGTGTCGCAACATCATTGATAATTCCTTTGACAGGCTGGTAAGTACTTCCACTGTTACCGATTCCCCCTTTAGACGGAAACCTAAAAGCCCGTATATTCACTCAATTTCAAACCCGCTTGTTGTTAGGAACGATAACGTCCTTACGACAGCCCGACCTATATAGACGGGAGCAGACGAGGGATGAATCAATGACTTTTTGATGACTTGTTTGCGGAACTCGCAATCAGTCGACTTGCCCCTAAGTATCGACACAGGACCCCTCATACGGTCTAGATTTCATCCAGCATTGCGAGTGTTCTACAATCTTCGTAAGTACGGATACCATCCCGTGAAGACACTGTGGCGCAATCCCAATGGGCGTAACTATGAAATTGGAACCAGACTCGGACAGGATGAGGGTGACGACGATTTCGTTGCCCTGAATCTTACCTGAATCTTGGTATTCCAGTTTTTCCAGGGTAGACAGTGATCGCTACCGATCATTCCATGGTTTTGGTTTGTGGATGTGTTATACACTCTACCAATACAGATATATAATGGCTAGGGTATCTCGTTCTAGAGGAAGCGCATCTACGTTACACTGTCGCAATGTCTGTCGTTTCAGCCTCGTGAGTGGTTTTTGCCCTTTGGGAAGGAATATGCCTGACTGGTCTTTGTCTCAGGCAAGGTTTTATGCTGATAGGACACATGTTCAACATCCTCCTCATGGGCGTCCTGCTGGCACAGGTGTATATATACATGGTTACGTATCACAAGTACGTGTTGTCTTCCTAGTGTTTACTCTGACAATAATCTTAGTCAGACGCGACAAGTTTTGGTTAAAGACTTTTGTGAGTCCCGACAAGCAATCAGTACTGTTCGGTTCTCAGAGTAGCTCTGTTAAAAGGTGTTCTTTCTCCTTATTGTCAATTTGATGAATACGGGTACCGTGAGCTTCGATTTGCTATAACTGATCAAATGATTGTTGTTTGACTCCTTCGACAGCAATTCATCTACATCTATGATGCACTCATCGTCCACTTCAGTATGCCATTTAACACTAGGCGTACCTTGTCTTAACATGCTCTCTTATCCAGTGGATCTAGCATACCTGGGCAAAATCACGGCGAGTAAGACCTTTCAATAGTTTGGAAGTGTACGATCGCTGAAAAAAAAAAAAAAACACTTGATTAGTCTTTGCTATCTGTGAGTTCTGTCATTGAAGCTTTGACATATCAATCTTAACTTACATTTCCGGTGAAAAGCTGGGGCCTTGACGGTAGGCGTGTGTCAAATTTCTTCTTTTCAAATGCTCATTGCATCGTAGGGTGTGATATCTGGTTCTGTGCAGTTATTCTTCGCCTGGAGAGTGAAGATCTTGACCTCGAACATATGGTTGGTAGCCATAGTGTCCGTGACTGCACTGGCTGGTACTGGAAAGTAGCTCATTCCTTGACAACAACATCTTTCTAACGCCGGTATCTGCAGCTGGATCCATCGGTAGCACGATCGAAGCCTTAAAGGTCGGCGGCTTCGCCCGCTTTCCGGACATTAAGGTACGACGAGTCGTGTGCTGTCAAGCTGGCTGAAAATCTCGCGACATTACTAGGGTTGGGTTATTCTCTGGCTTGTGGGTGCGTGTGCCGCGGACATTTTAATAACCGTTATTCTCGTTTGGCATCTGTAGGTTTGTCTGTCTCTAATGTATCACTCCCGTTCACCTTCCCAGGGTATGTGCGCGTCATCAATGGGCGGACGACTTCCTTCTTTGATCATCTGTGCAGAAGAATCACAAGACAGGCTTCCGCGGTTCTGATGAACTAGTCGACCGAATCATTCGATGTGAGCTTTGCTTTTAACTCAATTGGTGAGAACAGCCTACGACGCGTATTTTAGCAACTGTGCAAACGGGCGTGATCACGACTGTTTGCGCCCTAATTGATTTACTCACCTACCTTCTGGACGTAAGTCTTATGTTAGTGCCCTGAGAACGCGAGGATCTCAAAGACGTATAACAGCCCACAGGACTCCATCTAGTGTTCAACTTGCCACTCGCAAAGCTGTATACCAATACTCTTCTGAGTAGTCTCAACTCTAGAGGTGGCTGGTCGTACGATTCCAATTCAGAATGGCATTCCCATACTACTGGCGGCATTGTGTCTGGAGCTGCCTCCAGGTCAAAACAGGTTCGACCAGCTGTATTATCAGCATTTCGCGTTTTATCGACTTTTTCTTGCAGGGCGTACGCTTCGGCACCACTACACATCCCGAAGTGTTTGTAACCGTTGAGCAACACGAGATGGGGGATGTCTCCTTGCAGAAGCCAGACCTGGATTTCGTCGACAGAGACATTAAAGTGGATCCTTCCTTTGACGGATCTCACCCCTGGAAACAGGACAACCAAAGAGTTGGACATACCATTGTGTAGTTTAAGATTGGTCGAGGGATTATTACTTTATCTTTATTGTTAGTAAAGCAGTTCATGAGGCCGGCCAAATTCGTTTGCCTACTGGCACCGATACAGCGACTCCAGCCAAATAAAGCCAATCCATCTCCCTTTTGAGTTACTCTGGTCGCGTCGCGCCCTGTCCATTGCCTCTCAGTTACTCTCAGTGCTCGCTGATATCCAACGCTTCGTCTACTCTTTTCAGTCGTATCTCATACTGCCCTTGAGTGAAGCAGACCGTCCAATGCCACTGGTGTTGAATCTAGTCGACGAGCCGACTCATGAGGGAACGTAACATGGATGTCGACGTGTTGGATGCGGCTGCTTTTTCCAAAGACTACCACACTGCTTTACCGAAGGGCTTCCGAGGCCGTCACCGGGACCCGATGGCTTCGTTCAACGATGAGAGGAGAAAAATGCGTGCAGGCCAGCTCAATGAATCGAAGCAATATGGGTGTATTATAGATATGCTGAACCAGCCAATGCAGCAGTCTTTGGTAAGTCCATGAGGCTCTGTTTCACAGCACTACTCTGACCTGGGCAACAGTGGAGATCCTCGATACCCAGCCGGCAGCCATTCAACTTCAATTCATTGACACTCATGCGGCTCACTTAATTCGTCACATAAAAGGCTACAAGGACAAACCAGATATATGTGCCGTTGAGTCCCACCATTTATCATCGTTAGAGAAGACTGACGCTGGACACTGTCATCGTGTGCTGTGGCACAAGACCCGATCTGTAAGCGAAGTAAAGCCGCCTACGAATGACTCGAAGAAAGGTCGTCAAGTCCTGACCTACGCTGCATCTCACAACTTGGCTCGCCCTGACAGACCTGGGTGTCTTACCATCAGTGTGTCTCCGCGTGGCTATCAGATCACCTGGAGCGATCCGTCCGGTGGACATATATCAGAGACAATCGCCTGGGACAACAGGAAAGGCGAACAACTTCTCAGCTTCGTTTGTTCCCTTTACATTCCACCTGCATTGTGCGACGCCATGGACCCGACCACCTCTCGTTCTCCTAGATGGAATATTGACTTCAAAGGAAAATTATACAAGGAATGCAGAATTTCATTCGTCGGAGAGGCGCACAGTCGGAAAACAATGATTTTCAGGCATGAGGACAACGGGTGTGTGTGGATAATTAAAGACCAATTCTCCCACAAAGGTCGCAGGTAAAGAGCCAGACCTATATGAAAACTGGGCGGGACGGCGGGATGGGTGACTGTCATCGAGTCAGGTGACGTGGGCATGGTTGTGGGCAACGGAGAGTCTACAAGAGAGAAGAAGAGGCTGATAATAAGCTCAGGTGGGGATGCTCTGAATAAAGTGAAAAGTGTTAAAATGTTCTTGATGTCAAGGTATGACATTTTGGAAGGTATGTGATAACAGAATCGTTGTCATTCCTTCTGAAAGACGTTACTCCCAGCGCATCAATACGCCGTCATGAAGAAACAAGTAATGCACCGAGATATGAGCCACCGGAATATCCTCGTGAACCCGTTTGGCCTTCCTGATACAAATCCGGAAGGACCTATATTCGTCAACACCATCTTGGATTCTCGGAACAAGGGAGCCCAGCCAACGGCGTTGATATGTGATCTAGACAACGGTTGTGTATACGAAATGGATGGTGCATCATTGCTTTCTGCCTGCGCGCACAGCCGAAGGAACTTGGACACGTCAAAGACTCAGTGAAAGAGCTCAACAACGCGTGGGAAATTCTATCTGGACCAGTACGGTTGGGGTTGTTAACTTGGCCCCAGCAGCAATGGGAACGTGCCCTCCACCCTAGATTGAAGTCTTTGGTAGTTTACTTCTGAAACTTGGCGCACAGATGGAGCCCGAGTACGGCTTTCTTGACCCACCTCCTGCAGATGACCATCTACATGAGGCTTTCCAGAGGCTTCTGCTCAATCAGATTCACGATTTGAAGGAGGATATCGAGCTCAACGTAGAAGAGCTACGTTCCCTGCCTGAGTTGCAGCGTTATGAGACTCGGGGCACGACCACGCCGTTTGGGGCATCTATCGGCCAACGTGAGTTACCTGATTGATTGTTTATAGTAAGCTTTGAATTTTTTAATTTCAAACAGGAATATTTGTTGAACTTATTGCAGAGATCCAAAGCGAGCCAAGACGACGAAGGAACCGTCGAAACGGTGACGAGGGGAAGGAAGAGATGGAACGCGTCGGTAGTCTTCATTGACAGTCATAGTCGGGTGACAATGTGGGATCATCTCTGCGTGTACAATGTCCCTTTACCTACAGCTCCTGACCTTCTCAAAGGAATCTGATATGGTTGCGGTCTAACTTGACGTATTCGACCATGATCTCCTCGTCCTCACAAAGTCGAATCACATCGATTCCCTGAATTAATTCACGTGAGTCCCGAATTCTCCAAGAAATGGATCCTATCACTACGATTTGCGGCTTGGAATCGCTACCTTTTGTTTGAATTCAAGTTTGTCGTCGTCACTTGAGAAACATTGATTACATGACATAATGCGACTGCAAGATGTGATCAAGTATCGAATAAACGACGTGGAAATGAACGGGACCGCTGTGTATATATGCACTGAGCCAGTATATTATATACGCAAGCGACGAGTGCACGAGTCCTAGTTGGATAGCAATTTGAGTTGAATCCACCGTACGCGCTTTTTACTCAAGTTACTCCAGGCCCGCAAAGCGTCTCTCGGGAGTCGGGCAGTAGGTTCCCGCGGAATTTGCCAGGATCTGCTTTAACAGTAGTGATCATGTCTGCTCCAATTCCGAACGATTTCCTAACGATGTTGCTGGACGCAGTTATATGTACGCCCCAAACTCATTGTCTGGGATATCTCTTGCTCTCCTAATTACTCGCCATGTCGTCCAGCCAAGTCCGCATTGCCATTGGTGCGTCCCCTCTTGCTTATCCATATTTTATCTCACCCGCTACAGATCGTGGTGGAACCTTTACCGACGTGCATTGCTCGCAGGCTGGAAAGCCTGATATCGTGTTAAAGGTATGTGGTATTCCAATGCAGGATAAACACATCTCAACTGATGTCATTTAGCTTCTTTCTGTCGATCCCAGCAACTACCCTGATGCGCCTACGGAAGGCATTCGGAGAATCCTCGAACTGTCGTCTGGGCAGAGCATCCCAAAAGGTGCCAAGCTGAAGCTGGACCAGGTGCGTTGCTTGTCTCATAGCAAGAGCCAGCCTAAATGATTCACAGGTTGAAAGCATTCGTATGGGTACCACTGTGGCTACAAACGCACTACTAGAACGGAAAGGCGCGCGTTGTGCTCTTGTAACCACTGAGGGTTACCGCGATGTCTTGCGCATCGGACAACAAGGTTAATAATATCTATTAATGCTATTCGTTTTCCTGTTGACCTCCTCGCAGCTCGGCCCAATATCTTCGACCTCTCAATTCAGAAGTTGTCCTCCTTGTATGAGAAAGTAGTCGAAGTTGGAGAGCGGGTCACCATTGCGACTTCCACCGAAGATCCAGAGTCTTCAACTACAGACTTGGAAGGGACGTCCGATGCAGCAATTGTCCGTGGACTAACGGGTGACTTTATTCGGTGTGTATATGTTGTGTCTACTTTTTGATCCCTTCGCTGATCTTCGCCTAGCGTCCTGGAAAGGCCTGACCCACGGGTTGTCCGTGCTCAGCTCCAGTCCTTACACGACGAAGGTTTCCGGTCTATTGCGATCGCCTTTGTTCACTCTTATACCTACCCGGCGCACGAAATACTAGTTGCAGACATCGCTAGAGACTTTGGATTTTCCGTTTCGGTTTCCTCAGAGCTTCAGCCTATGATCAAAATTGTCTCTCGCGCCAACTCTGCCATTGCCGACGCGTATCTATCTCCGGTTACTCGTGCATATATCGAGACGTTTGCATGTGGGTTTGACGGAGGCCTTGATGCATTGGGTAACAAACTTCTTTTCATGCAAAGTGATGGCGGTCTATGCAATTGGAACAACTTTTCTGGTCTTCGGGCGGTCTTGTCAGGCCCCGCGGGAGGGGTCATCGGATATTCCAAAACTTGTTATGATGCCAATGATGGCTCGCCACTGGTATCTGTTGATATGGGCGGCACCTCGTATGTCCTAGTCTCATCTCGAACTCTCCTTTGCGTGTTCATGTCCAATATAGTACCGACGTCTCGCGCTACAGTGGACACCTCGAGCATGTTTTTGAAACCACCACAGCACAGGTTATCATTCAGGCCCCCCAACTTGACATCAACACTGTCGCCGCTGGTGGAGGCTCCCGCCTGTTCTGGGAGAACGGGATGTTTGTTGTCGGTCCCGAGGTCAGTTTCTGTCATCTCTAACATTGTCTCAATGCTAAATCAGAATGCTAGAGTGCCGGCGCACATCCTGGACCAGCATGCTATCGAAAGGGTGGCCCCCTTGCCTTGACTGATGCCAATCTCCTTCTCGGCAGGCTTTTGCCGGAGCATTTGTGAGAACAGATTTCTGGGATGGTATGGTATCTTCTGACGCTCTTGATATCTAGCCCCAAGATCTTTGGACCGAATGAAGATGAACCTCTGGACATGAGTGCCACTCGCAAACTATTTGAGGACCTCACCGAGAAAATCAGCGCGGACAAGAACATCAAGATGACTCCTGAACAAGTCGCATCGGGATTCCTTCGCGTTGCTAATGAAGCTATGAGTCGACCGATCCGGACGTGCGTGGAATATTTTCTCTCGGTCATGTCCACCTGTCTCATCTAGATCATAGACTAACTGAAGCCCGTGGTTTTGAGAGTGCTAATCACAACCTGGTAATTTTTGGTGGTGCCGGTGGGCAGCATGGAACCGCCATCGCTACTCTCCTTGGAATCTCTCGTATCCTCGTTGCTCGCTTCTCTTCCGTCTTGTCTGCCTACGGCATGGCCCTTGCAGATGTTGTCATAGAGGAACAAGAGCCTTCGTCATCCATTCTTGACTCCCGGTCTGGAGCTGACAACGCAGCTTCCTATGCTTCGCTTCATTCCCGTGCTGAAACGCTCATTCAGCGCGCTCGACACGCTCTTGCCTCACAAGGATTTGCCCAAAGTCAAGTCACAACAGAGCTATCGTACAATTGTCGATTCCAGGGTACAAGTGCTGCATTGATGGTGCGAGAACCTGGAGATGGCGATTTTGTTGGAAAGTTCATACAGCAGCATGATCAGTTGTTTGGGTTCACGCTTCAGGATAGGTTTATATATGTTGATGATGTAAGGGTAAGAGCCGTAGCGAAGAGCGCTGGTACAGAGCAGCAAAGTCCTTACGAGGAATTGGAGTGCTGTACGTTGAAGGAAGCGGTGGGAGTGCTCAGCAATTGCAAGAGGGAAAACATTTTCTTTGATGGACTTGGCTGGGCAGACACGTCTGTGGTCCCACTTGAAGATCTGTTGCCTGGAGATCAAATTCCCGTAAGTTTCCAGCGTTTGTTGTGCTTCCGGCCTCTCACACCTTTTGCAGGCACCCGCGATCATCTTTGACAACACCCAAACCATTCTGATCGAACCGGGATACATCGCTACGGCCACCTCGAAACATGTTATCATTGACAGGACCGGACCATCGTTTGCCAAACCTGCACTTGACCATGATCACGTTGACCCCATTCAACTGTCTGTGTTTGGCCATCGCTCTATGGGTATCGCAGAACAGGTTTGCTTCCCGTTACTGATGCACCGCAAGCCTCTAACTTATCATTATAGATGGGTACCATTCTCCGGCAAACCTCTATCTCCACTAATATCAAGGAACGTCTCGACTAGTGAGTTCTAACAGTCACTTTTGTCATCCGCAAGTTTTCGCTGACATTTTCAACAAAGTTCATGTGCTCTTTTCTCACCAGAAGGACTTCTTGTTGCCAATGCGCCACACATCCCATGTAACGACCAGTTTCCTCGTTTCTGAGTATGTTTAAGTTATATAACTTGTCCTCTTCAAGGTCATCTCGGTGCTATGAGTTCGGCTGTGCGTTTCCAAGCTGAGTTTCGTAAAGGTCGACTACAAGAAGGTGATGTACTTGTTTCGAACCACCCTGGTAAGAAAAGCTTTTTCCCTCCCTGTTCGTACTGCCATTAAACCCATACGATCGCAGATGCTGGAGGATCCCACTTGCCCGATATCACTGTTATCACTCCTGCATTCCATAATGGAAAGATTGTTTTCTGGACAGCTTCTCGAGCCCATCATGCTGACATTGGTAAGCTGAACATGTCACCGTTAGTTCTTTGTGTAATTTTGCTGGTTACAGGCGGTATCCGCGCTGGTTCAATGCCACCATTCTCAAAAACAATCGAACAGGAAGGCGCACAGATTCTGAATTTCAAGTTGGTCAAGCAGGGAAGGTTCGATGAAGAGGGTGCCGTTGATCTCATGTACAATCAACCTTCAAAGTATCCTGGATGCTCTGGAACACGAACTTTGAGTGACGTTAGTTCATCTTTTCGGTGCCGGTGCATATCGAGATGTCATGCTGACTCCGTCGTGGACATTTAGAACATTTCCGACCTCAAAGCACAAGTCTCTGCTAACTATCGAGGCGCCACGTTAATCCGTGCCCTTATCGAGGAGTTCTCATTGGAAGTTGTTCAGGTAAATGACTATGTCCTAAAATGGCTTCCTGCACGGACTAACAATATCTTAGTTCTATATGACTGCCATTCAAAATACCGCGGAGGCCGCTGTGAGAGACTTATTGCGTTTCGTCGACAAGAAGTTTGGTGGGAAATCTCTTGAGGCTATTGATTACATGGACAACGGAGAGGAACTCCGACTCAAGATTAGTATCGATTCAAAACGCGGCGAAGCGGTGTTTGATTTCACCGGTACAAGCCCACAGTCGTAAGGCATCGTTCGTACTTTTCCCGGTAGTAACCGTTATTAATCCACTGCCAGATACTCAAATCTCAATGCGCCCACTGCCATTGGCTATAGCGCCATCATTTATGTTCTTCGCTCGCTGATACCCACTGCCATTCCGCTCAACCATGGTTGTCTTGCGCCTATCGAAGTCATCATTCCTTCTCGTACTATCCTTTCTCCTGGTCCCGGTGCCGCAACTGTGGCCGGTAACGTCGAAACGTCTCAGCGGTAAGCTGATTCGGTATCTTGGTTAGTTGTGTTATAACCCCACTCTCAAAGTATTACCGATGTCGTGTTAAAAGCGTTCGAGGCCTGTGGAGCGTCTCAGGGCACTTGCAACAAGTAAGGTTACGTTCCTATGTGCCCGGGATATCCTAACTGATCATTTCCTTCAGCCTCACCTTCGGCTACGGAGGAAACAGCGGCTCTTCTGTGACGAAAGGCTTTGGTTATTATGAGGTGCGTCACTCCAGCTCACGCTCGGTGACTATGCGTTGACAACCTTCCTTTGTAGACCATCGCTGGTGGTTCTGGAGGTGGCCCAAACTGGGATGGTCAAAGCGGGTATGTGTCTTCAACGCCTGGCGCTGTACCCTTTCTGAGATAGTTTTTGTTTGCCATAGAATTCACGTTCACATGACAAGTGAGTTTCCATGGAATTGGAAGCATTTTCCGGGTACTCATATCCATTATTTCAGACACTTGTATCGGGGACGCAGAACAGATAGAACGCAAATACCCTGTCATCGTTCGTGAATTTAGCATACGTACTGGGTCTGGAGGTGCTGGCCGGCATCCTGGCGGCGACGGTTGCATTCGTGAGATTGAATTCACACGAGACTTGGATGTAGCCATTCTCTCTGAAAGACGCACCATACCTCCTTATGGAGTGCGTGGGGGATCGCCCGGAGAACGAGGACGTAACTTCTGGCTTAGGAAAGAAGTCGACGGCAGTGTTACTACCATCGCCCTCGGAGGTAAAAATGAGTGTCCAATGAAGGCAGGGGACAGGATTCGCATTGGTGGGCGAAAGCGCTCGTTTCCGCTGTATGTTATTGACGTCGATGTAGAAACTCCTGGCGGTGGTGGGTACGGGGCTCCTGGATCTGTCGAAGAAGATGCCAGTCAGTTGTATGGTGCTTATATAACAAGTGTCTTTTCTCGTGCGAATGGAAGTTTAGCGCAGATGCAAGAGGCGGCGAACAGTAACTGATCCCATGGTGTAACTTGTGAATAAATCTGTCAGTATCGCCCAAACTCATTTATAAACTGCCTTGGAATCTGCGCTCAAAAATGTCACCTCTTCCATATTTTACTTTGCGATCCAGAACAACAAAACTCGTTGCAGCCTGCATGAGTGAGACTCAGAGGTATAACAGTTAAACCTTGCTCGAATATAAATTTACAGCAATTTGTAGAGTCGCAGAAACAACCAGTTCAGGCGACAAAGAATGTAATACAATCAAATTGCAATAAAAGGCTAAAGATACAGCAATTTAATCGAAGAGACCGAAGCCCATGTCGTCGTCGGATTCCTCCTACGAATATCATTAACAGGGAGCAAAGGAAGGAATGAAACGAGAGACTAACTTTCTCTTCCTCCTTCTCTTCCTTCTTTTCCTCAGCGGCAGCTGGCGCGGCACCACCAGAAGCAGCGGCAGGGGCAGCAGCAGCGCCTCCTCCACCAGAGGGAACCTTTGAATGAACGGTGAACAATAGAGTATGAAGAGATGATACGCGACATACAGAGGCAAGTTTGGAGGAGCCCTCAGCAATCAATTGGTCGATGTTCTTGCCAGAAAGCTCAGAGATCAGACTGGAGAGGCGGTCGCCATCCGCCTCAATGCCAACAGCGGAGAGGACCTTTTTAACGTCGGCGGCAGAAGGAGAAGCATTCCCTCCGATTTGAAGGAGCAGGTAAGCAGCGATGTAACGCATCTAAGCAACGGTAAATTGCCAGTCCAAACGAAGGGACAAAGTGGGCGTACTTTTCAAATATTTTGAGTGTATACGGTTCCACAAATCACTGAAAATACGAGTCAGATGGTGATGAGAAGGAAATAGAGCAGACTAACATTTAATCCTCTACGGGAGGACTTGTGGTTGCTATCCGTTTGTGACTTGGTCTGAACAAAATCTGCGGATCCCATGCCAAGCTGGTACTGTATAGTAGCACGTGACAATAAGGTTTCAGCCACACTTTCCGTATTCGTACTCCGCATCCCTTTTCCAGTTCAACGCATCGCGCAAGAAACCTCAAAATCAAGATGGTACGTGCTCGCCTAGCCGCCTGGACAACGGACCTGATGATGTACAGGCCGATTCAAGCGTCACCGACCCCGCTGTCGCCGCCGAACTCAAGAAGAGAAGGACCTTTAGGACATTTTCATACCGTGGAGTCGAACTCGACAAGCTTCTTGACCTCAACAACGAAGAGGTTCGTCGGCAGCTGGGCAGTTTGGCGACCAATGTTCATTGTACCTGTGTGTAGCTCGTCGACCTTGTCCACGCTCGTGCCCGTAGACGCTTCAAGCGTGGTCTCAAGCGCCGACCACTCGGCCTCATCAAAAAATTGCGCAAGGCCAAGAAGGAGGCCCCTCCCAATGAGAAGCCTGCCGTCGTCAAGACGCACTTGCGGGACATGATTGTTGTGCCCGAGATGATTGGATCTGTTGTCGGAATATACAATGGCAAGGTGCATTTCGGTTTACTGGTAGCAAGACATGAGGTTGACATCCAGCCAGGTCTTCAACTCTGTCGAGATAAAACCAGAGATGACAGGCCACTACCTTGGAGAGTTCTCCTGCTCCTACCGCCCCGTCAAGCATGGTCGTCCCGGTATCGGTGCCACTCACTCTTCCCGATTGTTAGTCATCTTTTGGTTACCCACGGTCTCTGTTACTCATGTTTCCGCCCAGCATTCCATTGAAGTAAAAGGAGATCCCTACGTGCCGGAGGGCAGGCTTTATACTTCTACTATCATCCATGTCATGCTTTATGAACCAATATTGATATGCGATTTCCGGCCATCCGTTAGTTGTGATTCTTCAAGTCAACCCGTGAAGGACAAAGATGTCTATGTGATGGTATCCAAGCGCGTCATTATACATTACATTTTGCTGTACATAGATGCGATGCTCAAGTGTATAAAATACAAGACGTGTGGTATGCAACAAAAGGGGAATAAATATCATGATCATTTACGAGGTGAACTTAGCGGTGAGCCCAAAGCTGATGACGGCCTGTCTAATTTATTCCGCAGGCGTTCCAGTTCATGTTGTAGCCTAAAGAAAGGTGAGTAGATTTTACAAGTGTGGCAAGTTGTCACCCACGTCAATGCCTTCTGTTTGTAATCTCCGGCGTCTCTCTCAGCACGCCGTTTAGCAGACTGTAGGTCACTCTCTTGTGTTTGCTATCTCCACCTCAATACTCTGTCCATCAACGATAAATTGGAACGTTACTTACCATCGTGTCCATCGTCTGCCGCAGCTGCTGGATCTGACTCTCATACCCTCTACGCTCCTCTTCAAATTTAATCCGAAGCCTCTCGCTCTCACCCTGCTGGAACTTGGCATCACGCAAAAGACGTGAAGCCTCGTTTTTGTTGGATGCCTGATGCAGTTGGCTAGTCAGTTCCTCAATCCGCGTGTCAGCAGCTCCCCGTCTTGATACAGTCGACGGCTGCGATGACTTTGCGAACGCCCTGGTTTCTAGATCCACAATCCGCACATTGAGTTCCTTCACTTGCTTCTCGAGATTTGCCTGCAAGACACAAACAAGTTCACCAGTCAGAAATTGATGCCCATATACGTGGAAAATAGACATACGTTCAATCGCTCAAGTTGGGAATAATCCACTCGGCTCTGGCTCAACTTGATCTGGAACTCGTTTGCCAAAGTCTCTGCCTTCTTCATCCTCTCAAATGCGTTGGTCACCCGATCACCCTGTTCTTCTAGCGCCCGCTCCAGATCCTGCTTTTTAAGCTGTAGCTTTTGATACTCTCTATCAGTGGACATCCGGTTGGTATCGACATGGTCAATCTTGATTCCCTCAAGCTCAGCCTGTAGAGCACGGCGAGCTTTTTGTAAGAGAGCGCGGTCGGCCTCCATATCGTCCGACATGCTTCGGAGTTTTCGGACTTGCCCATGGAGTGACACGATCTGCGACTGTTGTTCTGCCTGCGCGCCTGTGGAAGCTTCATACGCCTTGGTAATGTCGCTGATCTTGGTCTCCATCCGTTCCTTCTCCTTCTTCCAGCCACCGCTGTTATACACTTCCTCGTCAAAGGTGAGTTGGAGCTCATCATAGTCCGACCGAATGTTCCGATTCTCTTCGCGGAGTCGACTCATACTGTCGCGCTGCGATTGAAGCTCTGAAATCCAAGAGTAAGAAAACAATACGTAACATGATGCAAAAAGAGATTACCTTCACTCAGTTGTGCAAGTTCAGCTATGAGAGACTAGTATGAGCAGGGAGGAACTATAGTGAACATAAGGGGCCTTAGCTGACCTTGATACTTCTTTCGCGTTTGATCGCTGGTAAAGTCGCTTTGCTCCAGATCCTTTTGGTGACGTGCCTTCTCATCTTCGAGCTCTTCCACTAGTCGTTGGTTGATAACGACTAGATCAGAGGATCCGTGATTCTCATCATCGAGTCTGGCCTGTAGCTCTTGAACTCGGTGTTCTGACGCTTTCAAACGCTCCTGTAACACCTGGTGCTGTGCAAGAGTCTCGGCGTTGGCCTTCTGCAGCTCGCTGAGAGACCGACGGACTATTAGTGACCATTAGCACCCATTATGGTAAAAGGGATTGATTGACTGTACCGAAAGCCTCTGCTCTAGCAGCCTTGGCTCTTTCTATCTCCGCAACTTCAAAGCGCTCTTGGTATGTTTGCTCTTTCGCATTGTAGGACTCGATTAATGCACGCATTTCTGTGGAAACCATAAGTCAAACTTCAAATCTAGATCAAGGTCTGCTAACCTGATTGAGCCGCATCAGAGGTGGAGGAGGAAAGATCTTCCTCCTGAAGGCGTTTCTGCAGCTGGCGTCTGGCATCTAGGACTTATTAGGTACATATTTAAGGACCATATGAAATGCAACTGACTGGAGGTTTCCGCCTTAGCTTCACCGACCTGGGACCGAAGATCATCAGCTTCAACTTCCATCCGCTTCTTGGATTCCGTCAACTCCCTAAGCTGAGCACGCTGAACTTCCAACTCTGCTTGGACTGTACGCTGTTGGATGAGCTTTGGATGAGAATCAGTATTTGAGCATGAAGACTAGCAGAAGGAAACTCACCAGAGCCTTCCTTGATTCTTCCAGACGAGAGTAGTTTTGCCGTTCTTCCGATATGGTATTCTGGAATTTAGTCCACATTGCTTGAATACCATCAACCTGGGCAGACTCAGCGGCATGACGCGCTTCTGCTTCCTCTCGAAGAAGTTCGCCCAGTCGAACGTTCTCCTTTGCAAGACGAGCGCGGTAGGTTTGAAGCGACTGCTTGGAGCCATCACTATTCTCCAGATCAGCGGTCATATCGCGGAGCGATGCCTCTAGATGCTGCCTGACTCGTTCTGAGGCTACCATTTGAATCTCTAGAATTTGCACTTGCTGCTTGAGGGCATTGACCTGCCGGTCTGTGGAAGAATGTGCTCCATCAGGATGTGATTCTTTTCGAGGACGGTGAGCACCCTTGCGAGGGGTAACATTGGCCATGCCGTGAACATCACTGCCTGAGTTGGAGGATACATGCCGTGAACGAAGCGACATCTCCACGTCCAGATCATCATCAACGGCTTTGAGCTCTTGAAGCAGACGAGATTGGAAAGATGAATCAACCGGCCCACTGTTCATCACAAGTCGCCGAAGCTCTTGGTGATGACGCTCGACACGATCTCGAATTTTCGCGGCCAAGGCTTTGGAAGACTCAGCCTCATTTAGCTGATCCTTGAGCTGGGCGATTTGGGATTCGTACTGCCTCTGTACTTTGGCCATGGAAGTTGGTGCTTGTGTTTCGTTGGCCAAGCGCTCCAACTCAGTTTCGAGGTTATCCTTCGATCGCTGGACTATAATGAGTCCTTGCTCGAATTCCATAGCCCGACGCTCGGCATTTTGAAGCTCCCTTTGGAGACGTCGAGTCTCTGCTTCAGTGACGTCTTTATCATGTCTCTGCTTCTCGACCTCTGCACGTGCCTTTGCTGTACGTTCCTCCTCGGCCCTGAGTGCTTTTTCCTTGCCACGCAACCCAAGCTCTGTCTGCCGGACCAGATCTTCCGCCTCCCTGGTTAGGCGCGCCTTGGACTTTTCGAGCGAAGAGATATACAACCGCTGGCTCTGCAATTCGATCTGAGCATCTCCCAATTGTCGATCCGTTACTTTCTTGGCTTCCTCCAGGACATGAACGTGCTCAACGATGGTTTTGTCCTGCTTGCTTTCCAGCTGCTTGATTTCCCATTCACGCTCTTTCAGATCCTTCATCGCCTTGTTGTAGTCTCTGTCTAGTTTGATGTTACGATCCTTTACGATGGAAAGTTCGGATTTCTGAGTGGAAACTGTCTGCTCCAATTTGGTGCGATGAGCAACTTCAGCTTCAAGCTGCTTCTTGATAGCTTCGAGCTTAGTCGTCTTTTCACGTTCCGACTCGAGCATGAGGTCCTCAATATCGTGATACTTAGTCTGAGTAGTGACTAATTGACGTTCAAAACTCTGTAGAGCTGTCAATCTTCCCAGTTGGCTATGAGGGCACTGAACTCACCTCCTTCGCTTTCCGTGATTCCGTAAGGTGGCTTTCCGTCTCGTAGATACGAGCCTTAAGAGATTGCAGTTCGGATTCCAGGCTCCGCTTACCTTTCTCCAGCTCGGAGACACTGGATTGAAGTTGAGTTAGATGAGCCTGTGCTTCCTCCTCCCGCTTTGTCAACGAGTCGCATGCTCCTCTCAAAGAAGATAGTTCCCTCGAAGTATAGTCCAATTCTAGTTTTAGCTTGCTCTGGTTCTCCAGCGCAAGACGACGAGACTCCGTTAGTTCTTGTTGCAGTTGAGACGTTTGAGACCGTAGATCGGCAAGCTCCTCCTCCTTGCTCTTTTCTACCTCTGCACGCCTCGTAGCCTCGCTGGTCTTCGCCTCCATCAGAGTCCTAAGCTCATCCAACTCTTCCTGAAGCTTGATACGAGCCGCGTTGCCGCGCAGACCAGCCTCTTTTTCCGCTTGAAGCTCGGCAGAAATATTATCAATGTCACTCTGAAGTTCAATGATCTCTTTTGAGCCTGCCTCTCGCTCCTGCTTCGCAGCGTCGGTTTGCTCAAGCAAGAAAGCAATTCGCTCCTCCTTCTTCTGTATCATGTTGGAGTATTCGGTGGCTGTTCTAGCCAGCTCAGCGAGCCTATCTTTGACTTGGCGTGCGTCCTCTTCCACGGCCTCTATTTGGTTCTGGAGTAGATCCCTGACGTGCGGAATTAGTACATTATCCCAGCTAGTTCGGATGTACTCACTTGGTCTTAATCTCAACGTCCAGCTTTCCTTGCAATTCCCTCACAATCACATCGTTACGATCATGAGCTCTAGAAAGATCCTGTTCCCTCAGCATCTTCAAGTTCTCCAAGACTTCCTCAAGTTCATGGATCTCGCCTTTGAGAATGTCGATTTTCTCCTGAGCAGCAGCCAGCTGAGTGGTCAAGTCTGTCTCTCTTTCTGACAAGAGCTTCTGGTCGCCCTCCAAGCGCACGGCGTGGCTTGTGGCCTGATCGAATGCCTGCAAAAGACTGGCATACTTCTCTTCATGCTCTTTCTGCAGATTCATGGCACGTTCCAGCTGGGAATCCAGTAACTCCGCATCAGCTTGCAAATCGGCGACCTCTTCCTCGAGCTCGGCCTCGCGTTTCTTGCTCCTTTCTAGCAGAGCTTCTTTATCAAGACCAAGCGCACGTTCAGCCTCGAGCTCCTCGTCTACCTTTCGCTTTTCGGCCTCTAGCGCCATCTTAAGATTTTCCAAGGCTTCACGTTCTTGTTTGTCTCGCTCGGCACGCTCCTTGATCAAGACAAGTTCCGCTTCTTTTCGGCGCAATTCTTCATCGTTTCGAGTTGCCGCAAGAAGAGGCCGGACCTTTTTGGGGAATAAAACATCTACCCAACTTGTGGAGTAAGATGAATGCTGACCTTTGTGTAGAGTTGCCACCAAGGCCAATCTCGCAATTCGCCATAGACTCTTGCATTCCGCTGTATTGTCCTAATAGCGATAGCACGATTAAGGATCTTCTTGATCTGCCTGCGAGCCGTCCACATACGTGCTACGGCTTGTAATCGAGAGAAGATATCAAAGAGAAGTAAGTCACGACGTTCTTCAAGCTCAGCAAGAACGCCAGCTTTGAAGAAAATCTTCGACGTCCCAATCTTATATATTGAGTCATCAAGGTCCAAAGTTTTGACCATGCGCCGACAAGCCTCGCGTCCATCCATATAACCGGGTGGTATGATTCCAGGTGTAAGAACCTCGTACCGCTGTCGGAACTCGACGAAAGGTAGGCGATTGGGATACCCCAACCGAGCAATTCGAATGCCCTCCAACACACCATTACAGCGTAGTTGATCGAGAACAAGGGGGACGTCCACACGCCCAGGTTTCTTGTGACCGTTAGGTACGATACACCGAACAAAATGAGGTTGCGTAGCCTGCAGTTGCGACATCAAACTCGCTAGCTGCTCCTTATGTCTCTGTCCGACCGTCCGGAATGCACCTTTCTTGAGACCACGTTTCTTTGTCACGGTGAACATATTACCAGGTCCTCCAGGTCCACTGGACACTGGCAGATCAGAATACTCCGCAAAGAGAGTGGCAACATATCGTTCAGAAGACGCTGCTAAAACACGGGTGACATTGTCGTTCAAAGGATCTTTGTTCTTCTCCAGCCATCCATCCGTTCGATACTCAACCTTTGCAGCATAATGCTGGATCAGAAACCCCTGTGCGAAGCGAGCAGGTTCGTATTTCTGCTTCCCCGGATGCTCGTCGTCTTCACCGGTAGCACCCGCCCAAAGACCACTGAGCTTGTTAGTGAAGGTGAGATCAGTAGCTTTGGGCATGATACACTCCTCGTCCAAACAGCTCAAAATGCCGATGGCGTTTCCGGTTGCCTCGATTAAGTCGATAGTCGGCTGAAGGTCCAATCCAAAGTTGACATAATCCCAGTGAATGCCTTCTCTCGCGTACTCCTCCTGCTCCAGAACGAACATATGATGATTGAAGAATTGCTGCAGCTTCTCATTGGTGTAATTAATCAGAAGCTGCTCGTAGGTATTGATCTCGAATATTTCGAAACCAGCTATATCGAGGACGCCGATAAAAGTAGACCTTGAAGAGGGTCGGTCAAGGGCCTCGTTTATCCTGTCCACCAGGCGCCCAAATGATTTTTCATACAAAGTTTTGCAAAGAGCGGACAATTCGTCCAAGGCTTGCTGGCGTGTTCGCGCCTGCGAAACCCACTCCCGACCGGCCAAGACACGAGGGCGTAGCACAGCACGAGTAAATTCGGCAACGGGTATTCCAAGGAGATGGCACACGCGTTCGGCTTGCGAAGGATCAGGCATGATAGCATCATCAGCCCTCGTCGACGTGATGGCAATATTACCAATGTGAAGAATTGCAGCCACTATCCGAAATAAATCGAACTGTTCAGCAGGTGTAAAGCCAACGATGTCGAGAGCAGACTGCAGATACTTATGAGTGGTAACCTGAGAACAAGTGATAAGAGACTAACCTTCAGCGCAGACCATTCATGGAGATCATCCACACCATCCACCTCGCGTCTGCTCTTATTTAAATACTCATAATCTTCGATAGCTCCTCCCAGAAGTAGCGATTCCTTGAGGGTGCCTCCGCCAGCCATCAACTGGTAGAAGACATGGAAACTCCGTTCGGCTTCGCTGCGTACGACAACCCGACTCTTCTCTAGCAGATACCAATCGATATTTGCCCCCGCGATGCTGCCATCGGGAGCAAATGTTATTCGGACGAATTTACCAAATCGACTTGAGTTGTTATTCCTTTGAGTCTGAGCATTTCCAAACGCTTCAAGAATGGGGTTCGCTTGCAGAATTTGGCGCTCAAGCAGACCTAGCCGTCCCTTCGCTGTCAAACCGGAGCCGGATACGGAAGGAGACGCGTTATGAGCCCTACGAAAGGAGCTGTTACGAGGGAGTCCGGTCGTTGGCATGGATGAAACGAAGGAGCTCGACGATGTTAGTGTTGGCGAACGAGAATGTGATGGGGGCGAAGTATGAACATCAGTAGCAATGGCCGCAAGATATTGGATAACTTTCTTTGTACTCTCGGTTTTACCAGCACCTGATTCTCCTCTGTCATAGGCATGAGGCGAGTATCGGGCAAGAGGAATAGCGTCGCGTACGTGATTAGTATACTCTGGTTCTCCCGCTCTTCGCCCATGTTAACCCACGCCCGCTCCGCAACGGCAAATATGTGAGGCGGATTCTCATCCCTTCGTTTGTTGCGATATTGCTGTATTATAGCATCAGAATACAGTGGGAGGGACTGATAGGGATTTATGGCGACTAAGAATAAGCCTGAATAAGTCTGCAACACGTAAGTCCACGAGCATTGTGCCTTGGACGTAGCGGCTCACATATATTGCTCCAGAGCCGTACCTTAAGCGAAGATTGTGGACCACGCTCGCTTCGTTCAGAAATGTGAGATCCGCGATGTCCTCGACGCGGTCGAATTTGGGTGGGTTCATCTTGGATAAGGCGTACAGCGGAACCCGTCGAAACTGTCGGTTTTCAATACAATGATTTTGCGTTGCATATAGAGTGCACATACATCCCCGCCAGCAGCCATGATAATCTCACCAAAATCACCTTCCTCTTTGTTGACCCAGCCGGCCAAATACCCCTCTTTGTCGTCAGGGACCCACACCCATTTCTTCTCATTGAATTCAGCCTGCAGTGCTGCTGCACGCGCAGCTTCCGCGCTCTGAGATAACCGAGGCAAAAGCATTGTCAAAGGTCGGTGATCTTAGTAGTCGATCGTCCAGCAGTGGCCGCCCAGAGCCAACGAAAAATTGAGGCGACGTTAGAAAGAGAAGTCGTGAAAATCGTTGCAGTAGAGAGAGTACAAGTTAAAAGTGAGGAAAGGGAGTGGAAAAGCCGGAGAGGCAAAGTCAGGTAAAAGGTGTTAGATGCGTTGACGTTCGCAACAAGTTCGTCGGAGACAGCACTCCTTCAACACACGTCCAAATTAGGAACCGATGATGATCGCCGGGAGGCACAGCCAAGCACACGTCAATAATTCGGCATCTCAGTCACTCTCCCACCACCAACGAACTCGTTACGATGAAACTTTTCTCTATCTCTGTCATTCTGGCGCCTCCAAGCGGACAATGCACTGTCCTGAGCAGTGTCAATGACCTCTCCTCTTATTCTTTCTACCAGAAAGGCTCAGTCAGCGAATTCATGACCTTCTTCTCTAGAACTGTTGCAGAACGTACTGCACAGGGCCAACGACAGAGTATCCAGGAGAATAATTATACTGCCTATGTATACAATAGAGGTGGCGCTGAACAGCTGGCAGGTACGTCTGACTCGTCCTTGGACAACCTTCCTTGATCTCATCGTCGTCAGGTGTTATTATAACTGATCAGGAATATCCTGTCCGCCCTGCTTTTTCTCTTCTCTCAAAGTTGCTGGACGACTTCACAGCCAAAGTCCCCCAATCATCATTTAGCGATCCTTCATCCATTTCTTTTCCCGACATCAATACCTACCTTCAGAAATATCAGGATCCTAGGCAGGCCGACACCATCATGAGAGTCCAACAAGAACTGGATGAGACCAAGATCGTACTTGTACGTCTCCCTTTCGCTCCCTTATGCAGTAGTCTCAATCGATATCCAGCACAAGACGATCGAGTCCGTTTTGCAGCGGGGCGAGAAACTAGACAGCCTCGTTGATAGATCCAATGCGCTTTCTGCTCAGAGCAAAATGTTTTACAAGACGGCCAAGAAGGTGTGCTCATGATCTCTATTACTTCTTGTTATGCATATAACGAACTGTTCTTCAGCAAAACTCCTGCTGCGTCATTATGTGAAGGTTTATCATCTTCCCTCGGCGCACCCATTTTCCCTCTTTGATTTTGTATGCATAGATACCCTCTACATGTACAGACTTTCCATGGATTTAGTTCAATAATGACCATCATGGTCGTACGATAAAATAATAAGTGCAGCGGTCTTGTATTTCATTTCTATTTTCGCAAGTCGCAACAAACTTTCAGATGAAGCTGGGCTTAGATAATCATTGTGTTTTCAGATATATCTTACTGATTAAAAGCTCTGGTATAAAAAATGTGGATCGTCAGGAATAAAAGAGACATCTTTAGCCAAAAACATGTCACTTTCCGACCGTTCTGAACGAGCGTCTCACCAATGCTGGGTGACCCCATTGGTGAGATGTCTACATCCAGATCCGAGAGGCCTAGGGATGACAATGGCGCCGAAAGAGTACCAGGAACGACATTGAAGCGAGAATGCCCCATAACCATTCGTGACCACTCAGACCCAGGACAAAATGTCCGATATGGTTCCACGAGAAAGTCTAGACGAAGATGTATGTAATTAGCCTGCCAAAGGAGAATCAACCCGGAGGATAGTAAAGCAATATATATTAGACTGGCATTTATGATCGTGAAAGACCTGAGACCAGAGAAGATAATTCCACATTATGGGTGCAGATAGCAGACCAAAGGATGTGACGGCAAATAGTAAAGGCTCCCTAGCGCTAGAGCAAGATGTCACGGAAGCTTTGCTTGTGCTCCGATTTGAGGGCGATATTGCGGCAGATGGCGAACTCCACCCGATTCGGCCCCAACGCTGCACTACAACGGACGTCAGTATTGCCCGTGGGGCAGGGCTGATAACAAGTCATCAGTCAATTTTATTGAAGATGAGTGATTTTTCTTACCAGACCAGGACAACACCCACACAAGCAGTCATGATATCAAAAAGCGAATTGCAACTATAGTTCCATGTACCAATAAAAGTAGTATAAAGTTCTTATATCGTCGTGAAAAATATTTTAAAGACACATGCAATGATGTAGAATACACCCACGCATAAATGACCAGTGGAAGCGGAGACCAATAACAACGACGTCCGTTAACAGAAAAAAAAAAAAAAAAAGAAATCATCAGTATGAAAAAGATATCAATGAGGGTTCGCAGTAGTAATCTAGCGGGGTATGTTGTCACAGACAGACGCACACATAAAAATGTCGAATTTTAAGTTAACAGCTTCCCAGCTTCCACATCTTGACATAATCGCTGACAACCACGTATCACCTACAGCACGAAGAATGAAACAAAGGTACTTACATTCTAAATGCCCTATCATCGGCACTAGAAGGCCATGTAGCACTCCACGTATCCTGCGCCTTGGCGAAATCATACATCGCCGCTATAACGACTATCAGTGATGCAACCCAAGGAAATGCAATTGGGAGAAACGCACTGAGCGAACCATCATACCACGGCTTATCGCCCACACTATCAGGGAACCACCCACTAGTACCCCCGACTGCGACGTTAATGATAAGGTAGAATTCTAAAGCCGTAACCTGTCAGCCTAACGGCATCAAAAAAAAGAACCTTGTTCCGTACGTTGATCGAAAGGCGCTGACCAGCCGCTATCTTCCCAAGGATTCTCAACGACGACTTCTGCACTCCCGTTCTGGGCCGTTTGAGGATAACTTTGGACCGAAATGAGTGAGAGCATAACTACAATGGCGAAACATTGCTCACTCTCCTCTATTCCAGAAACTTTGCTTCTCTTTCTTCATCTGAATACTCACCATGGCCTGAAGCCGTGAATCAACGGACATCCGAATGAACTTGCTGTCCCACTCAAGTGTATATGTGTGGAAGGCTATAAAACAATAAGTGTCAGTAGACTAGAGATTAAGCTCACAGACCTTCATGGTAGCCACCCCTTTTTGTTTCCCACCATCCATATATCTTGGTTAACAAGCTTTCCATGGGCCCAAAGTTAAGGGACGAGCGAACGTAGTTGACGCCTTGACCTCCATAATCTGCAAGGTTCCCGCGAGCCTCAAGAATCTAGGACGGATGAATGAATTCACGGAAATTGATCCAATAGGAGCAGACCTACATCGATTTCTCCGCTCAACGGCCAAGCCCCATATGTTTCATTCTCTGGAAGCATCCAGATTGCGGGCCACAGCCAATCTCCCCTCGGCAGCTTCGCTTTGACCTCAACTTTGCCATAAGCTATTGTCTGCTTCCCTTTGGTATTGATCCGAGCGCTAAGAACGGGATTTACGACAGTTTTGGTGCTGTTGTCTGATGTTACAGAGCAAGCTGTCGTATTGTCGGTGCTGCAGTCACTGACGTCGTAAGTATAGCCATTGAAAATAGAGTCTGTACCAATGTCGTCACTAGTGAGGGTAGGCATGATGTAAAGTTGACCATTATTAATGTAGGCGTTCTTGTCGGATGAGGTAGCGACTTGGAACTCGCCGTTTCTGCAACCATGTTAAAAGAAAAAGCGAGGAAAGGCCCAGGGAAAACGTACCCAAAACCACCAAGCATCACGTCCCTAGACCAGTTGTCATCGGAAATGCCATTACTCCAGTCCTCGTCCATGACCAAACACAAGTCACTGTCCTTGAGCATGTCGATGGTACTTATGCCTGACCAACAAAGCAGAGCGGCGGCAGCGACACCAAGGATTATGAGGACGAATGTTATCCACCAGCTCGCACGAGCTTTACCATCCCTTTCCTTGAGCCATGGCTTATCGTCGACGGTGAACTTTGCGGCAATTTTTGTACTAGGACCTGGAGGCTTGGACCTTGCAAGACCAGAAGCGAGGGCGGTTGAAGAGGCTGCAGGAGAATCAGGACCTCCTTGGTTGAGGTACGGATATGACGGAGGGCTCCACAAGGACGAGCCAGGACGAGAAGCGGGAGAAAGGAAAGGCGCTCGGAAAGTTGCGTTCGAGGATACCCGTGGGATTTCCCTGTTCAAGGTCGGAGAATCAAGACCTGGAGAGACTCTGGTTGTTTCATACACCAGTTGCTGGGAATGATTTTGCTGAGAATGATTATGAGAGCTGTCGAAAGAGCTACGGCGAGAAACGCCAGGAATAGGCATGCCGGGATCTGGGTTGCCTGCATGGTGTTGGAAAGGAAACATGAACGAGGAAGGTGGTGCGCGTTTATTGAGCGGCGAGGCCGAGTTGGGCGTCGAGGGCATATCAGCGTAGAGAATAGCTGGATTCCAGTCGAGCTGACGGTCCTCGGAACGACGATGGCGTGAACGACGCCCCTGCATGGTGACGGGGGCATCAGACTCTGAGCCGCTATCCATGCTCATCTGGCTGCGACGTTCGCTGGCAATGAAGGAAGGACGGGGAGGCGGCAGGTCCTCAGCAGACATGGCGGATATGAGGGAAACCCCAAAGAGTGACGTGACCGGCGGTGACAACCCTTCTATCTTCGTTTACGCAACTAGTACGTCATTGCCATGGCATTCGAACGCTGAACCGACCAGAGACCGATGTGGAGACCGATGCTGTTATAGGTACCCGTACTTGAATATCGAAAGAATAACTACTACCACTAACAGACCAAGTTTGTAAGACCAGAGGTTGCAAGGCACATATACCGGGTCTCCATACACAATCAGTACGGCATAAAATTTGCAGTGAATTCCAGAAGATCGAACCGAGCGTCTGCGCATCCGTAGGAGCGCCCCCAGGGTTGCAGAATTCAGATTGAAACGGGGGAAATACTATTTGATATGTTGGGTGCGAAAAGCGCACGTAAGAGTACGTGTTATGAGTCTCACCAGGGTCTGGATCTTTTCAAGTACTCTTGCGCGCCGAATTGCCCTGACTCGAACATTGTAAATGCATAGTCGGAGAAACTTGAACGCCGTTCACCACACAAGCAACGACATTTCGACATACCACGGCATGTCCATCACCAGTAGCAGCGTGCGTCGATTTACCGAAATTATCCCTAAACGGAAGACCTCCACAATGAACGTCTTCGATGGCCTGACCATCGCAGAAGATGATGATCAAGGCTGACCTGCCAGCAACAATTTTTCATTGAATGTCGCAGGCCCAAACAAGAGACCCGTGCCCACGAAAATTGACCCGTTGTAGCCGATAGCAGGGTGTTGCCGCTCGCTTATGTATCCAATGGCAACAACCACGTTCAAGCTGAGGAGGTCACCAGAGATGGGTGCGAGCACACGAACGACGCATCCTCAAGTCTCCGGGCCATCAACAGCAATTAGCACTGCCCCGACAGTACATACAGAACCTGTCATCGCTGTGGCACACTGCATATTGATGGCCTCATCGGTGATACCTTGTTCTAGGGATTTTGGTGAAATGCGATGGTGAAAGTGCGTCGTTGGGCGAGACTCGTGGACATACTAGATCACTCAAGGCTATCATGATGATTTTGCCAGCGCGGAAAGCCATACAGGGCCCGGCCGCTCTGACGTGAGTGAAGAACCCGTCATCTCAGCAAGAACTCGTTCAGATCGCACACCGACGACCAAGACACGCCCGTTGTCGTACTGAATACGAGCCACGGATATTCAGCCAAATAAAGCAACCTTCTTGATGAGGTGTCCATCACGGAGATTGTATATCCAAATGCCAAGGTCGTTCGCATGATGACAGGACCCCGAGATTCGTCAATAACAATGCCCCCGTTCGGCAGAGCCGATCCAAGCGTCCACGACGAAGATTCGACGTGGATCTTCTAGAGATCGTCAATGGCTTCCCCAAACGTCAACAGATGGATAGATTAGAATATTGGAATGTATCTTTTAGCGACGTGGACTGCAGTTTCATTGTTTATCAAGAAATCACGCGAAACTAAATTAGGATTAGGAATATTTTTTGCAGTGAATTTCCGAGGGTTGGAAGTCGACGTATCATAGACACATCAGTCAACCAAGACATCATCCCCATCGAGGTGAGCTCGCGAACCTCCACTGACTAGGGATTAATATCAGTGATTAGCAGCACCGACTTGTCATATGTCAGAGAACTAGCACATGGATGCCTCTACGGAAGTCGTAGAGCGACATTGCGAGGTCACCCTCATCTTCCAGTTGTCCTTTGCTTCTGGCGTCCTCTTTTCTGCATCAAGAAATTTCCCTCAACCAGCTCGAAGTAGGCGGTCATGCCCAAGTATGGTTATAACCCCATTTTGAAATCAAGAACAATTGGTTTTCTGGCAGCTACTCTTTGCCCTGCTGCGTCTCCATCTGAGCTAGTGTTTCCATCAACTCTGACCACTAGCAGCTTGTGCACTGGCAAATCTGATGTAAAACAGCAGTCATCTTAGGGCACCCGGCACTAGTAGCAACTGTCTGTCTCGCACGATACTCCAACCCAATCCACATTGTTCTCAACAGAGTCAACTCATTCTTCGTGAGTTTACCGTGACATCCAATCCTTCCGACCGCAACACTGCAAGGACATGCTGAAACCCAAGAGTTATGGTCTCCTCTTCCTTTTCTCTCCGCCAGTCAACATATCGGCAAACATTCACCGACTTGAGGTGACACGGATCACATTTCCAGCGAGATTCAATCATCTCGATGAGGGCTTCCGTTGAAAATTCAATGTGGCCTATGAGATGTAACGTATGCAGACATGGAATAAAGGCCGGGGTGACAGCCTCGGTATCGGGACTAACGATGGTAGCAAGATAATCAAGGACATGTTCAGTCAAAGCTCCCCTACCGATGTTTGTTAGTCGCAGGTCTTGGAGGGCAGGCATGCTAGTGAGGATAAATATAAGATCGTTCGTTTGAACTCCTCCGTTGCTAAAGGAGAGTGATGTCAAAGGGCAGTTGCAGCGTTCAACGAGTCGGCAAATAGAAGTAAAGGTTGTGTCCTGGTCCCGCGAGGTGGTGCCAACTAAGCATGTTACTGAAAGATCCGAGAGAACAGGCAACGTGAGGTGGTCGAGGAGAAAGGGTATGACAGGGGAGAGGCCAAAACCTTGCCGATATACGGATGAAAGTGAAAGTGATTTGAGCTCGGTTAGGGTCGTCGTCTCCTCTGCGATCCCGTTGATCAAGGGTTGCAAGTCAAGGAAGAGACGGCAAACAGACAGACGAGACATTGCTGTTAAGATAGTCAGAGCAAAATGGATAAGCGGACCATGTCCGGGCTGCACATGAGTGTTTGAAAAACGGGTGATCTGATGCCAGGGAGGAGATGATGAATGAATGTTGCTGATGTCCATGACATCTAGCACTTGCAGGTCCGGCAGAAGGTCAAAATCGAGATGTTGGCCGACATCCGCAGTATCTGAAGAAGAATGAAGATGGAGTTCTCGTAGAATGGGAAATGATAGAGGTAGTTGCTGTACAGAGGGGAAGTACCTTCCGGGAAGGTGAAGATGGAGGCATATGATCCTATGGCGGGCTGTAAAAAGAGTCGTTAGGACAGCATCGGGTAAGGCGCCAGGCCCGGCTGCGCTGCCAGTATGAGATATCGAGACTGATAATGGAGATTGACCAGAGCGAGATATGTGTTTGCCGATGCAACGTGCGTAGCTACTGGAGGGCAATCGGTCGACTACGATGTTGACATAAGACCAAAGGCTAGGGTAGGCAACAAGGACATCATTCCAATTTTGAGAGACCAAGGCAAATGATAATAGTGGGTTCCCCATGGGAGAAAACGCCGACCGACCACCAGTACGCGTGGACGGCTGTACTCGTGGGAAAGGAAAGAAAATGGTATCAAAGAAGATGTGAGCAAGGACTTCTTTGGGCATACGACGCAAAGCGCTGAGAAGACGCTGTCGTTCTCGAATGCTGTCAAAGAGGCGCTGCCGCTCGTTATCCAGTGCCGCTAGCTGCTCGTCGACGCGTGCGATGGACTGTACGAGACTCTGTCTCAGCGCCTTGAATTGCAAGACGTGGTCGTCGACGTTATCGATGCGCTTTCCAGAATCAGATATCATCTGCTGAAGAGTTTTCTCTTCAGACGGGTTGGGTGTAGCATTGGAACGTGTGAGTGGCCCAAGATCTGGGTGATCAGCGATGGGACTATCTGCATCGGTGACGAAAAATCGGTAAGAGGGGATGGTGTGATTCACGCAGGCACATCCTTTACAAGGGTGCCAGGCTGGGAGAATAGCGGGGGGCAATGTCATGAGCTGTGATGAGTTGGCTAAGTATTTGTCGACAAGACGAGATATAGAACTTGCCAGTTAGATCACCGGCGCGAAGTGAAGATATTCAAGACTAGAAGGAACGCAATGCACGTACACGGCTGTATTTCCTTGTGAGTATGATTGGTGAGAAGAGATCAGAACCTTGCCGACCGATATACAGATGAAAGTGTGAATAAGTGTAGCCTGCTGAGTGTCATCGCTTCCACGAGTGACTGTCACTTCATCATGGTCACGCTGTGACAATGTCTCTATCCTCGACGTCGACGATCAAGCAACAAATTAGCTCCCACCTCGGTCCCAAAGCACCCGCCTACTTTGAACCTCTCGCTTCTTTTGTTACAGGTAAAATATCTCGACCAGAATTTGAAGACGCTCTCAAGGCCGTGCTCGATGCTCCCAACCTCAGTGAGCAACTTCCATGTCGACCACAAGGCTATAGACTAACCGTGTTGAACAGTTCAACTACACAATGCACTCATAATATCCCTTTTCGATGCTCGCAGTTTCAAGCGACCTGTAACGCCTCCACCGGACCTGCCCAAGCCCCCACCACGGAAGAGGAGGAGAACACTACCATACCAAGGTCCCGGCGATGATGGAAGCATACGCTCGGAGCGGCTCAAACGATGGTCGATTTCCGTCGGCAAACATGAACGCGACCGGATAGCTGCTCTAGAATCATTGCCACCGTCGGCAGGTCCTCGACCGGATACCGATGAGATTGCACGCGAGAGAGGCGTCGTGTTGTTACCGGAACGCGGTGGTGAGAATTTGTCGGGCCTAGTATTCGCTTCGTTGACATCGAACAGAACCACCGGGGAGCAGGCTCGCCGTCCAACTGGCAACGATAACACGTTCGCCCAATGTCCAGCATATTGCGGACCGGATTAACCTCATTTGCGCACAGAACAACCTAGGCTCGCCGTCCCGCTCTGTGTCATCGCTTATGCATCTCGCCTGCGAAGTAGGCTTAATAACACATCCTCCATATAATCTAATCTTTGCCACAGGTCAAGCTAAAGCAACTCATCACCCACGCCCTCACTCTCACCGACAAATCTCTTGCCATCTCTTCTATATCCACCGCCTCTGCTCCCGCCTCTTCCATCCACCGTTCCCAAAAGCAAAAGGTCCTTTCGACATCCGCCTTCGACACCCTTTTCGCTATGGCACCGGCCGTGCTGCCAAATGGTAGCGCGGCAGCTATGCATCTCGCTGTCGGCGACAGAGAGGATGACGAGGAGGATATTGCATTGTTGAAAAAGTCCGATGTCAAGGATCCTAGGTGGCAGATTGTAGCGCTACTGGGACAGAGGAGTACAGTGAAAGAGATGTTAAGGAATGGGAGATGACTGGATTTATATATCTTATTCAATTTCTCTGCTGTATAACCGTCATAATTACAATAATTAAGGTCGGTCGGTCAGTCTATGACACCAAGATGGTCCTCTTTGATCGTGCCAATGGCAAACTGAAGGAGGAAATTAGACTGGTATGGAAAATTGAAACGAAAAATGCACAATTTCGGTGGCATCAACACGAGTACCGACAATCTTCAGCCGTACCCGGGTGTTTTTTTCGATAATCTGCTCGCTTCAGACATTGATACAGATGACACCAAAGCAAGACATACCTGATCCTCTGAAGCAAACGAAGGAGGATTCGAATTAGGGTCAAATCGCAACCCAGGGTGTATAAGCTGTTAAAACAATTTTCAGAGTCGTCCGTCCAAGCAAAAACGATAGTGTACCGACCTGGTGCGACACAAACACCGTCAAAGGTCCACATTCAGCGAAAAATCCCATCTGGAAGTAGATGAGCTTGGGTTTTCACCTGGTGAATGAGGACACGCACCTTGTTCACATTCGTGACGACCCCGTCGACGACCTCCCCTTTGAACGGCTTGAACACGATGGCGCGGTATCGCGTGATGAACTCCGCTTGCCCACTACCGCTCAACACCATGCCCTTCCCAATGTCCAGTATGGAAACGACAGCAATGATGTACCCGAAAGATCCTAAACATGTCCCTTCGACGTCCGCGTACAATTTTGACTCGAGAAAATTGAGCATCCGAGGTCCAAAGTAGGATGGGTGCAACAAAATTGTGTGTGTTAGCTCTTTCTTTATTTTTGAATCTCGTTGCCTGGAAAATAGATAATTAGGGAGAACTCACGATGAAGAACATGGTGGTGCGTCTGTAAGAGATTGCCGGATCACGTGAGTCTGCAGTATAAACTTTAGCTGCATGTATATTGGACTGCTATACTGTACAATTTTTTGTAATTCTCTCAGGTCATATCCATTTTAATCAGGCCCTCCTCCCCTTCGAGAACCGTCCTTGGCTCCCTCTCTGCCCTCTCCATCGCCTCTAACAATCCATCTACATCCGGGACAACGACAAACCTCTTATTAACCTCCCCAAGCACATTTAGCTTCTTTTCCTTCATGTCCAGTGAAACGGCGTGTTGGAGGAACGAAGGCTGGGTGGCTGCCATCACCTACAGAAGGCAAAAGAATGTCAAACGTAAAAGAGAAGGAAGGAAGAGATGCATACATCGAGCAGAATACCATTGGTGAGCCTCATCTTGACAGCGCCGCTCCTGTAAATTTCCAGACGACCGATCATCCCATCTACCACTGGTTTCTCTTTCTTTTCGGTGGCGGGGGTTGGCACCTCGGCTTTGACCGTAGGAGCAAATGATACTTTCTTTTTGTCCGTAGGTGGTGGTAGCGGTGGTGCCTCCCCTTTAAGAGCAAAAGTAGGGAAGGGAGCAGGGAACTGGAAAAAGTAGAGCCTATCCTGGCGCAGAGAATCGTCAGGATCTTCTGGAGCTTGCTGAGCAAAGTCCTCGATAATGTCTTCGAGTTCTTCCTCTTCTTCACTTTCGCTTAGGTTGAGAGCATTAGAGGCATCGACTTGTGTGTACATACAGATGAAATGAATAGAAATGAGAGAGTGGAAGGGTAAACTGACCCTCTGATTGCTGTTCCTCCTTCTTTGGTCTGTTAACAGTTGCCTTGGCTCTTTTTAGACTCTCCGGAGCCATCCAGTCCATGTTCTTGACGTTTTCCATATCGATAATCTCGACGCCTTCGTCGGGGTCCGAGTAACTCGCCTCGTCGTCCTCCGGGGCGTTATCCTTGTCCTTGCCTTCGCTCTTGATTCTTGGGGCAGGCGTACTAGAGAGTGAGCTCGTACTTGGCCGTGTGGATGGGACAGCGATAAACACAGGGCGGCGGCGGGTAGCAGTATTGCCTGACATAGCAGGACCAAGTGCGAACGGACCACTGGCAGTCATCTCTTGCTGCCTCGGAACGCCACGCCCTCTGGTTGCATCTCCTCTGCCTCTGCCTCTTCCACGAGCGGGTGGTACGGCCTCCGCTGTTGGTTCCAGCTTGACCTCCCTGGAAGAGATAGTCAGACATGTATCAGCAACAACTTGAAACAAGTCCACAACGCACTCTTTTTTCCGCCTTGAGGGTAGGGTAGGGACGAATTTGAGTTTTTGGGTTCCCTGCCTGGTCACCTCTGAGGGCCTTTTTGCGAGACTAGATATAGCCTTTGAGGTTGTGGTAGATGGGCGGACATTGCTGTCTGTAGAAAAGAATTAATGTATGAGTATTTGTTGCGGGGTAGACGGAAGGAGAGCGTACTAGACATCCTGTCTGAAGTTTCAAAAATGATTTAAAAAGACGGGAGTCTGTGGCTGTGCAATCCCATCAGCGGTTTACCATGAAGCACTGGCGGGTAACATACAACGATATTCACAATCTCATTCGCAAGGGCACCCCCAAGGTTGCAGCTGAATTCAATCCAGATCTCCTCGTTGCGATTGGCACGTCCTTGAAATATTTATCTTTCTCTCCTTTTTGCTAACCAGCTTTCATAGGAGGCGGGTCAGTGAATATCAGTCGTATATTATAATATGAAATGACAGCTGTTCTGATCTATTACAGAGGCTTTTTCCCTGCGCGTGTCATGGTGGGTCTCTATGTTTTTCACAGAAATTATTGTCAATATAGATTTCGGCAGCGCACGTTCCTCCGGGAACAAACCGCCAAAAAGACATTGCAGATCCAGGCAATCGGCCTATCGCTGTACGAACCGGTTGAAGGGAGTACGGTTGAGCAGATTGGACAAGAGGTCGTACGAACACAATGGCTGGGCCCTGACGCAGGCAAGCTCCTCGTAGGCAAGCGTACACTTGTCGTCGACGAAGTCGATGACACCCGTAAAACATTGCAGTACGTTCCGTCTCTTTTATCTTTATAATATAACATCGACCAATTCTCCCAGCTACGCCCTATCGGAACTGCAAAAGGACGTCGACAAGGAACTGGCTTCGTATCCAGAGTCAGAACGCGACGCCCTTCGAGCGGCGACACGGTTTGGCGTCTTTGTCGTGCACAACAAGATCAAGCCCAAGCTCGCTGAATTGCCTGCCAGTATTCCGTACTATGCCGGCGAAGAGGTAGGCGATGTCTGGCTCGATTACCCTTGGGAAATGATGTGAGCCGGCTCCTTTCATACCTGTATCTTTTTTTTCTCACTTGCTCACAGAGATATTGAAGAGCACGACCGGCTTTCCGGGACACAGTTGATATAACGTAGATAGAAATCTTGAATACAGAGAGTGAATAAATTTATAGGGTTTTTGTGGGAAATTTCGATTACCTGAGGCAGTTGTCACTTGGACGCGTACACCACGATTAGATGGCAGAGGAGGTCGACTATGAGTCACTCCCACCCAATGCTGGCCTCGCTGTACGTTTCTTTTTCTTTTTCTTTTTCTTCTCCAAAACAGTTTTCGGTATTTCCAGGTCAACATGCTTGCAGGCGCCCTAGTACGTCCTTGGTCGTAAGCCAGTTTCCCAGCTCGCTCTCATCTTTCCTAGGCCGGCATATCTGAACATGCAGTCATGTACCCCATCGACAGCATCAAAGTGAGTCGTCCCAGGCCTGTCTGTCGTCTTTCTCACCATGGCAGACGCGAATGCAAGTCTTCGCGACCTCACCCGTGGCAGTCTACACCGGTGTCGGGAACGCCTTTACGCGGATATCCTCAACAGAAGGCTTGCGGGCACTCTGGCGGGGCGTCTGGTCCGTCGTGCTGGGTGCTGGGCCGGCGCATGCGGTGCATTTCGGTACCCTCGAGGCCGTCAAGGAGCTCATGGGCGGGAACCAAGTCGGGAATCAGTGGCTGGCGACCTGTGCGTATCTTGCCTCGCCGTGCTTGTTGGCTAACAGATGGTCGCAGCCGTAGCAGGCGCCTCCGCCACGACGGCCGCTGATGCTCTCATGAATCCTTTTGACGGTGGGCCCTCTCTCTTCCAAACTAATGTCACCATCTATAACACAGTTCACAGTAATAAAACAACGTATGCAAGTCCACAAATCCGAGTTCCGCTCCGTCTTCACCTGTGCCCGTGTCGTCTACCGCAACGAAGGCCTCGCTGCATTTTATGTGTCCTATCCCACCACCCTTGCCATATCTATCCCCTTCAATGCTATCCAGTTCACCGTATACGAGCAAGTGAAGCGGATCCTCAACCCCCGCCACGAGTACTCCCCCACGACACACATCACCGCCGGAGCAATCGCTGGCGCAGTCGCAGCTGCAGTTACGACGCCCCTCGATGTCGCCAAAACGATTTTGCAGACGAGGGGGACATCCCAGGATGCAGAGATTCGCAGCGTCAGAGGGATGGCAGATGCACTCAAGATCATATGGACTAGAGACGGGATCAAGGGCTTCGGGAGGGGGCTTACGCCAAGAGTACTAACGACGGTGCCCAGTACAGCGCTGTGCTGGCTATCATATGAATTTTTCAGTGAGTCTTTGTCTATCTCTTTCTGTGCTTCTCTCATTCCCTCTCGCAGAGGCAGCCATACGGTCAGATACGTCTGGCTGCAACTAAAATATATCTATGCCTTCATTTACCCCATTGTAGCCATTTTTTGAACTTATCGTACTTGACTTGAATGTAATATTATTCCCAGCGCGCCCAGTATTCGGTTACCGCATACTTGGCATCCGGATTCCCGATGAGACAGACGAATGGTAAAGATAATCTGTTTGAGTCTAATTCTTCGCGCAGCCTGATCGACATCCCCCTTTGGGTTTCGGAACGACATTCCCGATACCGGATACCAACGCTAGTGTCCCACACACGCAACCAAAATAACATATACCTCATAAAATACCGCCAAACAGATGGTCAGATATGCTCCAACCCAAACTCCCGCACGAAATTTCTCCAAATATCATCCTGTGTTTGATCCTGGGTCGCACTAAACGCATATCCCATCGGCGCCAACGCCTGGTCCACCGATATCGCCTGGAACGACGGGTGCACCGATTGCACATCCGGGTTGTACATCTGTTGCTGCACCTGACCACGGGGCTGCTGCATACTGTACGACGAGGTCGGAGATTGCACGTACTGTTGTGCACTTGGCAAATTCATGTTGTTTAGAGACAGATCATACCCCGCATGTGTCTGTCCATCGGAAATAGGGACAGCTTGATACGTGGGACTACTGAGGCCCGACGTGCCCAGATCGTCATAGTAATCCATCAGACCATCGCCGCCACTGCCGCTTCCACTGTCATGGCTCGCAGGCGGGCTGCTGCCCGAGTCACTGCCGTCACCTGGATACAGATAGGTCGCCGATAGGTTCTGGTGCGAGTCGTTCGAGCTCGGCGAATGCGATGTCGGTTTTTTGTTTATTAAAGATTTCCGCCCGCCTAGAACAGCTAGCTCGTCGGGAGCGTCGGGGTCGGCGCAGGGTCGGTCATCCGGGGGTGACTGTCCTGTCGCTGTAAAGGCAGAGAATCTGTGATTGGCTCGGTCCCGTAGTTTGTGAAGCATGAGCTATATCAAGTCAAGGTCACATTCAGATTCGTCGTGGACGAGCACCTACCAGTGTGTTCGTTGGGCGGCAGCGCCGAGAACCCTCATCGTAGAAGGGAACAGTTTGATTAAGCAGGATTAGCGCATCTTGGGACAAGCTGCATGAAGGACTTTCGACGACGAGAGCGCCGAGAACGACCTAAATTCCATATGAATCAGAATAACTCGATGGGGATGTATATGCATTTACATACACAAGATGAAAAGATACCCGACCAAAAGAACCAAGTCGTCGCGGCAATACCAGGATGGCTGACATTCAGACCACGAAGACTCGAGATCAGTCGGCACGCGCTTCGGTACGTCGCCAGCACTGACGGCGCATACATGTGTTGTAGTGGGTTGCGCGACTGTCCCTGGATGGCCTGCGCAAAATAGCTTCGGTGGATATACAAGAGATCTGCAATGACGTGATTTAGGGAGGCATAGAAAAGATGCCGATACTTACTGGACTCTCTCTCACAAACCACGCAATACTGTTGCAAGGCATGCACTCGATTAGAGGACCACGCACGCCCAGGTTCGGAAGTTTCTATTGGAGAGAGCAGATGATGTGCGACGGGAAATTTTCTAATTTTCTTGTCCAAGTCGAGAAGGGCTTTGTAATTGGGTGCTCTAGTCGTAAAGATATGTTGTATGGATAGGGAAAGGCAGCTCGCTGAGTATCTGTATTTCCAAGCGTGCCCTGAATGGTCATCAGTCAGATTGATCGAGGACAATAAGCGGGAAAACATACATCCGAGTTCTATCTCCCCTGTTGGTTTGACCATCGGATCTAGGTCGTCAGGAAAACGACAGTCAGTGTGTTGAATCATCAGACCCGGTGGGCGCCCATTAACAATAGACTGCATGAAGATGAGTTATTGTACTTTGTAATCGTCTACAATATGGATGGACTCACCGTCCATGCATCGTGCGTATAGAGCTCCCAAAACAATCTCCGACGTCGTTGAAGCTCCTCGGGGTCTAGGTTCCATCCTGAGCTATCTCGATCTGTAATTAATTGATCAGTACAGGTCCTATATTTCAGACAAGGGGGGGATCTCACGAAGACCAATCTGAACGACAACATCAGTTGAGAGACCGGCGGAGAGGTGATAATAAAAGGAAAACTCACGGACTGGGCTAAACGAATGCAGAGACCAGTTAGAATCCATCGGGCCTCATTGCTTTTTCGGTCCGAGTTGTATATAAAACGAAACATCATGAACAAGGCCTGAACAGTGGCAGAAGTCGCTTCCATGAGTAAAGGTTCGATCGATATTGCAGCTTGTGCAAGAGCGTGATATTGTTCGGCCAAATATGCCGAATCAGGGCTGCTGTCGTGGAGAACGCCGTCGCCCATGGTCATGAAAAATACAGCCAATTTATGGGCATGAATAGCGTTTAGGGTCACAAAGCCCGGAGCGAAATATAATGGGGTCAAAATGTTCATCACAAAGTCTTGTTGGACGACAGGGTCATACCTAGAAAAATGAATGTTAAAGGATGAACCGAAAATAGTTATAGTTGGCATGGGGGGCCCACATCCAAGCGGTGTTCTGATAGTAGAGTTCTGCGAGATACATTGCTCTCTCCTGGGTAGGAAGGTAGGGTGCAAAAATGAATTTGGAATAGTTGCAATCTTTCAACCCCAATGGGAATGCATTGACTAGGTCGAGAAGTTCTAAAGGAAGGTCGAGATCTTTGGGGCGTTCTTCCTGTTCAGTCTCCTCTTCCTGGAGAGTGGGTTTAGTGGAATATAATGTAAGCAGGAGAGTGGCCAACTAACGGGCAGTAAACTTCCAAGGTACTATGCTCGAAATGAATGTCGAGACAGAAAGCAAAGTAGGAGAAGGCGTACCTCGGAACCAGCCGTTTCACCGTAGTACTTGGCCTGTCCATCAGAGCCAATTGAAAGGGAGCCAATTGCATCTGAAACATCCTGGAGGCCCTTCTCGTAAAGGGCGTCTATTTCGTCTCGTTGGGGATCTCGTCCCTGTAGCAATGGATGGGCCGCACCGTCACGCGAGGAGAGGGCACCTTCGAGGTCATGTATGCGAGCGGTGAGTACCTTGACTTCTTCAGCAAGCTTTTCTGCGTGGGCCATGATGACTCTAGACGGGGGGCTTTAGAGGGGTTCAATGGAGAGGAGAACGCGTCCGTACTTGTTGCCCTTGGTGGCAGTCAATGTACCTGCAAGAAGACCACGGTGAGCAGGGGAAGGCTTACAGCGAAGAGCTGCACAGACCGTCTGGACATATCCCAGCACATCCTCGCCTGGAAAGGAATGAGATAGACTATGGGAGCCGTGATGGACGATGACGACTTGCCTGATACACGACTGGCAGGGAAATACTCTGTCGCATCGTAGCTTACTTCTCCGGCATTCAGCGCAAGATAAAGCAGATTTCCTGGAAGCAGTAGTAGAGTCCGTTGGCCTCCTTGTATGGTCCGAGGTCATGGTGGTGGTCGAGGAAAAGGGAGAGTTATTCGGGGTAGAACGCATTTCCAGTTTATTAATGTGAATGTGATCACATCCGGTCAGTCATTACATATTCATTACTAGTACTAGTAGTAGTAGTACTCGATCATTACTCTATATCCCCTCCTACCTTGACCACCTCCAGTATTTAAGGTCCTCGACAGCCAACATTCTTAGCTGGCAACACACTGATCTCCGTGGACTTGCTACACACTAAAACAACCCACAAAATCCGAGGACTTGCAGAAACAAAAAACAAAAAAAAACAAAAAAAGGAGCGTGGAACATACCCCGAGTGCCGCCGTCGCGGCTTCGGTTATCATCACCGCCGGTACAATTCAGCAGCAGCGGCCGCTGTTACCCCGGTTATTGATTATTATTATTATTCTCAGTTCATTTTATAAACATGACCAAAGAAACTGTTGCCAATCAACGAGCACTGCCACCCTTGCTCCATATAATTTTACCATGTCGCAGACCCAGAACTTTGCATACCCAGTGGGCCACTCCCAGACACCCCAGGATCCGTCGTCATCGTCCAGCTCGACCCAGTCAGCCCAACCCCAGTCCCGTCAGGCAGCAGAGGATGCAAGAAAGGACCGTACATTGGCCGAGTTCCTCTTGATGCTCGACGATTATGAGCCACTGGTGGTCTTTGCTTTCTTCTCTCTCTTTCTTCCTTGTTGATATATGCGTAGATACCCAACGAGGTCACCGACTACTACCTCCAGCGGGTCGGGTTTGAGTGTGAAGACGTCCGGCTGTAAGTTGCCTCCTTTAACCTCCCCTATTTTCCCGCTCCATTTTGGCCCTAGAAAGCGTCTGCTCTCTCTCGCGGCCCAAAAATTCGTCTCTGATATTGCCGCCGACGCCTACCAACATGCTCGGATACGCACAAATGCGTCAGGAGGTCGCGCACGCGCTAGCCAACCGCTCACTGGGCCAGGATCTGTCAAGGTTCTGAACCCAGTAAAATCCTCGCCATATATACTCAACAGTCCTCTTCTTCTCTTTTAGGATCGGACGCGTACGGCATTGACCATGGAAGATCTCAGCTCTGCCCTCGCAGAGTATGGCATCAACTCTCGGAAACCGGACTTTTACATGTAACATCATCCTCATCCTTTCCTTATTCTGTAACAGTGTTTATAGTATTGTCATGTCTTCACCTCGGAACTGCGAATGAAACAACACACGGCTATTCATGCTTTATCTCCAGCGTCACTGGCAAGTTCATCGGTACCATTGCCGCCCGCCGATCAAGCTTTCCCCACTTGATCCACCAATCTTCTGCTGACTCCCGGGCGTGATATCCAAACACCGCTGCTATTACGTCCCACTGCTCCAAAACCTTCTCTTCATCCCATGTTTCCTCCACTGATGATAGGCGAAAGCTGGCGTCTCTTGCCTCCCGGTCTTCCCCCGGCGGTAACGACAACGCCGTCGACGTGGCCAATTCAGACGTGTGAACGATGTGACACCGGTTTTGCCGTAATTCCCAGAATGCCTCGAGCAATTGAGATATCTGGTCCCGATGTGCTAGTCGCTCGAACAGTGTGCCTAAGACTACCGCGTCCTCCATAACGAGACTTGCACTATGAATACAACACGGCTACCGCGTCTATCATGTCAACATAGTTCGCTACAAGTTCACTGACATGTCTCACCTGCATAGGATGCGCTGCTTCCCCTACTAGTACTATTCGTCCCGACCTGTCGACCCAATCCTCAACGTGAGTATCAATGTACTTGGATTTCAGCGCCGTTGGAGACTCTGAGAATATTCGCGAGAACCTGCCGTCTTGTTATCCATCAGGCCACGAACATGGTCTGGATTTACTCACATCTTATGGCATCCAGTAAAATCAATGCTGCTTGTTGGCACGGTACAGCCCCAGCCATCAAAGTCTTCAACATCTTCGCCATAAAAATAGGCATGGATAGAGTACTCTGTACTCTTCTTCTATCTCATAGTCAGAAGCACTCATAGAGAACATGATTGGAGAAGCATACCACAGGGTATCCTAGTCGTCCGCTAAAAGTAAGTAAATTCTTCCGCGTAACATGCATCATTGCTTACCGACGAGCCACTTTCTATCACCCATCCACACAGTGAATCGCCCCTGTCAATATCCATTCGAATCAGTAGTCTTCAGTCACGAAAAAAATCGGTACTTGCCCGTACAGCATCTAGCCGCTTCTTAAAGTCGGGATCACGCTCCAGCTTCTCCACAGGAACGATAATTCTTCAGAAGAGTCAAATACAACTTCCAACCAATGAATAAACGCCACCCACGAGTATACGGCTATGTCCACACGATTGTGGTACCTTTCAGGCATATGCATATGCCTATCAACGACCTCTCTCAGTCTGCTTTTACTTCCGTCGGCGGCCACGACGACATCTGATGTATATGTCGTCCTGTCCGCAAATTCTAACACCGGTTTCTTGCTCGCATCGGGATGCACCGAAACAACGTTAGCACCATACGTGATTTTTGCGCCGACCGATAGCGCAAGAGCCGTCAATGACTCGTACAGCTCATCCCACTGTCCGTTCGCCGTCATTCACTCGTCATGGAGCAGAACGAAGGAATAACATACGCTCATGGTGGAGAATTCGCCTCCCGCTTCTCTTAACACGTCTGCTTGCCATAGCAGAAACCCCTGATATTCGTCGTCCGCCACTTTGAAAGGGCTCATCAATCATTGCCGAGAACGCAGGATTCCAAATATGGTGCTCACTTCCATACATATCACTTCTTCGCGCCACGGATGCATTCTCAAGCTCCTTCTCTATTCCCCATTCAACGAACAACTTTTGCATATTTGGGGGAACTCGGATACCAGCAGAATGCTGCAGGAGTTGGTGATTTCTCACGGAGAACGAAGGAGATTGACGTACGGAGTGACGTTGAGGGCATTTCTCAAAGACGTGTACGGAGTGGCCACTTCGACCCAGAGCGTATGCGCATCCGAGTCCACTGATACCTACAGGCGAGTCAAGCTAGACGGTAGTTGGGTGGGAAGGTCAAACTTACTGCCGCCCACGATGGCGATGTTGGCGGCCAAAGGCGCTTGACGCATGCTTGAAGGGATGAGGCTAACGTGTCAAAGTGGTATTGGAGAGAGAATTTCCGTACAAATACTGGACAGGGTCGGTGAGGCGCGTAAACGACGAGGAATGGTTCGGGGGGAGGGGGGGGGTCCTCAGATGCTTGCAGGACGATTGAGATACAAAGGGGAGGTAGTGAGCGTGTATCTGGCAAGCGAGAGAGAAGGCGAGAGGGAGAAAGAAGCAAGGAGATGTATGTCCTTTTCATATGCGTCCATACCATCATCCGAACTAATAAATGCCGCTATCAATATAGACTGGGTCATTCCGAGCTGCAGGCCTGAAGGAAGTGATCGAACAAATAATGAGAAGCTCTACGTCTGGGGATACGTACTTGCCAAACTCAGGTTGAATGTTGATGTACCAAGGTGAACAGTCGGGGAAGGAACCTTCCGTGAGATACTTTATGGGTAGCAGTGTCTTCGGTTTCGGTTTCTGTGGGTTTGTGGGGATTCATGGGTGGATCTAGGCACCTAGCGAGTGTTCATCTCCTTTAAGTTTGAGTTGCAATATTCATCGCTAGGGATGAGCAGCCATTTGATCCGAGTGGAACCGTCGAATAGCAGGACTGGGTTTCATTATTATTATTGTCCATTGAGCAAATTACGCCAAAGTGGGGAGAGACTTTCGTATGCGATTGTTAATGGGGGAGATATGCTGACAGGAATCGTATTAGCGACGAATTGAGAAGATGATGAGTATGATGGTCCATATGTCGGTTGCGCCTCTTCCAGACTCGGTCTGAGGAGGAACTGGCTTGAAGATCCCGGGCATCAGTGATGTTGATATCCTGATATCCTGGGCAAAGACGGCCCCGCTATAACGGAAAAATGTTTTGCAATCAATGATGGATTCTGAGTATTGTTGAACGTGAAAATCGGACATTAAGTGCTCGGTGCCGGGGATGGTGGAAATGGTGGGCTGCACAAGCACAGCCACCTCTTATTCCTTTTCTTACGATGACATGACCAGTCCGTCGCCATCCTCGTTATTCCGAGCTAATCTTGCCTCTTCTATCTCTTCTCTTCGACGTGTTCGTCCGAACAGACCCTTCTGGGAGCTCCCGGCACATCGAATACCAACTCTTCGTCTCTTCAGACACCTCTTGCGGTTGGCCCCAACGGAGAACGTATGCACGCGTTGTTTTTTCTTGTAAAGAAGTTCTGCTGATCACGCGCAGATACGATTCTCTGTTGGTCTGCACTTTCGCTTGAATCAGCACAAGACGGGAACGGAACAGGCGACAGCGGCATTGAGGTCTGGATATAAAGTATGTCCTGTTGCATATCTGTACAACCGAGGCTGATGCTGTCTAGTGGCTTAAAGCATTCAAATCAGCCCGTTCTGGAGATATAAAGTCCCAGGAAATACTACGGCGGTATGACAGTCTTGTGGCCGTGAAGCGAAAGAAAGCCGTATTGGAGAGGGAAGAGTTGGAGGTGCTGGTACGAACTTGCCTTTTCTTGTTCTGCTTTCCCCTTTCTCACTTATTGTCTGTGCTCAGGATGAACAGAACCGAATGCGTAACCGGCCCATGCTTACAGGTGGTCTCATGTTTCCCACTCTTTGGCATCCCGCGCTTCCTCGCATGAAGCCTCAGCCGATCAAGATTTCGAGAATGATTGCAAAAAGGAAACGAAAATATGAAAATCGGTATGTCAAGGTAGAGTCAGTTCTGTATGATGGTTGACTTGTTCCAGGCAAGTACTGTTGCTACGCTTAAAAGAGCATCTTCGGTATGCTAAAAGCGAGGTCGCATTAGAGGAAGGACTTGGTGTTAGCGATTCCGAGTATGGTGGATCAGTGAGGGAATGGTGTACGTATACAAGCTGCTCTTGCCTCCAGCGATCTCACGTTTGTTTTGGTTTAGCTCACGAAATTGGGCTTGCCTTGGATAAAAACCAGGTATACTTTGATCGAATGCTAGCTCGCGCAAATGGTACCGTTCCGCAGCAACTCTTTGAACGCGTAATTCAGGCGCGTAGGAATAAAATTGCCAATAAAACTAGAGAACGCGAACGTGAGCGGAAGGGTGAAGTGCTCATGGCTACATTACGACGGAGCAGGAAGGGCCCTCCGGCAAACGTTCTAGCGCGTATGACACCTCAGCAGAGAAAAGACGATAGGGTATCCAGAGGGGGGATAGGAGAGATAGGATATCTAGGCAAGGTCAAGGCTCGAATAGGCTGGCGGCTAAGCAGGAAAGACGAGGAGACACGAACGACAGAAGATGGAAGGACGGAAATTTGGAGTATTGAAGATGGAGCATGGATTGATGTGGAAACAGAAAAGAAATTACAAGGAATAGCGGAAGAATTGGAGCAAGAGAATGAAAGGAGGAGGAGGAATAGTAACCAAGTGTGATTGTCACGTCACACGTTTATCTTGTGCTGTCACGGTCATGTCGCTTCGTCTGAAAAGAAACAACTCAAGGACGAGCAACTCACCTCCTCCTTTCTCCTGGGATCTACCTCTTCCTCCACCACCAGCAGACCTCACTGCACCGGTGCCACCCACAGCATGGCTTCCCTCCCACGACATGAAGATATTTGGCGCCCAGCCATTGACTTCGACGACCGACATTGGTGTAGTTAGGTGCAAGGACTGCGAGAAACCGATCCTTCGCAGTTGCTTTGGCGAGCATGCAGGTGAGGGCCATCGCTCTGCATTGCTGTATTTTCAATTTACACCCATCAGTCACTTGCGCAAACATTCGCAGAAGAGAGGCCAAGGCCAAGGCTGACGCTGAGAGTCAGTCATTCCTACACGCGTCAAAGTCGGCAATCTCATCATTTTTGACAGTGAAAAGCGCAAAGAAACGGAAAGCCTCGCTCGAGCCCGTCGATCCCTCACAGCCTCCAAAGAAGAAGAGTAAACCAGCTACCAAGGTCACCAAAGGTCGCGTTAAAGGCCCTGTTGACTTTGATCGCCAGTGCGGCGTCATCAACGACAAGGGATTGGAATGTTCTCGCTCTCTGACCTGCAAATCCCACTCCATGGGGGCCAAGCGCGCCGTCCAAGGGCGGTCACGACCGTACGACGAGCTCCTTCTTGATTGGCAGCGCGCCAATAATCCCAACTTTGTCGAGCCCGTCAAACGTGAAAGCAAGGCAGAAAAGAAGGAGAAGCGCGAAAAGGAGAAACTGGAGAAGAAAAGACTTGCGGAGGAAGCCGCTGCAGCGATGGGCATCGATCTCACCAAAAAGTCCAACAATTCTTCGTCCAAAAAGAGTGGAAAGAAGTCTTCTGCTGCTGCGGCGGCCACGACGAAACTTGTGGATAACAAAGCTGGAGAAATCGAGGAGAATCTAGATAATCTTGACTCGGAGGCAGAGGTCGACACACTTATTCGCTCAATACGGGTCGCACGGGAGAAAGGAATCATCGCGCGACCGCTTGCCGTTCCTTGCGATGCAGGCAGCTGGTTCGTCCAGCGGCGGGAGCGTGCCAGATGTTGCAGAGAACTCTTGGCAGGAGCATTGGGAGGCAGGGAACTTTTGTCAAAGGGTGAAACCGTAACAGCTTTGGGAATGGCACGGACAGCATCAATGGGCTTGGCAGTAAGACAGGCTTGAACAGTTTATATTCTCTCACTACACTCTTTGGAATACGCGCCTATCTATTTTATGGCATAGTTTGTATACATATGTAAGATCCAATGTAACTATTCAGAAACAAGCCCAGCTTGACTTGCTAAAGAATAGAATATTGAGTCATTCTTTGACAGTAGCGCTTGAGGTGTGTCGAATTCGGCCATCTGCCAGCGCGTCAGGATTTAGAGAGCTACCTACACGTTATGGAAAAGCATACCTTTCCGGCCTCCATAACAAGAACGCGGTCCGACTCAATGATGGTATTCAAACGATGTGCGATTGTTAGAATTGTAACGTCAGTAAAGGCCGGCCCGCGAATGATCTCTTGAATCGCTTTATCAGTATCCAAATCCACGGCCGACGTCGCTAAAATATGGTCATTGATTGATGGAATGTGGCCTAAGGAGATGTGCCTACCTTCATCCAAAACAAGGACCTTGGATTTGCGCAAAAGCGCCCTAGCAAAACACAACAGCTGTCTCTGTCCAGATGATAAAGAAGATCCTCCTTCTCTGACAGGCGCATCAAGGCCTTCGGGCAAGCTTTCAACGTAGTTCTTCAGATGAGCCTGTTTTATGATAAGTTGGAAAATAAGCCAGGAGATACGAGGAAAACATACCTGACCAAGTGCAACCCATATGTCTGCATCGGCATGTTCACCAACTGGATCGATATTCTCTCTCAGGGTCCCCTCGAACAGATCTGGTGACTGAGGGACGATTGATATGGACGACCGCACTGTGATAGCCAACAGTTAGGAACACAGCTCGAATAAAGAAGCTGGGAGACCCACAGTCATGCAGCCCGATCTTCGCGATATCAACACCATCAATGAATATGGTTCCTTCGGCGGGCTCGATGATTCGGAATAGAGCTAACAGAAGCTATGATATACTCGTCAGTTGAATAGTTCATTGAATGTCTGACCGCGACTCGCCGAAGACTTCCCAGCCCCCGTCCTCCCGCAGACACCGATCTTCTCCTTTGGTTTCTGCAAAAATCAGTTGAATGGCTTCACCTGCAAATTTAGAAATGAACTCGCTATGGTCATCGTAATATCTTTTAGTACGAGATCGAGATCAGGCCGATATCGAGTAGAGTAGTGACTAGATATCAACATGAGATTAAAATGCCAACAATTGGTACTATTCCTCTTACCTGAACTCGACTTCGCCTTTAGAGGGCCAAGGTACGTCTGGTTTTGAATCAGGCAACTCGTGAGGAGCTTCAGGAGCTACTTCGCTCTGGTGCAATATCCTTTCAACACTGACGATATTTTGCTCCACTTCACTTGCGGATCTGACTACCCAATTCTATAGCAAATCATCAGGAAAACATGACCCTACGCGAAAAGGAGTGGCAGACTAGAGAGGACGTTGCGTTCAAAGCATATGATAGTACAAGGCCGACCAATCCAGCGTCAACGCCTGTAGTTATCAGCGCAACCATGGCCAAGGTGGCAACTAAAAAGATAATGGTGGCTCCGACTGCCTCAAGTCGCACAGCCAACCAGCGATTAACAGAAACACTTGAGAGATAACAGATTTGATTGCGATCAACACGGCGTTGAATCGTGGCAATGAAGAGAGATCCTTGATTAAAGGCACGGATGGTCGAAAGACCGGCGAGTGACTCAGAGAACCATGCAAAGATGGGTGAACGAGACACTGCATCTAGACGTTTGAGTTCTCGAGATGTAGCAAGATAATATCTGCACGATATATCAGGCGCATGCACAGATATGAGAAAGTGGACACATACTTCATGACTCGCAAGTAGAAATAGCCCAAAGGAATGACGGAGAGAAGGAACATCGGGAAGCTAGTTCCAATAACCAAAACGATAAACACACAGACAGCAAGGGTTCTGCATAGATTTTGAATAGCACGCGCCAAGATTTGGTCAACGACATAGGTATCACGAGAGAAAAGGTTCAAGATACTGTAGAATTTGGTGAGTGAGTCATATCATCATAATCACCAAATAAAGACTCACCGGCCGGTGGGGGTCAACTCAAAGAAGGTAAGTGGTGCATGTATGAGAGAATTAAGCATCTGAGAAACCCGTGAGCTGGCTTTCAATATTCAGGCGGATGGCTAACCGCGTCATGGAGTCTCCTTGCACTACGCAAGGAGCATAGGACCCACATCAAAATGGCAGCTGCGCCTCCCAAAAGGATGGAAGACAATGACACCGCGCCATAGATGATAAGATACTTCAGCATTCCGGCGTTGGTTCCCATTTCTCTGTTATGTTCGCCCCAGCTTCGAAGAACAAGATTTCCAAGAACGGACGAAGCTTGTTGAGCAATAATTGCAGCTAAAAAAAGAGAAAACCCCGTCTTTGAAGCAGCATGGATGTATTCCAAATAAACATGGGTTTTAACACGGCCTTGTTCCATGTGTTCCTTGCTCAGGCCGGTGGTCTCCAGCGAGCGAATTGGAGAAGGTTTGGCAATCACTGCCTTGGAGAAACTAAATCGGTCCCGGAGCTTTTCAGACAAGGTAATGTCGAATTTTGCTGCTTCGAAGTCTTCTCCAATTTTGGGTGTAGTAGCGCCACTCCCTCCGGTAATGAATGGCGTAGAAGTACCCGACGAACTTGTGCTCCTGCCATGACCATGTCTACCCAAAGATTTTCAGAGACAGTAAAGAAGAAGAAAGCTTCACGTACACCAGCCTGCTGATTTCTCCCTCGGTCTTGGACATCAAAGAATCATAGCTTCCGATTTCAAAGATGATACCCCGACGTATGTATGCGAGCTGATCGAACTCTCTAACAAATGCTATACTGTTTGTGACTAAAATGCGAGCCTTGGACGCGAGTATCCCTTGAGGACCGATGACGTTTGCTGCTGACCTTGAGGAAAACTGAGAAAAATAAAAGATGGTCGCGACTCACTGAATATGTGCCGTGCAACGTGGCTATCTACCGCAGCTAAGCAATCGTCAAGCAGCACACTGTAACCAGAACCCATTAGTGAAAACGTGCAGCGGAAGAAAATAACCAGAAACTTGCAGATCTGCGCGGGCGTAGACGGCGCGAGCTAAGGCGAGACGAGCTCGTTGGCCACCGCTGAGCTAAGGAAGATACATGAGAACGATTATCATTGGTGTACTTGGAGAAAACATACTGTAATGCCTGGAAAGAAATCGAAGTCAGGATCAAACTATTCAAATCAAAAGGATGACTTTCCTTTTTCCCCAACTTCTGTCATATCACCTTGAGGCAACAACGCCAGATCAGGTACAAGCGCACAAGCTACAAATCAATGAAGACATGGAGAACACGAGTAGAACTAAAGCACCTTCAATGACTAGATTGTAAAATACTTCATCATATTCATGAGAGAAGAGGATATTGTCTCGAACGGTCGCCGAAAGAATCCTAGAGATGGTATAAGCTCAAACAAAATATAAGGGCCAAACCCGAGGATACCAAGGGTTTTGTGGGCAATATGCGACGGTGCCATATACAGTCAGATCTCCTTCCGTCCTAATCATGTCGCCAATAATGGCAGACAGCAGACTCGTCTAAAACAGAGAATCAGGACCACTATAGGTAACCGCTAAAGTTAAGGGCCAAAGTTAAGAGTACCTTTCCGCATCCTACTTTGCCGAGGACTCCCAATAACTCTCCTTTTCGCACAGTGAGGTTGATGTCTTCTAAAACAGGCTGAACAGCTTCTGTGGACCAGCTGAAATCCGCGTTTCTAATGGACAATACCTACCACACTGTGATTTTAGAAGCGGACACCAGCAAATCATGACGAAGCCACTGACCGCGTCGCCACGTTTCAGATTGGGTTTCTCCATCAGTTTGCGTGCATCCGCCTGTAACTCATCTGCTTCCAAGAAGTCTGAAAGTCGCCTGATCGATACAATCGCTTCAATGAGGTTTGAAGTCACTTGGCTGAACTACACGGCGATCAGAGGAAGGCTGACGTCAAATTACAAAATCACTTGCCATTGCCAATGGAAATTGAAGTAACATGAAAAGCGATATGGCAGGAAAAATAACATCTGATGTTAGCGGTCTAGAAGACGTTATGGCGGCGACAGCAAAGGAACTGAATGCGACGAGTAGCGGTATACCGGTCCAGAGCATCATGTTGAGGGACTGAATTTTCGTCAGGAACAAGGAGGCGCACGATGGAATGAAACTAACCGTTGCGATGCCTATTTTCCTCAGCATCTTCAGTTCCTTCTCATTTCGGACGGTCAATATTTTTCGTAAAAAGGCATATTCCCAAGCATAAAGCTTAATGCTCTTAATGTTAGACAGTAGTTCGCTCATCAAACGCGTTCGCATATCGCGGTTCTTCATTTGGGTCTCTTGCATGCGTTTCAGGATGCGAGCAATGACTAAAATCAGGAGCATCAAACAGCGTGGTCCATGACTTTGCGAGTACACTTACAGGTGTTCAGAGGGATAGAAAACAACATTATAGCGACACCGACAAAGGCGGGCCATCCAAGCATGTTGTATAGAGAGATAAACGCCAACGTAATCTTAAACAGACCGTTAGGATGCCGACTTGTAGTGCATAAACTTGAGATACTTGGAAAGGACCCGAAATAGATATCAATCCGAACTGGCAGAAGTCCTGCAGCCTCGTCGCATCAACAGACATCAAGTTAACAATGTCACCGGATGCCCGTCCTCGCTCGTCGTTGGAAAGGACTAAGGCCTTTGCGTAAATCACAGAAACGAGCCCTGAGCGTACTCTCATTCTAAAAGTAAGAGGTGAATACCTCGTCTACAACGAATGTTGGACATGCCTACCCGGTTTCAAATGCGATTTGGAAGTACTGCACGAATTAATTGGTTATAAAGATTAATATACGTGAAGAGATGACCGCCACACCTGGTTTAAGATCACAGTTTGAGCGACTGATGCAATGAACATGAGTACAGCAATTGAGAAGCCTTCCAAGGGGTGAGGCTTGGCAGAGTCGTGAACATATCGCGCGCTTTGGTAGACCGATATGTATGATAAAAGCCAGCGCAGCAGTTGTGGTTGCAGAAATGAAAGACAGTCCTGAACAAGCTTCAGGCCAGCTGCTAACGCATAGGGACCACCGTACGAAATGAAGAGAGCCTTCCATAAGGAACTGAAATGGGGGACGTAAGGACTGGGACTGCATTTAATGAAATGTACGAACTGTTTTTGCAATGCATCATGCAAGATCTGTCCGAGTCGCTCGGAGTCATCTTCAGGACGTAGAGATGGCAAGTCGTTCTCAGAGATATACTGGGAGGCACCTTTCTTCATAAGGGGCGTCATCCAAGAAAAGAACTATCGAAGACCAAGTGAATAACAAGCTGAAGAATTAATAGACTACGCTTACCCATCGACCGAAGATATTCGCCGTGATGACCGGGTTTTCGGCATGCAAGCCATCAACAATCCTTTCGTCCGATCCCCACTCTGGCCCTACGCATTCCAGAAGGAAAGATAGGACGCCGAGTCCTGCTATGATTGATTTGAACGTAAATATGATATGGTTAAAACCATATGTCAACACGGATCGTGTCCAGATGGCATATACGAAAGAATGGAGAGGCCAGTATATGAGGAGGATAGCAGACGAGTTCCTGGCTCGAGTATGATTGAAAAATGTCAGGACGACGGCGGCCGCGAGCGAAACAGGTTCAAAGATGTAGGACTGGAGCACAGGTACGGGTATCCTTGTATAGACAGTGTAGAGAAGGTTAGCGATGCTGACGGAGAATGCGAGGGTAAGGAAGAGCTGGGTTGTGTTAGGTAGCAGGACGTGGTGAAAGAATAAGGAACGCACGATCTTGAAGCCCAGAGCCCATCGGCTCTTGGGCGACCTCCTCCTTGAGAGATGTACAGAGAGAGAGAGGCATTTTGCGACAGCCAACGCCAGTAAGAGGGCGTAGAGACTGGAGAAGAGGATGCCTTCCTCGAAACAGAGAGTGATATCAAAGGGACGAATACGAGAAACGATATTCCAGCCCTCGGTATCGCGACAGGTAGCCATGATTGCGCGTGATTGCGTGTGCAAAGGTTAGGTTAGCAGAACCAGCTTACTTATGGGCAACCTCCATCCCTTACTAATCACGCAAGCCTCGGTCCGATTATCCGTTACTAACTACTTCCGTTTGTCCCCTCGTTTGTCCTAACTTGTCGTACTCTATAAAGTCCGTTTGAATCCTCCCATCTACTTTGCCCCCAGCTTATGCACCTCCTCTAAAAAGTCCAGGAGAGTGCTTGCGCTCCACGCTTGGGTATTGCAAGAGTCCGAGCAGTGTTGCCCGTTCTCGTTCGTCAGTTCGGGTATCCCCGCCCAAGGATCACTGCGGATGTGTTGACGCTGCGTCAGCAGAATTTGATGCAGATGGTGAAGAGTACGCTTAATGTCCTATTAAAACACAACTTAGTAGGAAACGCCAAAGAACCATCAAGATTCATACCGTTTTACCCTCTCCGACACGGCTGTCGAAATTAAGATACGCCCTCAAAAAGAAGCCCAAAGGCCATCCCCATTCAGGACCCTGGACAGAACATCAGAATCCGTCAATATGACAGTTATAGTGCACTAACATTGTGATAGTTCAGTCCTTTTGCGATGGATGCGTCGTTCGAATCATTGGAGTTGTCGTATACTGGACGGTATTGAAGGTCTTTCGGATCCAAAGTTTTCATCCCGAGCGGAGCCCGAAGAACTTCTTCGGCGATTTTTAGCGCGTCTAGAGCATGCTGAGGGTTGAATAACTCAGGGGCAACCGCCATAGCAATGGGAAAGTTGGGCCTCATTTGGTAGTCAGACCACTCTCTGCCGACTCCAGATCCGTACACGTCCTTGTATATACCTCGTCGGTTCACTAAGTTTGACGTGACGTTGTACTTGGTATCAGCGGATGGATCTACCGAGGATGGTTAACCATCTATTCGAGTAGCAGGAGAAATATATAAATGTCTCACCGAGAGGGACGTAATAGCACTTTTCGAACGAAGACTGAATGAGATTTGACCATTGCTTGTACGTGATGAGATGCTCCTTGCCATCGACTTGCAAATATCAGCATTCGAGGGAGAAGGAACTCGATGAAAGAAGGTACTAACTAGTTGCATGAACGCCTTTGAAGGGGAATTGACCCGCTTGAGATAGATGATCTACCCAACGAAGTGCGCTCTTTAGCAGCCCGGTAATTTCGACAGGTGCACCGTCTCTGGGAGTCCCTGGAATGCCTTTCGTTCCAGCCCTGACGGATTCGCCCATCTTATCCATCCATGTCCCGCAGTTGTATCGATTTCCCCCAAAGATTATTCCTGTACCCCAATCAACCTTAATGTCGATATTGAATCCTTCGTCCCTCATTTGCATGTCGAGGTTAGGACCTGCATTGTACTCTCTGAAGTGAATGCCATCCGAGTGCCGCTGAAGAATTTCTTGTATGATCTCAGCAATCGTAGTCGAGTAAGCATATGCATGCGTATCGTCCCAAGGCACCCAGGTGTCGTCCTTCGGGAACCGACGCTTCACTTTTTCAAAAAGAAGGGACAGTCCATCTGGAGCGCTGTGAACATAATCTTGTATGCTTTGAAGCATCCACCACGGTGAATCTCGAGAGTTGTACCTGGAAAAGAATGAGCTGATGATCTTCATAATGCATGAATAACAGACCTAGGACTGCGAACCGAATCTAAAAGATTTGGTATCAAACCGTGTTTTAATGTTGAGGCGAATGCCAGAATATGTTTTTTGGCAGCAACATAGTTTCCAGTCGTCAGGAACAAACCTCGAAGAGATATAAAAACGTCACGACCCCAACATCTCGCCCACCCAGCTGCAAAATGAGGAAGGCCTGCCGCCAATGACGGCGTCACAACACTAGGATCAAGAGACGCGGACTGTACGATGCCGTACATCTGAACTGCACATAAAGCCAGGTCTTGGGTAAAATCATGTCCGTTAGAAATGAATTCCGAGCATTGTTCAACCACAGACCGCCTTGCAGCTTTGTACGCCTCCGAAATGACGAGCGCAAAATACTTCGGGCGCAAGAAAGGAGGGACAGTAGCCTTGACACGTTCGAACCTTTCACGGAACCATTCAGCTACTCGTTTGATTTTAGGCATTTTGTCAGCTTGTCTGAGAAAGACAAGGTCAACGGTGTTCAGCAGGCAAGAATCAACGACATACTTGAACAGACGAGCATGGACATAATCCAAAGCCCATGGCCCATCTCTCAAATGGCCGCATAGAGGGTGACCGAGATCGTTATATCGCATAATATGCCTTAGGGGATGCATCCAGCCTTCGAGACCACAATAGACCGCCTTTCCCAGCCCTGGTACCTCGTATGCACCAAACTCTCCGGCAGTCACGTCGCGTTCTTCTCCATCCGCACGGTGCAAGACAATGTTCAATTCAACGAGATCAAGTGCGCCAAACACTTCCTGCGCACCAGAGGCGCAAAATACGTCCAAGGACGCATCGTGCTCTTCCAGATACGTCTTGAACAACATGATGCTTCCTGGAGGGAAGTATTCAGGAATGATGACCTCTGAATATGGGCCTTCATGGTCATGGCCTTCGGAAACATGGAGAGAAGGCATCTCAACAATCTTTGCAGGTAAGCCTTTGAGGGTCGTCGGATCGCTAGGAATTGCATACGTGTGAATATCGAGACTAGCACCCAAAACGAAGTCGGCTTTCATTCTTCGCAGTTTGATAGGTGATACTAATCGAACGTCAGCCGAAAGAAACTCGCAACAGAACGTAGAACGTACTACAGCCTCGATCCTTTGAACCTTTATGGAAAGCGGTGTGAGCGACAAGTAGAAATCCTTTCTGAGTTCCAGGTTGGACACGGGAGAAAACGATGTACTGCACAACAGCATAGCATTAATGGCTCCTGGTATATGAGGAGATAAAAGCTTACATCTCCTTCCTGATGCACATGTCCTTCCTCGTAACCCCCCAGGACCATTTCAAGATGAAGAGAGTTGAGAACGCGCTTGACTTTGGCGATACCGCTGCTTTCTCCAAGCCCGGTGATCTCATACTTCCTCTCCTCTCCAACCAGGTTGAGTAACTTCGGATATAGGTCATCAAATCCTTTGACGGATCCTATTGCTGAATAGCTAAACGTGGAAAGAGCTCCAGTAGACAAAGCGTCTTCTGCAGAGCGCTTGTCCATGGGCGACTCATTATCGTGCGTAAGGTCATACAGCAAGGCGTGCGGCATAGAACCATTCAAAAGTCTCACAACAGCCTTTCGAACCGGTCCTTTGCCGGTTGGCGATGCAATCTCTTCCAAACTTGTCAGACACGCGTCATCCATGGAACCTGCATAATAGAAACATTTGAACGAAGCGCGTCAAGAAGCGACCGCTTACCCACTGGTTTTCCGACGCCATGTCTATATAGCAATCTAGAATACTCCTTTGGGTCCCAACCATTCCCGCTCTCTCTGATGAGGCTGTTGATACCCAAACGTTTCACAAATAAGATGTCCATCTCCTCGTTGCCAGTGAAAAGCTCTGCGCAGACGTAGAGATTCGGATTGACGACACGGGCCGCATCCAACATCCAAACACCGACGTGAAGAGGAGTAGAATGGCAGTTATCAATTCGGAAACCGTCGAAAGTCGTCGCCAAAGAAGTAACGTATTCAGTCATGTGAGACCAAAGCCATGGATTATTGTCTGGCCCGTTACCATAGCGTAGTTTGACACAATCACCCCAGACGATGACTTCCCGTCGGAGATATGCCTTAGAGGGAGGAAGGGCAAAGTTTTGTAAAGGATCTGCGGCCCATATCCAGCCATTGTTGGCCAAAGAGTACATGTGAGGATCTGTGTCTGACTTGGCGAGACGAGTAAAATAAGGTTCAACAAGCGGCGACCTAAAATGAAGAGAACGTCAGCAAAATGACCCTCAGGAGAGTTCTGCCCCTACGATTCGGAGATCTCGCCCAATCGCGGTCCATGCTCATCCAAACGCGTGTACTCAAGTCGGTTTTTGACACCGGAGACAGCAATCCGGGTATCATCCTCCCACTCCTCATACAAGGGTACATTAATCACGTCTACAATACGAACCCAAGCATCAGCAAGAGTGCTGATATCATGAATATCGCGAAACGCCGCCTTCACGAAACCGGCGGCGACTGCGGGTTCGACGTGAACACCAAATCGCGAAGCCAGTTTTCCCAAACCGATAATCTTGTTCTCAGAACGAAGAATCTCCGCGAGTGCAACGATTGATTTCCCTTCAACATCCGTTCCAGACCATGCAATGATTTGTTGGGAGTCGAAAGCTGACTTGACGGAATCCCGCTCGCGTTTCGCGTCAAGAACATAGTACTGCCAGAAGTCCAGGTTTCTGACGACGTCTTCGAATTCTTTCATGAGAGTTGCCACATCTTGAGCGGACTTGACCCGAGTAGGAAGACCTTTCGACTGCAAAGCGCCAGAAAATCTAATCATGGCAGTATCAAGTTCCAAAGCAGGCGTCAAGTGAGGTGAGTTTGCTGGGCTGAATCCTATGAGAACAATTAGGTGCGACGTGTGATGAGTCGAAACAACATACCTGCTTCGGGATGATCAACTAACCAAGGACTGTCGTTGGCAGTATGATTCAACACCACATCCGTCAAACTCAAGAGGCCATGCTGCTCTCGAGCAATGTTCAAAATAGTTTCCACCTGCGACTTGCCACCATCGGCACCACGTTTTCCACCGAAGGTAGCAGAGTCATACTTGAGCTGTTCACGAATCGAATAAGGACTATCGCTTTCACCTCGTTCCTGCAAAGGCGTATAATGCAACATCGTGTATCCTCGCTCTTGGGCCTCCTGGAAATGCTTTGGCCACTCAGATAAGGGGCCCATCCATTTGGATACGACAGTAAGAATGGACAATCCGCCTAGAGGCAAGTTGATTGTTTCCTTTTGGACAGTAGCCCCCGAACCGGCAGGTAAAGGTGAGAGGTCAGAGGCGAGAATAGGCGAGCGTGATTTGATGCGCAAGACCGGATCGATGTTGAAATAGCCATCTCTGCCTTTTATACGCTCTCCGTGACTCTCGCCATCGTACTCTACCCAGAAGACGAATGCCCCGGCATGAGATATAGGTAAATCGACCTGGATAGGTTTTGAAAAGTCCGAGGGAAGCCTGAGAAAGGGATTTTGTTATTCACATCACGAAGAAGAGTGCATATATGCGCCTGAGATGGCTTACCTCCGCTCGCAAAAATGGTCGCGACCAAATTGGCCGCCGTCTAGAGGAAAATTGGTCTTGAACACGCCGTTCCTTGCAGCGGGGGTGCCGGCGTTCATGGAGACGCGTAAAATGTACGGGGCATAGGCTGGAGGAAGACGGATGTACTACAAAAAAGTCGTTTGTATAAAAAAAAAACGCGATTATTAATTAAGGCGCTAGTGCTCACCGAGCTATCCTTGTGGGGACCACCATCCACATCAAGTCGCAGCTCATATACTTGTATAGGCGATTCTCCAGGAACAACGTCAGCTTGGAAGAATTCTATGCCTTCATCGGCAGGCGTCTTGGGCGTTATGGGAGTGATGGGGCTGTTCGATGACGGGGTCTCTGATGGCGAGGCCTTGCTCCTCTCGGGAATGGAAACCGTGGGTATGTTTCTGCCTTGAGCGGCTTTGGGAACCTTGGCCATCATGTTACACAACAGATGGAAGGTTGGAATCGATGAGATGGTCGTGGTTCAGAGTGAAGAGATGATCAAATCGCCAGCAACATGCTATACTAGAGCGATGATGTCTGACCACGATCAGTAGAATTCCATTTTGGGACGCGACGCCGATATATCATGAACAAATTGTTATACTACTTAATTTTAAGTGAGTAAAATCTAGGCGTGTGTATCTATCGACCAAATTTCCTCAAAGGATCCGCCTTCTTTTTCCCTCCTCGCCCATCACGGCCCCCGCGTCGCATCCCATCTCGATTGTTCTTCTTGAAGCCTACGAAACCAATGGACTTGTCGTTTGTCGTTGTTCCTTCCATTACCCCATTCACGGGAGCAACGCGTGGGAGAAGATATTTAGGTACGTGCTTCATGTGAGGTTGAATTCGAGTTGGATGTAAAACTTTGTCATGCCGTAGATATTCTAGGTCAAGAGGATTATCTTCAAAGTGCGCCTGCGATGAAGACAGTAAGCATGCAAGAGATCAAGGAGGGCACAACTTACTTTCAGCTTATCTGAATTCATTATTTCTGTCTTCAACTCCTTCATCCTGGCTTCCCGAACCGCTGTCCTTGTCACCGAACGTAAAGCGTCTTCCATTCGATACCTGAACGCCTCAACCTGTTTCATGTCAAAAATGTAGTCCCGGATCTTGTTTCCTCTAGCGGCTTGCTCCTGCTCAATTCTCTGAAATACCGCATCATCTCGCTTAGCATTTGACAAGCATCCTACGACCTTATTTTTTCCCCACTGGTCTTGTGGAACTACAAATGACAATGACATGCCTGTCCGCCCCGCGCGCGCAGTGCGTCCTATGCGATGGATGTACGACCGTGAACTGCCGGGTAGGTCAAAGTTCAGGATACAGGCGACGTCAACAAAGTCGATTCCGCGGGTTACCCCGTATTCTCTATCGCCGCCGTCTTTTCCGTTCTTCCGTTTCCTAGACTTCTGCGCAGGCTCTGCAGAAGAACGCTTGCGCTTGCGCGAGGAGCTAGATGAACCAATGGCTACTGACGATTCTTCAGGTCTAGGCTCCAACTCGCGCTGAGTGGATGTAACTGTAATACGATGAGCAATTCGTAACGCCACACTCTGTTTAAAAAAGTCGTACATTGCTGTTCAGCTTCATTCTCATCATTGGGATCTTCCTCCTCATCTTCGACGTCTTGGTCTGCTCCATGAGTTCCACTTTCATCAGTGGCGATGATATAGTCATAGACACCTTTGTTGAATTCCTGTACAGTATGATATCTGTTCGCTTGTCAAACGAAATGTCCGGTCTACAAACCATCTGCTCACCTCGAATTCAGCGGAAGCTCCGAGTTGAGGACGCAACTTTTGATGGAAAACTGCTCAAGAAAGAGTTTGAGCCGATAACTGCGGTCTACATCATTGACGAACAAGATGCATTTCCCTTTGATAAGTTTGAGTTTGAGGATAACATATGTGAGAAGGAACTTGTCCACTTCTGAACATCTGAACATCGATTAGGCGACCAGCACTTGGACATAGGTAGATTTATCGCACTTGACAGAGTACTGCGTCAAATTGGCAGCTTCATCCTCGCCCTGCTCTAATCTCAGTATGACCTGCAGAGAAGTTGAGACATCTACTAGATGCTGATAGATGCATGGACGAACTGGGTTGCGGAGTGTTAAGCCTTTCAAGAGTTCGACGTCCTCAGTCATAGTGGCGCTCATAAGGAACGATTGGAATACTTTTGGTAGATACATCCCACTGAATATTTGCCGAATGGTTTCATCGTGACCATAAGAAAGAATAAGATCTGCTTCGTCGATGACCAACGACTCTAGGTCCGTTAATAACAGCGTCTGAAACTCTTCAGTCTCGTATACAAGGCATCAAAAGAGGCCTACCTTGGACTGAAGAAGCGCCAACGCTCGGGTTGGTGTAGCGACCACGATGTCAGGTTTGTCTGAAAGAAGAGTGCTAGCACGTTCAACGTTATTTGTTGCTTTATGGCCAAAAAGTTGGCAAGATTCACCGTTGTAAATGTGAGGTCGTTCCAGCAGAAACGTTGACACAGCTGATCTCCTTCTCACAGTACTTTAACAGTTCCTTCAATGAAATGGTGACCTGTTGCGCCAATTCCCTTGTTGGGATTAAAATCAATGCTCGAGTCGCCTGATACAAGGCATCCTCGCTGTCTACAGACTGCATTCAATATTAACGACGCTTCCTGCAGAATACCGTTAAAGCTCACCCACACTTTTTGCATTGAGTATTTTCTGTGCGATGGGTATGCAATATGCAGCAGTCTTTCCACTTCCAGTCTGAGCACGAGCCAAAATATCCTTGCTCTCGAGGGCCAATGGAATCGCTTTTGCTTGTACTAGGGTGGGTCGAGCAAAGCCCATATCGGCAAGAGCACGAAGTAGACGCGCATCGAGGAGGTGTGAAAAGATAGTAAATGTGGCCTTAGCATCGACCAGCCGTGATTCGACCATTGAGGTCCTGATGAGCAAAAAAATTCCGACAGAGTAGATATCAAGAGCCGTGACGTGACAGTGTTACGGCTTCCATCTCTTCCTCCTAATACTACATATCCGTTGTTCTTCGCAAGTTCGTGTCTGCCTCGCACCGTCGTCAACACTGACTACCATGCTTCATCGTGCAGTGGAGGAGATATCGACGGGATCCGACTCGGATTACTCCAGGTATGGTTTCTTGCACCCACCACCATCGTTGTCTCAATAGTCTTCAGCTCGGCATGTCCTAATGCATCCCAGTTTCTTCAATGATATTAAGCCTCTCTACAGTGGATATCTTGGTTCTTATCCTCCAAGGGCAACGAATATTTCTGTGAAGTGGATGAAGATTTCATTCTGGACCGATTCAATTTGACTGGGTTGAACAACGAGATCGTCAACTACCCCCAAGCTCTGGACCTTATTACCGATAATCTTGGTGAGACTTTATCGTTTCTCTCGTGGGAGGCGGCATCGAACCTTGCTGTAGATGATGATATTCAAGACGACTTCCGCGCCTCTCTCGATGTTCAAGCCAGACTTCTGTACGGCCTCATACATGCCAGATGGATTGTTACCACACGGGGCCTAGCCAAAATGGTCGGTTCGCTTGGTCCTTTGTTCATTGTATAGTAATCTCCTTTATTCAGCTCGAAAAGTATAAACGCATCGAATTCGGCCGGTGTCCACGTGTTCTCTGCCAACAGCAACCTCTCCTTCCCGTAGGTCTAACCGATGTTCCGTACGAGAAGTCGGTCAAATTGTACTGCGGACGTTGTGAGGACATATACTCACCCAAGTCGTCCCGACATGGATCCATTGATGGAGCCTACTTTGGAACGACATTTCCCCACCTGCTGTTCTTGGTATATCCCACATTAATTCCTCCCAAGACCGGCCCACCAACAGAAGGCGCTGCAAGCTCCCGTGAAGGCGTGGATTCTTCAGGGAGACGAAGAAGGGGGGTTCGGGAAGAGGTTCAAGAAGTTGTTGCCAGTGACGGGGGAGAAGGCGTTAGTACTGCTAGTGTCGCGCTCAAAGCTGACAGATACAGGCCGAGAATTTATGGATTCCAAGTGAGCGAGATTGCAAAATTGCAGAGATGGCAGGAGGCAGTTAGAGATCGGTATGTTCTCTTAATTACTGATATTTTCGCGATCTCACGAAACGTAGACAAGTGGCGCGGTTAGAGGCCCTTGAATCCAGGAACGAGGTATAACTTATGTGCTGTGTGCTGTACGTTGTAATTCCTTCTACAATACCCCTGGAGTAGCTTTCCCTTGGTGTATACTACACAATACATCCAGACTTGCTTCAAAAATCAAATAGAAATAGCAATAAAGATCTCAAAAGCGAACAACCTTCGAGCTCTTCCGTCCACTTGCTCGGGCCCGACCTTTAGAGGTGGTATTTGGCTGTTCTTGGATATTTCCACCTCCCAGTAGATTTAAGAGCCTTTGTTTCTCCTCGCGTTGAGCTGGATCTTCGTACACCACGCGCATACTTTCCAGTGCGCCGCCCTTCGTGGGGTCTCCTACCACGTCGCTCTCCAATCCTTCACCGCCAAGCTCGTCATATGTCTCATCAAAGCCAGCTACCTTGTCAGTCATCGCGGCTATCTCAATAGCAATATCCCTCATGGAATCCTGCCTCGATTGAGGATTTGACCTCAGACGTGGACGCAATCGTTTCTCTACTACCCCTCTAGGTCCTTCTTCTGATTTCCGCTTTCCAAGCAGACTAGGGGAACTCTCACGAACTGACGGCGATTCTGGTACAGAATCTCCGCATCCAAATGATGGTGTGGCGGACAATGGGATGATGGAAGCAAGTGTTTGCCCCTGTTCCACTAACTCCGGAAGATTAGAACTCAGTACTCCGCTGCGAGGTCTACCGAATGAAGTTTCCGGTGCTGATATAACGGGAGCGTCATGCGGGCGTCGAAATGAAGACTGAGGACATGCTTCCAAGGCTTTCTGAAGTCGTTCTGATTGCTCAAAGTCTGAGCACGGGGCTCTCTGTCCCTTCGCTGAGGACTGTGAAGGTGGTTCTACTCCTAGCTTCATGCCTACATAGAGTATCAATGTCATGTAATAAGCTTTGAGCAGGAACTTACCGTTAGTAATATCAACAATTGCCAAATCGTTGACAGCCTTTCCTTTCCCGTTTTTATCGATATGCATGGACGTGGCGAGGAAAGTAGACACGTCTGGGACATACCCCGTTCGCGCAGCCTCCGCCAGCCAACCCATATGTACAACGGGGACGCCCCATTCGCGTGATTTGTTAAATTTTGTACCCGTAGCGGAAGGGCATAGAAGGTGAGTCGCTTTGCGAGAAAATACAGGCGCGAGATTCATGCCGAGAGCTCGCACAAGACGGCGGGTGAAATAGGCTTCCGATTCATCCAAACCAGAGAAGCTAAGATGCACCTTGTCAGCATCTAAATGTTTACATTGTCAATGGTGCATATACGGACTAGATCAGTTAACTCACTGAGTAGAGGGACTTCAATTCCGAGAGGTGAGAATGACACATGGGCTTCAGGGTCACAAAGCCTCTCCTCAAATATAGACCTCTCTAGCCAGCATTCGGTGCGATACTTCATCCTCTGTTCCAGATCCATCTCTGAGCGAAAAAATTTACTGCCGCTACAATCACGATGAGACACCGATATCAAGGAAGAGATGAACACTTACCTGACGAGACGTACGAGGACATAGTCTGCATCATCTTCTTCTGATGTGAGACTGCCGCCGGACCGTTCGATCGCGTCTTTAACAGATGCCGACTTGGCCTCACCAAGAGCACAGAATTTGATTCCTGCGAATAACGAGGATGTAGCCACAGTTGAAGAAGGACCGGCTACAGGCTCGGAGTTACTCCGGGAGAAAGGAGTTTCGCCAGTATCTTGTTTAGGAGGCGCAAAGGAGTTGGCGCGACGAAATTTGGTAATAATACTTTCACCCGTCGGTGAGGGCGGTTGGCCCTCAAGAGACTGTTTAGTAGGCTGTGATTTCGTTGGACTTCGGACAAGGCGGCCTTGACTGGAGACCTCATATCCCCTGTGTTGAAGAAGGCTCTGCCATACTTTAATAGTTACCGCTGATACATGGTTAATTGATGCGAGCTCTTCCTCTTCGTCGGTATTATTGGTGAGTGACGTTGTGGGCTCCGGGTCCGTAGACGGTGAAGAAGAAGCAGGAGCTATAGGAGAAAAATTGGTGAGATTCACGACTTAAGAAGGCGGTCGAAATACAAACGTTCAGGGATAGACTTGCGTTCTGGGCGTGGTCGTCGGACTTGATACTTTCCCTCGTCGAATCGTCCTAAAATGGACATTAGAGCTACGAGAACGTTACGCGAACGGATACTCACCGCCGAACTCCAACGAATCCCAAAACCATTCTTCCCACACGAGATGTATATTGGCCTCCTTATGTTGATTGAATTTTTCGGCGTACTTTATTTTATCTGTCTCATCATCGCCAGAACACAGTAAATGTGTCACCTTGACCGGCCGTTTGAGTTCCTTGGCATAGACGCCCTTCTGCTGGATTAATAGACGGTGAATTTGTGTTCGCCTTTCCTCGTCCGTTATGCCCGATATAGACAGAATGACGCCCGAGAAAACTGGGAGGCGATATTTGTCCAGACTCTAGAAGGCCATGTTAGGAACAGGAGCACAACTTTGATAACAGTCACGCGCCTCTTGAACGTCAAAATCATCCCCTCGCACCCAGACCTCATGGCACTCAGTTATCCATTCCGGCTGTAGTATAGGTATCTTGAGCTGTAAGGCGCACTAGACAATATCAAACGAAGATAGCGCAGAAACATGCATGGGACGTACATTGTACTTTGCTCCGCCATGATCTTTGGCCACAAGGTGGGTGACACGGTCCGTAAACGCTGAGGCTGTCTGAGCACCGAGTTCTATGGCTTTCTTGAACAAGGCTGGCTGATGATGATATCAATATAGGACATTCTGCAGCTAGGCATGACGCGCCTTGTCCTGGATTCCTGTTGCGCATATGATCATTCCCAAGAACGGCCTTGGACAAGGGTCCAAGTAGCTGGTATCCTCGCTTCCTAGCTGGGTCTCCTCCGCCCATAGCTTCTCCTCGCGTTCCTTCCGCTTTGACGAAGACGGTTTGGGTTGTGCAGGACGTAGTTTGACATTAGGTACCTATGGTGAGAGTTCAATGCTGAAGTGGCAGATAATGGAAGTAAACGGCGCACCTTTTTGGACTTGTTTCCTCGTCGGTGCATAGAAATGGGATAGAAGGCGAGGGCAGATGAGTGTAACGTTCAAGTCCAACGCCGACGGTCAGAGAGGGTCACATGATTATATTTAGGGCCGGCTTCGTCGTGTTCGACTGTTTAACTTACCTCACTGCCAAATATGTTTCGTCCAATGCATTTGCTCATTTCGCAGTGCTTCGCCTCTCTCTTAATGTTTCTTCCGTGTTTCGTCTGGCTTGCTTTTTCACCACGATCTCCCAGCAGTACTCTACCTGATGCTCTACCTTCCTCTTCTCTTTCCCAATACGTCGTCGATCTCAACCTGTCTCGAATCATCTAACCTCACTCGCTGACAGCTGTTCTGCCTTTTTGTCCTCTTCCCTCTCAATCCTTACATCCTTTCTCCTGCCTTTCTTATCCGTCTCACATCTAAGTCAAGTCGTTCTTATTACGCCCGAGTCCAACCTCGCTGCCACTCCATCTCTAATACGTGACTTCGTTTCGTCACTGGACGATATAGATCACCCAGATTTTTCTCTTTCCTTATGACCACGAGACGCACATAGCTCGATGGCTACGCTCAGAGTCGCCTCACAAGTTGTCACGGATTGGGTTTTGATCCTCGGCGGCACTGCGCTCTCCACCATCAGCATGGAAAGTCGTGCCATGCTTATCAACCCGCCGTATTTTTCTGACCCTCCGGGGCCTAGGGGCTTTCGCGCATCATGTGTTACTCCTGTTCAAGCACCTCAATCGGCTTCGTACTTGGTGCCGCCATTTGTGATGCCCAGGTCTCTAGCCTACTCCACCAGCCGTGCTTTCCATTATAACTTTTGGCGCGATTTTGGAACCCACATTGTCTCCGCAGATAATCATGGACACGGCGGAGTTGTGTTACCATATTCCCCAGAAGAAGATACCGCCTGGTGTCAACTCAATCAAAATTTCGACTCGTTGGATAGTGCCCCTAGTGGCTCACATCTCACCAACAACGGTGGTATTGATTCGCCATATCGTTGCTTCGCTATTATGGACCGTCAGCCTCAACCACTGTTTGCTATTCTGTTTCCTACTTTGGGCGATCTGTAGGCATTTGCATCTGTTCCTTGTCAGCTTCAGGGAAAGGGTTTTCTTGTATATGCGGCTGTTTATTCTTTTACAGTCACGTCACCCTTCCCGAAACAGTCGTTCAACCGTGGATCATGCATCATTCAATACAATATGCTGCCTGAACCCCAGGACTATTCCTTACAGGTCTATCGCATCTTTGGTTGCCACGATCTTTGAGCGAGTTTGAACTCGCCACCACATCTGCTATCAGAGTGCGTTTACCATGACGGGACCTGCCCTATTGCGCATGGATGGGAACGCTCTCAATTTCGGAATGGCGAAGTACGTTCTCTTATTCGCCCCAAAGTCATACCCGACTAGATTGGAACATTCCACAGATTGACGTTAGTATCATTACCAACGACAGACCGCATCCCTTCACTCGATTACTGGGTTCGTTGTCCAACGGGAGATTCTACAGTGATCAACTGCATTTGAGAATCAATTTGGAACAATCTTCCGATGAGGCGACTATGCATCTAACTCGCAATTTTCAATGGATCCGCGGTAGCATGTTTGTGCACCATCGGGTCATTCATGGAGGACTACTGCCTGCCGTGGTTGAATCTTGGTATCTAAATTCCAATCACAGCTACGGTCTTTTATTGGAGGATGATGTAGAACTGTCGCCTTTGTTCTATACATGGATCAAGATGACCATCCTTCGCTATCGCTGGGTAATCTTTTCCTCGATCATGGATCCGTTTATCATGAATCAGCTACGGAGACGAATGCAACATGTTGCCACAACTTTTCGGTGTCAGCCTGTATCAACAAAAGCATATCGAACTTCATTCCGGCGGCCGAAGACTGTTTGATGCGTGGGCCTTCTTTGAAAGCACAGAATTACCGGTGTCATCACCCTATCTTTCACTGCGGCTGGGGCGCGGTATACTTCCCAGAACACTTGCGAGAATTCCATGATTTATCTGTCTCTCCGCTTTTCCGAACTATCTCTCAAAATGGACGCTGCCATCGTTCCTGAGGTTTTCTCTAATTAATGGAGAAAATCGTGGAAGAAGTACTTTACTGAGTTGGTATTTTTCGCGGCTATGTCATGCTTTATCCCAACTTTGCTGATTTTGTCTCGCTGTCTATGAATTACCTTGAAGCTCAGCAGCTGATGTGTGTAGACCTGTAGAATAATCGTTCCTCTGAGTAGAAGGACTGTGGAAGCCGAATAAAGAAATATTATTTGCACGCACGTGGAGACCAACGTGATACAATTTTGCTAAGTTACTCTTTCTCTGTATACCTCCACTACTCTTGCTTAATGGCTGAACGGACGAACAGCAACATGCTCTTTGCCAATTTTAATCAAGATTTCTCGTGAGTTTCTGAATGTTCGATTCGAATGTACTTGCAAAAACGCTTAGATTCTGTTAGATGCGTGTCGGTCGGCACTCGGAGGGGCTACAGCATCACCAATTGCGAGCCATTCGGGAGGGTGTACACAATGAGTACGTTTCTGAGCATCGTAGTCGTCTGTTACTTACCTTGCTATCTAGATGATGGTGCTCGCGGTATAGTAGAGATGTTGTTCTGCACGTCGCTGATAGCTCTAGTCGGGGCGGCAGACCAACCGCATTCGAGTCCAAGGAAGCTGCAGATAGTAAACACAAAGGTGCTTTCTACAGGGCCTTTTCTCTGTCGCCTCTCAACTCAATTGCAGAGGCAATCCATGATATGCGAGCTACTTTTTCCGTCATCAATTCTCGCCGTCAAGCTGAACAGGAAAACGCTTGTCATTGTGCTGGAAACGGAGATTTACATATACGACATTTCCAACATGCGACTGTTACACGTTATTGAAACGACGGCGAATCCTGAAGGTGTGCTTCAGCGTGTTTTCATGAAGCGCGTACTGACGGTCCCAGCCATTTGTGCCCTTTCTCCGTCGGCCGATAGCTCTTTCTTGGCGTATCCATCACCTGTACCTTCACCAACATCGCCCCTCGCTGCACCACCACCAGTCGCCCCGTCTTCGCAGCCGCAGACTCAATCTGGCGACGTTCTGCTGTTCTCCACCCGCTCACTCACCGTCGCGAATGTTATTCAAGCTCACAAATCACCCATATCCTTTTTGTCCATCAATTCCACCGGCTCTCTTTTAGCCACCGCTTCTGACAAAGGTACTGTTATTCGTGTCTGGAGCATCCCGGGTGCTGAGAAACTCTACCAATTCCGCCGGGGTACGCGCGAAGCACGAATCTATTCGATCAATTTCAATTTGGTTTCTTCGTTGCTAGCAGTAAGCTCAGCGCATGATACAGTCCACATCTTTCGTCTAGGTGGTGGAAACGCGCAGAGGAAGGATGGAATGGCGAGCCCAGCAGAGTCTGTCGACAGCAGGGAGACGACACAGCTTGATGGGGGTTACGAGGCATTCATCGAGAAGAAGAAAGGCAGCGGAGTGTCGTCCAGTCTGAGGAGGAAGTCGTTACAGGTCACGAAGAGCATATCGCATTCGATGGGCGGGTATCTTCCCAATACCATAACGGAGATGTGGGAGCCGTCCAGAGACTTTGCTTTCTTGCGGTTGCCGACGAGCGGTGCACGGTGTGTGGTTGCACTGAGTGGGACAATGCCGCAGGTGATGGTGATTTCTTCTGAGGGCTACTTTTACTCGTACAACATTGACCTCGAAAATGGCGGCGAGTGTTCTCTGATGAAGCAGTTCAGGTGCGTTCCTTTGGTTATCGGTTTTCTAACGCTGACGCATGTCCATAGCTTACTGGATTCCGGTGAAGATTCAGCCAAGGATGTTATAGACTAAGGGATGAAAGTATTGTATCGTTATTTTTACCCTGTGTCTTTCGGCTGGACTTGTAATATTTCTTGGAGGTTACATGTATAGTGTTTCGTAGTTTTGAATGTGATGATTCAAAGATATCATGGTTTGGACAAACTACGAGCGCCGTATGAGGCCAACGCCGACGGGCAGACCCTCCTCCTTTGCCGCCTCTTGAACCTTTGCGGCGCCCTGGCGAGTAGCTTCTGTAGCGATGGCAGCAGTACGGGCTGCCTGGTCGACGTTAGCCAGACGACAGAGATAGAGACAACAAACAGAGCTCACCTCTTTGTCACCATGTAGACACTCGAGGTAATCAGCCGACTGAGCTGCGCATTGTTGGGGAATATCTGCTTGGGAGTAGCATTTGGAAAACTCTTGCCAATAGACAAAGCAGCGAGGTCGAGCTGAGAAGGAGGTGAGCAGTAGAAATAATAAGCAGACGACGGGCTCACATCCTGTCCAGCTGAATCCAGACATCGTGGTCACGGTCGGAGCCGAATTACACAGCCACAGGCAGTAGTCCAGGGTTTACTAATACCAACATGGGATCGCCCCTTCCCCCAGGCATGGTACTCGGCCCAGATGGCAAGCCCTGCAGAGCCTGTAGCAGCGGCGCCGCGTTTCGAGCCTGGAGACCGCCCATGACAGCGACAAAGATCGCAACAGCGGCGCCAACGACATCACCAGCCGACTGTCCTCCCGACGTTGAGCAACTTGGTCGCGCGACGTGGACATTCCTCCATGTCACAGCCGCCTACTATCCAGAGCGCCCGACACCGAACCAGCGCGCCAACATGCTTACGCTGCTCAGAGCGCTCCCAATTCTGTATCCATGTTCCAACTGTGCCGGCGATTTTGGGGAGGACATACAGACCCATCCACCAGATGTTAGCAGCAGGGCAGGCCTGAGTCGGTGGTTGTGTGAGAGACACAATGAGGTCAACTTGAAGCTCGGCAAACCCAAGTTTGACTGTTCACTAGAAAAGACGGACGAGAGATGGAAAGATGGAACCTGTGACTAGGGCACCTGTTTATTTTACAAGTATATATCTACATCAACACCTAATTACGATGTGCGAGAGAAAAAAAGCGACCAAGGAGCGACGGCCGTGACCATGAATTATCTTGTTCCTCCTCGCTTGCAGCGATCACTCGTCCTCGACCATCCGTTACAAATGGTGGTCGCCCAGTTTCCGTGCTGGACTGCCCACCATCTACCGTCGTCTCCTCGTCAATATCAATACCTAAATCCATCTCTCCGTCACCTGTCTCTGAAGACCAAGGGGCAGTCGTTTCGACAGGCCCCGCAGTGCCAAAGATGAACCCAGAAGGCGGAACAACATTTTGAGGACCTAGCTCGTCATCCTCATCATCCTCGCTCGTGTTCCAGTTGCTCTCCGAGCCGCTGTCAGTCTCATCAACATCCTCTAGGGGAGGCATAGAGTCGTCGCTATCATGCGTATCTCCTCTTCCGCTCTCTCTTGTACGATTTCCATGGGATGGGCTTGAAATAATTGGTTCGAGGTTCGGCATGGTTTCGTCCTGTCCACATCCGTGATTTAGTTTGCTTCCGTTTATGCGACGAGTAATTGCTTACCACAACGGCTGGTCGTGGCCCAACAGGACGAAGTAAATCGCCGAGATAACGCGACACGGCCTCCCTCGGAGGAAGAACGATTGGGGCATCGTTGCTATTAAGTCCCAATTGCCGTAACTCTGCTCGCATAGCATCAAGCGTGTCTTCAAACGTTCCCATGTCACTAAAATGGTTGTCCATGGTGTCCATGAACAATCCAATCATTTCGACAGGGTCTGGATAGTTGCCGGGAAACGGAAACCCGCTCGTAGGTCTTGCCCGACGCCGTGAATAGATCTATAATTTGTTGAATGTCTAGTCACATGGGGGAACGATGGGACGCACCTTCATACATGCTTCAACACCCTGAACGAAGACGTGAGGAGTGCCGTCCTCGTTCAAGTGCTGGTAAAAGCAATCCTTGCCAAAGGGACAAAATGGGTTCGTAGCATCTTCCATCTTGGATGCTTGAAAATAACTGAATGACAATTGATAAGCCAAGATTGGCGAGATACCATGGTAGTACGCACCTACAGGGTACCCTGGCCATGCTCTCCTTGTACGAAAGTATGATCTTCTCCTTTCTGGGATCTTCGTTCTTGTAAAAGAGGGAGGAGGGGGTGATGTATGCGGAAGGAGCACGGCACATGGGGCATTGCTTGGTGACTTTGGATGGGCCCGGATCTCTATTTTGCTTCGATGAATCTCGCCATTGCTTGATACACTGCAAAATGGCGTCAATATTCAGTGACAACGTCAGCCCTCGACGCACCGAAATACAGAAGACGTGACTACATCCCACTACCATGGACCCATCAATGTACAAGCGAAAAAAAACACGACGACGCACTAAGAAGGCCATAGGTAACGGGCTGTTCAAAACAAATGGAACAGGGCTCGTCGTCGTCGTCGTCGCCTTGACTGGGCGGTGGTGGGGTGTGTCTGAACCAACATTTATCTCCTCTCTTGCAATAACCTAGAGAGTGCGTGAGAAACATGAACATGGGCAGTGACTATGGCGCACCTTGAGCATAGAAGCGACATGTCTTTGCTTGATCGTAGGGCGTCAGGCCTCGAGCATTTGGCTCATCATGGAGGAACTTGCACTTGCTGCCGGAAAAGCAGCCTCTCGGTTCCTTGTAGTACTTGCAAATTCCGCGAGACTTTGAGGTGACTGGGCGATCCATGGAGGCATTTGCTAAGCAGTTAACCGTGAACCACCTGTGGCTGACTAAGCGAAAGTGAAACAGTAAAGTGAGTAACAAGGAAGTACTCAAAGGTTCGGAAAAATCAATGACAGCTGATTTGGACTGTGACCTTAGACATATTTAGTAATTCATAGAAAATTCTAGAAGCAGTATAAAATGTATTTAAGTATGATGGGTCTCACTTGAAAGGCAAATTAATTGTCTTCTCTATAATCTCCTCTCTCTAGTTACAACAGGTTATAGACTCCAGCCCTAACTGAACCACTTATGACTTTGCACTTTTATACTTTATGTACATGCACAGAACCACATTGATAGCCAGTCTGTTTACAGGATTGATCTCTTTAAGAGTCTAAAAACTATGCAATATGAAAAATCAAGATGATTGATATCTTAACTGATCTAGACCTGATTGTGTTGGGATAGCAATCCCGAGCGAGTACGAGAACGTACTCGAAGATACGATGCCAGTCAGTGGCAGCTGACTTGGATCGTGATCTGGACTTATTTAGTATCTCATAGAAAGATCTCGAAGTAATACGAAATGTATTTAAGTAGAACGTTTCTCTCTCGAGAGGCTAATTCTAGTTCTCTGTTACATTACTCTGCTCTCTACTTACAACAGGTTATGGGCCCCAGCCATAACTGAACTTACGTCACTACTCACTTCGCACTCTTTCATACTTTACATACACATGTAGAACCGCATGGATAGCCAGTCCATGTATAGAATTGACCCCCTTAAGGGCCTGGAAAATTATCCGACATGGAAAATCAAGATGATCAATATCCTAACTGATTTAAGACTAATTGATTATGCAGATGGAAGCATTCTGGCCCCGGCAGACATGACACTGGTGGCAGATTAGAAGAAGAGTGATAGGAAGGCTCTTTCAACAATAAGATTGCAGGTTTCTGATGGCCCACTGGTATATATTGCTGGTTCAAAGACTTTGGCAGAAGCCTGGAAAGCTCTGGAAGATATGTATGAGTCTAGGGGACCCATGGGAATTGTCCTTGTCAGAAGGAAATTCTTCAGAGCTCAGTGCGAAGAAGGAGGAAACATAGAGGAGCATATTAGGACTTTGAGGTCCTATCAGGAGGAGCTGGCATCCCTTAAGCAGAAAGTTGAGGAGGAGGACTTCTCTATTACACTGCTTACATCACTCCCGGAATCATGGAATTCATTCATCTCATCAGTGGATACTGCTGACTTGAAAGATTCTTACAAGTTGATTTCCCGAATTCTTCAGGAGGACATCCGACTAAAGGAAAAGACTTCTGATCGGACTACGACACTTGCAGCACATGGCAAGAAGTCCAATTCAAAAGTCATATATTACGAATGTGGGGAAACTGGTCACATCAGAACAAATTGCCCAAATGGGAAGAAGAATTCCAGAAAGTCATGGAAAGGAAAGGGAAAGGGCCAGACTCAGGCACATATTGCCAAATCGGACTCAGAAGAAGATGACTACATATTTTGTGCAACAGATGTCGCACTTACTTCACTCTCAGGAGTATCATGGCTAGGGGACTCTGGCGCTACCAGACATATAGTCAAAAATAGATTATATTTTTCTGACTATGTTGAAACTCCAGGACATGAAGTCATTGGTGTAGGCAAATCCAAAGGCTTGGGAAGGGGAACTGTCAAGATTAAAATGGTTGAAGGGGAAAAGATCACTCCAGTCACACTAAAGGAGTGTATCCACTGCCCTGATGCACCATTCAATCTTATGTCAATAGGGCGCATTACAGATGCTGGATTTGAACTTAGATTCAAAGAGTCCAGAATGGATATTATCTCACCACATGGTAAGATAATCGGCCATGGAGATAAAATATCAAAGCTGTACAGTCTTGACATCATTGTTCCAGAAATAACCCAGGCCCATGCTATGAAATCAGCCCGATCATGGCAAAAGTGGCACAAAACATTAGGCCACTTAAATATGGGATCAGTAAAGAGACTATTTAAGAAGAAAATGGTCAAGAGGATGGATATAGATGAGTCAGCTGAGTCTCAGACAGATTGCATAGCTGTTACATGCATGCCGCCAGCCTCCGTGTCACCTCAACCAACCACGAATTCTATCATGCTACCCACCGGACTCCGGCCGCTTCCCATTACCTACTAATTTCATTTCACCATTATCATTTCACATCTGTATTTCACATTGTAATACCTAGACCCCGAACTCGGTAGCGAATATTCACACCGGAACCCAATGGAACCCGACTCGGAATTAGCTACCATTAGTATATAAAGCCGTGTATACCACCATAACTACTCAGTTCGAATATCAACTTGGATAAGCCATCTACACTTCGTACTCACTCCTCCCTATCTCATCCATCGGATTCCGCTCCGAAGGATACTCCTGTTCACTTCTCTGACAGAACTCCGTTCTGTCCATCCAGATCCTTGGGCTCCGACTCAAGGGTGACGTTGCCAATAGCTTCGTCAATGCCCACGCACTCCACCAGACTCCGCACATGCACTCAAGCCCACTCGATTGGCACGTTCCTAACAGTATATTTGAACTCAAACCCTTGAGTCGAAAATTTTATCATGTCCACCACATTTACCGAACCCACAGAGACCGATCCTGAACAAAGGCAGCCCACCCATCCAAACATGTTTTCCATGGAAGACATCCCGGCATCTGCCTCAAAGGAACAACCAGGCCTGTTCGGATCAGCCTCCAGTGGGGGACAACCTTCCTGTAGGGAAACCTACAATCACTCTAGCTTCACTGCCCGCCAACCTAATTATAATGATTCCCCTAACCCTTTCGACGCCACCAGCATCCCAACCAACGGGGCCCGATGGGCTAGCCTGATGTATGGCACCCGAACCGACCCCCCAATAGACCCCTTATCCCTGGGCAACAACCATGGGAATCCAGACAGCCCAGACTCAGAGGGCAGAGATGAAGACACCCCTACTCATACTCCCATCCGACGGGAACCGGCTGGCAATCCACCAAACCCTTTCCCAGGTGGACCAGGAGGACCAGGGGGACCAGGAGGACCAGGTGGTCCCAATGGCCCAGGCAGCACCGACGGCCCCACAGGAAGTAACAATCCAAACCAGCAGGACATGTTCCTAGAATTCATGAACCTGTTATGAGGAGTCTCCGCCTCCCTCAACAACCCTAAACCAGCCACTGTCCATACCAAGGTCAAGGAACCAGAACCATTTGATGGCTCTGACCCTCGCAAACTAAAGGCTTTCATTGTCTCCCTTCAGTTGAACTTCAACAACAGACCTACCACGTTTGCAACAGATGCTAACAAGGTTAACTATGCCATTTCATTCCTGGCCAGCACTGCGCTCAACTGGTTCGAACCAGACATTCTTAACCCCAATCCGCGGAATCCACCAGCCTGGCAATTCTCCTATGCAGCCTTCTTAGATGAGCTTCGTAGCAACTTCGGCCCCTTTGATGCTATCGGAGATGCTGAAGATGCATTAGAACACCTTTGGATGTGCGATGGTGATCGGATCATGAAGTATATGGTCCAATTCAACCAGTATGCTTCACAAATTGGGTATGGAGATAACTCTCTCCGCCATGCCTTTTACCGTGGCCTCTGCACCCGTATCAAGGATGACATGGCACACCATGGGAAGCCAAACAACCTTCGTGATATGCGCTTCCTTGCCCAAGAACTTGATGCTCGCTACTGGACCCGAAAGACCGAAATTGCCCGTGAAAACCGGGACAATAAATTCCCCAACCCCAAATCCAAAGGGTCTAACACTTCTTCCTCGGACTCCAGCTCCACACCAAAATCTACTGCCCCTAAGCCCTATGCTGACAAGCTAGGCAAAGATGGCCGTCTTACCCAGGAAGAAAAAGACCGCCGGCGCCAGAACAACCTTTGCATGTTCTGTGGAGCCAAACACAAGACCGAGGACTGCAACAAGCGGAAGGCAGCAGCCTCC